ACGTCTCCTCACTTCAGCGAGTGAGTGGGTGGTGCTTGGTTTTCAAATGCCGGAACGTCTATTCAGTGTGTTGGGTAATCCACAATAAACCAACAAAACTGTATAGAAATTACAACCCAACAGCTAATAACTCTGTTCCCAACATAAATAACCTTGCGAATTGGGTACTCGGAATACCCAACCCCATGAATTAATAAAAATAAATTGACAACAGGCTCAACCAAGTGGTTGGATTGAAAAAACAACCCATCGTTTTTTGGTGTGTAAGTGCATGAAATTATGGAAGAACAAAGAGAGATCACTTTCTTGATCACTCTTCTAACGCTAAAGCCAAACCCTTTGAGGATTTTACATTGGCAACACCTCAGTCACAGTGCTGTGCAGATGGTGCACCATGCAGAGCAAGCACAGACTGACAATAGTCTCCACATGAGAAAACCAGTAAACTCCAGATCTGGTCCAAAAAAGGCTGAACAGCACTTACTCACAACTTTGAAATCATATCAACGCTGCTGCAAAAGCCTCACAAATCTGTTTTGTTTCATGAAGGACTGTACTGTGTAATAAAAACACTGTGCCTTTCAACCTCTAGGGATTGGTGTATGGCTCTTCAGTTAGAACTTTATTCATTCTGTGGTCTAATTATCTTTTGTTTCCAACATGCTTTGATATATCCCCCTGAATTTAGAGTCGAGATTCTAGCCTCTTATTGTCAATTTCTGCCATATGTGAGTGTAATAATTGGTTCAATTAGTAATTGATTTTCCCCACAAAATCTCAGTAAAAAGTCGCCCTGCTGGTTTAGTGAAACTTGGTGCACCTGGTAATCAGCAGTGCTGGGAGGCTCTAGGGAGCGCGTTGTTGCTCAGTTCAGCAGGGGTTGTGAGTGTGTGAGGGTCAACACCATCAGTTGGTTCACTCTCTTTGTGTGAATTTAAAGAAAAAAAGAAAAGTTTGTTTGAGTGCCTTTTGTTTGTGTGTGAGGGGGAAAATCTTAAATGTTTTTATTCCACTTATTCTTCAATTAAAACAACTCCCACCTATTCTTATTTTGGGTCAGTTTTTAGTTAATAGACTTAGTGGGTGGCAGTTTGGAGATGTAAACCCCTGCCACCTTTTAGAAACCCACCATTTTGCTTTGTTCATGCAGATTTGCTAGTTTTCCCACAAGGTACCATTGTACAAATTTGAGTTTCTTTGGAGGGGGACAAGTAACAGTGAGTACCTAGTCAGGAAAAGACGTTTCTCTCCAGCCTATGATCCAGAAATACAGAGAATATTTTAAAAAAATACCAAAAACACCATAGATAAAAGTATAATACAGTAGAAGAAGAGTATATGTATGTCCACATCTACCCTCGTGTCTACTGTCACTGTGTATATATGCATTCCTATACACATGCAAACCTAATGACCAGAGAAATTATTTCTGCTGTACATACAGTCAGGTCCATAAATATTGGGAGATCGACATAATTCTCATCTTTCTGGCTGTATACACCACCACAATGGATTTGAACTGAAACAAACATAATGTGCTTTGACTGCAGACATTCAGCTTTCATTTTAGGGTATTGTACATCCAAATCAGATGAATGGTGTAGGAATTACAACGGTTTTTACATGTGCCTCTCACTTTTTAAGGGACCAAAAGTAATGGGACGACCAAATCAAAAGCTATTTCATGGACAGGTTTCAGTTTCAGTTTATTTGGATCCACCATTAGTTACAGCAAAGAGCCACAACTATTCTTCCAGGGGTCCATCTGCACTTCTGAACAACATTTTCATCCTTCTAACATACATCTACATACAAGACAAGACAGTCAAGACACCAACATCACATCCATACTATCACTCATCCCACACAGCAGCTCTATCATTTACCTCCTCTTCGAAGAACACTACGACAAAACAATATTTACAGAACAATAAAAGAAAAGTGGAGAGACAGACCAAGCTCTCATTACATTGGGTTTCAGCCAACTAAGCTCTTGAAAGTTTTTAAGGTATCCCATCAGTAAACAAAAACCTTTTCAATTTCTTATTAAAACAGCCTCTGTGATCATTTGAGATCAAAGAATTTGGTAGTTGATTCCATGCCATTATGGCTCTGTAGTGAACTGTTCCCTACCTTGCATTTGTTCTACATAGAGGCAGCCGAAATCGGCCCTCTGATACCTGCCTCGTACAGTGTTGTTCTACCTCCGAAAAAAAAGATGAAGTGTTATAGAGTTACTGGAATTTTGTTTGTAATAATATTTTTCATGAAAGATTAAAGCGAGTAGTGTGGCTTGCTTTTAACGTTTAACCAGATGAGCTGATTATGCACTAGTTACTAGTTCTGTATGGACAGTTAAGAATCATGTGAGCAGCTTTATTTTGGGTTACTTGTAGCTTGTTTTGTGTTGTGTTGGACCAGATGACTGCACCATAATCTAAATGCGATAGAACCACGGCTTGAGTTAGTTGTTTGATTAGGTAACTTGGTATAAATTTCTTACAGTGTCTAACTACAGCTATGCCTCTTCCCATCTTTAATACTCTCTGATTAATATAATTTTTCCAGGACATTCTGTCATCTATGATTTAACCTAATAACTGTACCTCCGTCTTCTGTTCTATGCTTTTATCTCCTATACTTACATTTAAGATCGGTGCAGCTTTTAATCTATTTTTCGAGCCCAACACTATGGATTTAGTTTTTTCAATATTGAGCACTAATTTATTTTCTGTAACCCATTCCATAATTTGCTTTAGTTCTCTATTTAACACATCTTCTAACTCTTCTACAGTACTTGACAAGGCATATACAGTGGAATCATCAGCATACATAACCATTGTTGCAAAATTCAACACACGTGGCAAATCATTTACAAAAATTGAAAATAATAATGGACCAAGGCACCTCCCTTGTGGCACTCCACAACTCACTGGTCTTAATTCAGAGTAACTCCCATTAAAGTAAACAGAACACTTCCTATTTTCTAAGTAGCTCTTTATCCATTTGTTTGCAGAATTATCAAAACCATAACAACTTAACTTGTTCAATAAAAGGGAATGATCCAGAACATCAAATGCTGCATTAAAATCTAATAATACAGCTCCAATTATCTTCTGTATATCTATATCTTTTGACCAATCATCCGTCTTCTGAGTTAATGCAATAGTTGTGGAATGCCCCTTTCTATATGCATGTTGAAATACAGTGTTTAAGTCATTATTACAAAAGTACATTTGCATCTGTCCGTATACTATTCCCTCCATAATTTTACTCAGTGCTGGCAGTAAGCTTATCAGTCGACTATTTTTCCCGGAAAATGTTTCTCTACCATCTTTGGGTAGTGGAATGATCTTGGAAATTTTCCATTCAGAAGGACAGATACCTTTTTTAGACTTAAATTAACGATAAAAGAAATAGGTTAAGCAACCAGATCTGCTACGGTTTTAAATAACTTGACCCCCAGGTTGTCAATACCTGCAGATGATTCGTTTGCTGCTTGCAAGAGTTTTACCACTGTGTCTGCCGTAGTTTTTTCAAATTGGAAGTTACACATTTTATCATTCATTATTTTATCTTTTATTAACTTACTTGATATGCAATCTTTCTTTTTCCTTGTATCCATATTATCCCGCAATTTCTGAGTTTTATCATTTAAAAAAGAACATAGATAGTTAGCTATTTCTACTGGTTTAGTCAAAATATTTCCATCAGCTTCCAAAAACGATGGAGTTGATTTACCGCTTTTTCCCATTTATCCATTCAGGATGTTCCATATTTTCTTACTGTCCATTCTCGCATCTATTATCTTTTTTTTGTTTTTATTCAATTTTGTTGCATTATTCCTTAACTTTCGATAAACATTCCATTGTGACAAATCAGCTGATCTGATTGCTTCTGCCTTTGCCTTACTTCTTTGGTCCATAAGCTCTTTAAAATCCTGGTCTAACCATGTTGCTACATTTCTCACAGTTTGTTTTTTTGCAGGTGCATGTTTATCAAGTGGTCCTAACAAGCAGTCAAAGGCATGCAGAGCCAAATTAGGGTCTTCCTCGGTTAACACTGTTGACCAATCAATATTTCTTACATCCTCATAATAATCGTTTTCATTAAAATTCCTTAACATTCTTTTGAATATTATTTTCTGACCAGTTTAATCAATTGCAACTAGATTGTGGTCACTGCAGCCTACTGAAAGAGATATCGATTGTGAGCATAGCTCAGCAGCATTTGTAAAAATTAAATCAATGCAAGTAGATGTTTTTAAACCATCTACTCTGTAAAATATTCTAGTTGGCTTTGTAATGACTTGTCTTAGATTACATGCATCTGCAAAAGAGGTGTGGACTATTCCCTCACTACTTCATCATCAATTCAGCAGGTAAAAAGTCTGGAGTTGATTCCTGGTGTGACATTTGCATTTGAAATCTGTTGCTGTCAACTCTCAATATGAGATCAGGAGAGCTGTCACTATCAGTGAAGCAAGCCATCAGTAGGCTGAAAAATCGAAACAACCCCATAGCAAAAATATTAGGTGTGGCCAAATCAACTGTTTGGAACATTCTTAGAAAGAAAACGCACCAGTGAGCTCAGCAACACCAAAAGACCAGAAGACCATGAAAAACAACAGTGGTGGATAACAGAGGAATTATTTCCCAGGTAAAAAAAAAAAACCTCCACAGCAGTTTGCCAGATCAGGAACACCCTCCAGGGGGTAGATGTATGTGTGTCAAAATCAACAACCAAGAGAAGACCTCACCAGAGTGAATACAGAGGGTTCACCACAAGATGTAAACCATTGGTGAGCCTCAAAATCTGGAAGACCAGATTAGAGTTTGCCAAACAACGTTTTATTCAAAGGGATGGCTGGAGGAAACAGGATTTATGACCTATACTGCAGCCCGTCACCAAAGGGTGCTGTTCTCGCAGCGGCTTTACCCAGCGAGGAGGCAGCCGATGTCCATTCTGTATACAGTCTATGGTGCTGAATGTTGGTGAGCAGTTGTTGGTCAGCAGGGTGAAGGGCAGGGGACTACACACACCTCCGCAGGTCTCTTGTGCTCAATTTGATGGTGCTGAAGGTGTTATTGCTGATTTGTACAGTGTGTGGTCTCTCACTGAGGAAAACCAGCAGCCAGTATCACAGTGAGTTGTTGAGTCCTAGCTGGTCCAGTTTGATGATGATTTGTTGTGGAATAATAGTGTTGAAAGCTGAACTGAAGTTTATGATGAGGCAAAGGTGAAGGAACGAAGAGGGATAGTGCAGAAGGAGATTCGGGCAGTGGAGGAAGAGGATAGACAAGCCAAGGCAGTAGCCATGAGACAGCAGGGCAGATGGACCCGGTGGGACGGTGTCCGGGGACTATCGCTCGGTTGGAAGGACATCTGGAGTATGGAGGGGCACCGGATAAAGTTCCTCCTGAGCTCTGTCTACAATGTACTCCCAACACCAACAAACCTCCAAAGATGGAGATTGACAGAGGATCCCTTCTGTGCGCAGTGCAAGAGACCAGCAAACCTGGAGCACATCCTGTCGTCCTGCCGAGCAGGCCTGACTGAGGGAGGTTCAGGTGGCGCCATGATCAGGTGCTGGCGCAACTCGCCGATGGTCTGGAAAAGGAGAGGAAGTGAAAAGGAACAAAGGCCCAAGACAAAGGCCCCCGCTTCATCAGTTTTCTCAGGCCTGGCGAGAAGGCAGGCAAGGAGGACAGATGTGCAGGGATCCTTGGTACGGCAAAGGAATGGGAAATGAGAGTTGACCTGGGAAGGCAACTCAAATTCCCAGAGGAGATCGCCGTCACCAGCCTCCGGTTGGATATCGTGCTCTGGTCCCAGATAACAAAGCAGGTGGCCCTGATTGAGCTAACGGTACCCTGGGAGGAAAGAATCGAGGAGGCACATGAGCGTAAGCTGGGGAAATACCATGATCTCATTTCCGAGAGCCAGCAGAGGGGGTGGAGAGCCTGGAATCTACCAGTCGAGGTTGGCTGCAGGGGCTTCCCTGGACAGTCACTTTGGAGAACACTGGGGATGCTCGGCCTCACAGGGGCAACCCGTAAGAACCTGGTGAACAATATCTCAAAGCAGGCAGAGTCAGCATCCAGATGGCCGTGGCTAAAGAGGAACGACCAGTGGCTGAACCAGGCTGGCAGAGAGGGGTGTCAGAGCTGAGTGGGGAAGACCTGTGTGGCTGAGGGGGCAGCTCCAGGACGCTGGTGCTGTTGTCAAGCCCCACCGTGGTGTCGTGGGCTAGTTGACGAAACACCAGGAAAACGGGGGGTGCCCACTTGAAAACCCGGTGAAGCCTCAAGGTCTGAAGCACACAGCTCTGACACCAGTTGTGTTTTGTTAGGAGGGAGCGACTTCTACGCTAGCCACCACACATAAGGAACAGGAGGTAACTCCTACTAAGGGTGGTGGCTGCGATACCTATCGTTTTAAAGACCATAATCAGCATTCTTACATATGAGTCCTTAGTGTCCAGGTGGGTGAGAGCAGGGTGGAGAGCAGCACTGTATTCATCCTCAGTTGACTGGTTGGCTCAGTTTGCTAACTGGAATGGGTCCTGTGTGGAGGGGAAGATGGATTTTATATGAGACATGACTAACTGTTCAAAGCACTTCATGATGATGGGGTTGAGTGTGACAAGGCGGTCATCATTAACTGAGATTGGAGTGGACTTCTTTTGCATGGGTATGCAGGTGGTGGTTTTGGAGCATGCTAGAACAACAGCCTGGCTCTGGGAAGTCTTACAGATGTCTGTTGTTAGGATACATTGTAAATATAGAAATGGTTTGACGGAGCTGCATTAAGAATTAATTATTGTGCCCCTTGAAGTCATGTACTGATGGATAACAGGAAGAAGGATAAAAGCTCCAGGGAGGCTGCAGATCACCCTGTATAAAGAACGGTATCCATAGTATGAAGGTTTTAGCTTTGGCTTCTCTTGACATTTGGTAAGTAAGGTGTCTTCAACTAAAAAAAGATGTTTGTGTCCTGTTTTTGAAGGATGTCGCACCCATGGTTGTGAAAGAGGAAGTATGCAAACTGATAGTGTGATTGCGGTTTGAACATAGGGTGGGGTGTTAGATAATATCATTTATATAACTTGCTTATTTAAAGACTCTGTTGCACATTCTTGACTCATTGTAATCAATAAGTAGAGCTTCAACTGAGAACTCATCTGAATCCTCGTCTTTCCTTCTTCCCATTGACGACCACGCGGGAAAAGGGTTAAAGGTAAATAATACCAGTTAGTACCTTCTTTATTGTGTTTGGGAAATTAGACATAAAAGTACTCCTTAATGTGAAAGGGAAAAACCACCCTTTTTTCAACACAGTGAAGACATCTGACATAGCCCCTATGCGCAGTCATGCAGCACAGGACCAGCAATGTTGTGAGGACCAGCAGCCTTGCGGGTGTTGATGCTGGAGAGTGTCCTCATCACATCCGCTGTAGACAGACACAGAGCCTTGTAGCACCCTATAATGTAATAATTTACTGAAAATGTAATAAAACCCAGTAATGTAATAAAATAGTCTGACTGATATTGTAATAACATTTTTACCTATAATGTAATGCCTCATTACATTATTGAGAATTTATCACATTTTTAGGAGTTTATTTGTTTGTTTGTTTGTTTGTTTTCAAAATTGATAATGTTATACTTGACAGATAATGTAATATATATGTTCATTTTCAGTCCAGAGTTCTACATTATGTGTTTTGAGAATCTAAGAGTGTTATAGACACTAGATTTGAAACAACAAAATGACTATTGGGTTAAATTGCACACCTTGAGTACCATACAGCCATATGCAGGGACATGCAACTACATCCTGGTCCTACTGAGTGGGTTATGGACGTTGGACCTTGGGAGACTTAGAACACAGATTTCCAGCAAATCACTATCTCATGAAAACAACCACAAACAAACAAAACAACTTTCAGTAACACTTCATTTGGACAAGAAAATACATGGGCATTCCTAACACCTGCATACACATCACATGACACTCAACATAAACATAGGCCGATATATCCACTCAGCTGATGGGGCTCTGCTCTGTCTCTAGCAAAACCTGAAACGACTCTGCTCACGCCACACACACACACTAGGGGTGCAATAGATCAAAAAACATATGGTTCAGACCATTTCTCGGATCAGAGTCATGGGCCAGATCACTTTTCGGATCAGCAAAAAACACACTCTGTCTGTCGTGAGCGCAACAGAGGGATAGTTCATCCACAACTTTTTTCTTCTGCTGAAGTGCGTGCGTGACGTGATGTGGCAATGTGGCTCAAGCACTTTCAGCATGCGTTTAAAGCCCTCTGCAGCTATAAACACACTGATAGTGATTGGGTTGTGCATCAAGGGGCTGCTTAAATGCTGTGGTGATAAACAGTTTTTATGCAATCGCTTATCAAAAAAAAAGGTCATATTACCTTCTTGTGCCACAGTGCCTGTACACACCGTCACTGTTTTATCTGCTAACCTTTTTCCTTCATTGTTATATTTGACAAGAAAGCCAAAATGCTCCCACACAGGGGATTTAAATGATGGAGGGCACTCAAGCTCCTCTGTTCCTCCACTCGCCATGAGCATGCTGCTCTTAACTAGTGTGTGGACTGAACATGTGCACTTTTAATTTTTTTCATAAATCATTTCACGGATCATGTGTGTGCCAAACCGAAGATATTGATCTGAACGGATCATGGACCAATGATGATCCGTTGCACCACTAACACACACACACACACACACACACACACACACACACACACACACACACTCAAGCAGCAGTGCCCAGTTCTCATGATTATTGAGCCACACTCAGACAATCAGAAATTTCTGCCTTTAAAGATGAGAAACATGCAAAATGATCATGTCAATTTTATTGAAGTTCTGTGATTTTTCATTTATACAAGTAAATCTCACAAAGTGCCAGTACGGCAGTATGTCAACTGACCACTATGCCACTTGACATAGAGTAAGATGTCAAATTGACATTGAAATTGATTTAATAACCATTTATGAGTGGATATGTAGGCCTATGTTTATGTTGGACACCATGTGATGTGTACACAGGTGTTATGAATGCTTATGTATATTCTCTTCAAATGAAGTGTTTCTAAAAGTTGTTTTGTTGGTTTGCGGTTGTTTTTATGAGGTAGTGATTTGTTGGAAATCTGTGAAGTGAAGAGGTTCATTTAGGGAAGAATTACCTGGGGTCTCCAGTGCTGCTCAGGATCTGAGCTGGAATTGTAGTCTCCCAAGGTCCAAGGTCCATAACCCACTCAGTAGGACCAGGATGTAGTTGCATGTGTGATACTCAAGGTCTGCAATTTAACCCAATAGTCATTCTGTTGTTTCAAAGCTAGTGCATACAACACTTTTAGACTCTCAAAACACATAATGTAGAACTCTGGACTGAAAATGAATGTATATATTACATTATCTGTCAAGTATAACATTATCAGTTTTCAAAACAAAACAAAACAAAAAAAACTCCTGAAAATGTAATAAATTCCCAATAATGTATTAAGGTATTACATTATAGGTAAAAATGTTATTACAATATCAGTCATATTATTTTATTACATTAATGGGTTTTATCACATTTTCAATCGCATTAAGTGCTAATTTTTATTACATTTTCAGGCGTTATTACGTTTTCAGGAAATTATTTCATTATAGGGTGCTACAGTAGTTCAAGCTTAGGGGGTATATGGGCAAAGGATTTATGCAGGTATGTGTCCAGACAGGCCTTAACATCTGATCATTAGTTTGAATCACATTTGTTTGGGATGGGCTTGAGATGGGCTAATCTAAAACAAAACAACAAAAGCAACAACAAAAATTTTACCCTAATGCAGGGGTTTGTGGTCCTGCTGCTAAACAACTTGAATGATTTTCATGTCATTGTCTTCAATAATAATATTGTCTTCAATTGTCTCCAGCACCTTATTGTTTTCAGTGAATAGAGCAAGTCAAATAAACCTCAAGTTGCAAGATTGTTTTTAGAGTGACCTTTAATAAACCTGTGCATGTACAGGTACATAAGGTTTGTAAGCATTTGTAAGTTTGTAAGATGAGCTTATCACTGATATTTAATTAATGGTTAATTTGATAGTCATGGAGGGGTGGTACAGTGGTGAAGTGGTTAACACTGTCGCTTCACAGCAAGAAGGTCCTGGGTTCGAATCCGGGTCAGGGTGTTTCTGTGTGGAGTTTTCCTGTTCTCCCTGTGTCTACGTGGGTTTACTCCAGGTACTCTGGTTTCCTCCCACATCCCAAAAACATGCAGAAGTGGGTTGAGGATAATTCGTCACTTACAAATTGCCCATATGTGTGAATATCAGTGTGGATGGTTGTTCGTCTCTATATGTCAGCCCTGCGATGAGCTGGTGACTTGTTCAGGGTGTCCCCTGCCTTCGCTGCCTTGCTGGAATAGGCTGCAGCCCAACCCCCCCCCCCCCTCCTGACAGGGAAAAAGCGGTAGAAAATGGATGAGTGGATGATAGTTGTGTAATCCCTTCAAAGTCATAAAAAGGGGTCAGATCTTGTAAATGTTGCACAGCTGATCTGAGGCTGGTTTTCTGCAGCTATGGTCATGGCACTCAGGCGGATCCCTCTGGTCTTCTGTCTGGGACTGGTAAGTACAAGCCTTCACATTTATTCTGTGTAGTACTGACATTGACCTCTTATTAAGACTATGAATTCTCTTTATTGATTGATGAATGTACATTCTGATATATATTTACCAGGCAGCAGCAAAGCTGTCAGGTGATACAGGTAAGTCACAATCTTTTTCATGTAACTCTCTGTCACATGGTAAAAAAAACAAACAAGCAAGTTATTGGATATAAATGACACTGAAGACTATATGAGGTTACTTTAAGTTATAATAAATTTCCCTGCAAATTCTGAATCACTTGATCTTCTGACAATCTCATGATTCAAATATTGTCCACTAAGCATTACCTGACTGCACTATTTGTTCTTATGTTTGTATTTGTATCTGTACACTAGCTCACTGAGGGAAGATCTGCTGACTTACTGACTTACCTCTACAAATTTAAGAAATTATGTCAAATGAAAACATTTTATAGCATACATCCCAGATTTGAAATAGTCATTCATGTTCATGCAGCAGGGTTCATAGCAACATTAAATCAATGAATCAGGTACTGTAGTTTTGCGCCTACTTTAACAATGTTTTATTTATCTACAGAAATAGACGTTGACAACGGCCGTGACTGGGACATCTTTAACATCAACAAAGGTTTGTGTGCTTGATTGTAAAATTATGCAACAGTAAGTCTAAATACTTGCATCAACCAATACCATGTTTCTTTGCAGCTGCTGGGCTAGACCTGCTGGAGGGAGACATCGAACAAGATGAGGTACAATTATTTGGAGATTGCCAGCATATAGTGCCCTGGTTTTACAAAAGAAAAGGCCAACAGTCCACGAACAGATATTAAACCCTTGTTATTTTTGTATGGCAGCTTAGTAAGGCCAGCAGTTGCAATAACACAAAGTTAAAACACTTTGTAGAAAAATTTCTACTCAACTATTTCCATCAGACATTCAGCAGAAACACCATCTTGGGTGATGAGTATCGCTGGCCAACCACCATTCCCTACTACCTTGAGAACAACTTGGGTAAGACACTGTGCTATATTGAGGCTCATACTCACAGTCATTTCCCATAAATGCACTTGTACTTAGGTATGTTTTTTATGGTTTTCTGTGTCTCATACTTTGTAATGTTTAGAAATGAATGCAAAGGGAGTGATCCTGAAGGCGTTAGAGCAGTACAGACTGAAGACCTGCATCGACTTCACACCATGGAGGGGAGAGCAGAACTACATCTCTGTGTACAAAGGGAGTGGGTGAGCCAACTCTGAACAGCTCCTGTGGCTTACACTTTCACATTGCTCTGCCCAATTTTTTGGTTTCTTGCTTGGAAATGGATTTGGATGCACATTCATTACCCTCAAAGACACCATGGCTTTAGGGACACCATGGACTCTATTTTCGTGCCCGCCGGGTGCGGCGAAGGGTGGCTATTTGGTATTTTCGTAAACTGAGGCGTACCGAGGTCCGCCAAGCTGGGTGTGGTGGCGCAGGGAGGTGTTGACATAATCAGCTGGCGCAGTGACATTTTAGTGCCCGCTGGTGGCGTAAAAAGTGCGCTGAAAGCTCACCGATTCAAACCTGGTCAGCTTTCAGAGTTGGTCTAGTGGTATTTTGGTAGACCGGCGTCGTAGTGTGCACACTTCACCACTGCCTCACAGGCAGGTTTCCACAATGTCAGGCACATTTCAGTGCAATAGATAATCAACCACAACCAATATTCAGTGCAACTATCTGAGTCAGCACATACATTTAGATCAATATCAATATATTCTGATCTATATCTCATCTGATGAGCGCATTTGGCAGGCATTTGAACAGTCAACGTGACCAAATTAACACAGCAGAAACTGCATTAATTCAGATATCCAGTAAAAAGTCACACATAATGAAATTAACAAGAAATTTAATTTGTCCTCCACCCCCTTTCTCTCTTCCTCTTCTCCCTAGCGCAGCTCGACTCAGACATGTTGCCATGTCCTCTTCCCGTCCTGCTGCTGCAAGGCTTATTTATTTTGAAAAGTTGAACAAAAAAATAAAAGAAATTTTCATTTAAAATTACCAATTCATCTAATGTTCTCACAGAGTTATGGCCACATACAAATATTATAATATTTAGTTGCGTGAGCCAAGTTAATTTTATATGCCAATATCAATAAAAGAAAGAGTGTGATGCATCTTTTACGCACAGGTGGTTCTGATTTTAATGCCAGTATTGGAATTTGTTTACGTTGTGATCTGTGCGCACAACCCACCTTTGTCACTCGGGGTTTAAATATATGTAACTTGATGTGATTGTCTTTATTTGTCGAAAAGGGTGTTTGTCTTAATAGTGGGTACACACACCAAATCCATCTGTGCTTATTTAAGAGAGTGTGGACGACACCCTCCATAGCACCTACCGCAACACTTGTTGAGGGGCTGCCTTCTGTGGCCATCATGTGGCATTGCTGTCTTCAGCCATCTCTCGATCTCTTCGACTTCTTTACGAAAATTGTAATACGCCTCGCCGGTGGCGGATTTGAAGGTGAGAAGAGGAGCTGTTGTCATTGGTGAAAACAGAACTAGGCTGTGTCAAACACACTCCAGGCCTTATCCCCTCCCTCTCTACTACATATGCTGCTTGGAGGAGCTGAGTTAGGGAGGGGCAATACTTATGCTGGGCTGCGCTGCCACCAAAATAACAAAGTGTACTTGGTCACGCCTCATCAGCGCAGCGGACCTGACTTATGCGACGCCTACGCCACACCGCCGGTGAGGCATGAAATAAGAGCCCTATGGCTTTAGAGACCACTGTCACTTGTCACACATCTTGCTTCCTCTCTCTGTAGATGTTCCTCTTCTGTAGGAAACCAGCACAAGGGAAAGCAGCGGCTCTCCATTGGTAAAAACTGTGATAAACTGGGAACTGTTGAGCATGAGTTCCTGCATGCTTTGGGCTTCTGGCATGAGCAGTCAAGAGCTGACCGGGATGATTATGTCCAGATCATTTGGGATCACATTGAACCTGGTAACACTGTCACATACAAACTGTAACTACATGCAGGGGCGCTGCAAGGGATTCTGGAATCCATGAAAAGAAGTTATACAGGGTCCCCAACACAGAAGGCCAAATTTTTGATGCTTTTTTACATAAAACTATGCATTTTTATGTTACTAGTTTCTGTACACTCATTTAGTCAATCCTCCACATCTGAATTCCCTCAATGAACATGTAAACTGCTCTTATTGGATTGAAATCAGTCACCCCAGTCGACTGCACACACAACATAATTTTCCGTTCTGTTCCTATTGCACTTATTCTATTTCAATGGTAGCTGAATTAAAACAAAATAAAAACAGTTGTGCTTTTTAAACCATTAAAATTGTTCATAATTATTTTTATTTTAATATTTACCTTTACAACAGATTTATCTTTTTTCTGTGTATTGTTTTGTGACTGTGATTAAGAATATTATGATTAATCCAAAACACACAGCTGCTCACCTCCTTCCTCATGTGGGGGCACTGGGGGGCTGGTGGAGTTGGGGACTGACAGACAGCTGCTTCTGTTTAGAAGGAGGCATCGTTTTGACAGAGGGGAGGTCAACTAATTGAATATAAGCAGCGAGTTTCTTGAGCTGACATGGGTAGAAAAGTGAGCTAGCTTAAAAACCATATACAAGGACAAAGTTAATATTACATAGCTTTCCACTACATGAACCACTCATAAACCCACCTTTCATTGTGAAATACTGTGTGACATGCTGTCGACCGTTTAGTTCTTTCTCCTCTCCTAGTTTCCTTTCTTTGTATTTTTGGCTGCCTAATTTTTTTTATATTTATGATATCTTTACTACCACTCCTTAGCCGCTCTGGTTCAGGCGACTGTGACATACAGCTGCGCTGCCAGCAGCTGATTCAGTCGGACTGAACCATTTTACATAAATAGAGAGAGGGGGCCGCGGCCATTATAGTTTCCAAAACAAAAAAAAGTTATTGTAACCAGGACGCTGTATATAGAATATCTGTGATTAAACATTACTTATAACTTAGAGTCATGTTATTCTATTTCATTATATCTTTATTAGGGGCCTCTCTGGGCCCCTCTCAATCATGGGCCCTTATAATCCTTCTCTTTTTTCCCCCCTTGTCGGCGCCCCAGACCACATGTAATATAACACAGCTGGAAAATGTGTAAAACAATTTAAAAAGTTTTCTGATGTTTTATTTTTTTGTCCAGGCAAAGAGCATAACTTTGACATACAAAATGACACAGTGTCTAGTGCCCTGGGTGTTCCCTATGACTACGGCTCAGTGATGCATTACAGCAAGTCGTCCTTCAGCATTGACTCTGATCCCACTATCATCACCAAGATCCCCAAGTTCATGAATTTGATTGGTCAGAGGATGGGCTTCAGTGCCAGTGACCTGACAAAACTGAACCGCCTCTACAACTGCAGTGAGTAATCTCAGCCTTTTATTTCCTTTTTTAAAAAGTGGGTCACAGAGGGAACAACATGGTACAGACCATTAAGTACTGAACTTTTTAACCTAATAGAAGACACAGATAGAGGCTTCTAACATCACCTGCCCAAGAGCATGTAATAGATCACAGTAAACACAGATGTTTATAGCTAATTGAGGGCAATGTTAAAAAAAAATCATTCACAAAGTTTCCCCTGATACAATAAAGCAAAAGTTCTTACATGGCCAACAAGTTAATAAGTGCTTTGCTAACCTGTGTGACATAAGCTACCATGTAAAAGTCAACCTGTTGGACTGCTGGTGATGTCCAATAAAACCATGCAAGATATATCTGAATACTACATACACCTTAATATAACTAACCCACGCAAAACTGGCTTTTACTGACAAGATGCTTCTTGAGTTTGTTGACAAATGCCTCACTTACTTTGTTAATCTCTTATGTAGCCACAATGGCCATCTTACAGTTACTATTCCTGTCTTACTTATTCAGCACAACAATTTGCAGAATAAGTCTTAATTCAGTTTCACCTCAAGGGAAAAACTAGTACCAAAATAAGGCATCAAAGGACAGATGCTGACAACATTGCATATTCGCTGCATTTGTTGCTGCAATGATTTTCCTTCTCTCAATTTAGCACAAATCATCTAAAAATTATTGCAATGTTTTTAGAGTAAAAAACACAAGTATGATTTAATGAAACGCTGCTGGTCTAGTAGTATTTTGGTAGACCCGCAGCGTATCAGCATACGTCACTGATGCCTCACCAGCAGGTCTTCACAGTGTCAGGCACATTTCAGTGCAATAAATAATCATCAACAACTATTAATCTGAGTTAGCACATACATTTAGTTCTACATCAATGTATTCTGATCTATATCTGATCTGATGAGCGCGTTTGGCACGCGTGTGGACACACAACCTGACCGAATCAACACAGCTGAAACCGCATTAAATTGAATTAAATATCTAGTAAACAGACACACATGATGAAGTTATTTACTTTAAGCCTACATACAGATATTATAATATTCATTTTTGTGAGGTAAATTTATTTTTTATGCCAACATATATGAAAGAAAGAGCCAGGCCACGGAGCGCAATGCGTCATTTACGCACAGATGGTTCCGATTTTAATGCCATTTTTGGAGTTAATGTTGTGATCTGTGTGCACAACCCACCTTTGTCACGTGAGGTTTGAATATATGCAACTTGATGTGAGTGTCTTTATTTGTGGAAAAGGTTGTTTGTCTTACAAGTGGGTCCAACATTACACAGACCAAATCCATCTGTGCTCATATGAGAGAGTGTGGAGGACGCCCAATGCAAAGCTTACAGTGACACTTGTTGAGGAGCTGCCCTCTGTCGCCATCTTGTGGCATTGCTGTCTTCAGACATCTCTTGATCTCTTTGACTACTTCACAAAAATGGTAATACACCTTGCCTGTGGCGGATTTAAAGGCAAGGAGAGGAGCTTCTGTGATTGGTGAAAACAGGTCTCGGCTGTGTTAAACCCATTCCGCGCCCTAGCTTCTCCCTCACTACGACTTACGCCGCTGGGAGGAGCTGAGTTAGGGAGGGGGGATACTTACGCCGGGCTGCACCGCTCACCAAAATACCAAATTGTGCTTGGGAACGTCTTGTCAGCGCGGTGGACCTGACTTACGCCGCGCTTGCGGCACGTCTCCGGCGAGGCATGAATATAGAGCCCATGATGTCTTTATGAAATGACTACAAGAGCAGAGCAAGAATCCTAAAATCAAATAAATATATCTGCCCAAACAGCAGGTTAGATACTTGAGTAGTTGCTAAAGGAATTAACCCTGTTACCTCCAGATGTTAAACTGGCTTGGCAATATAATGAAACATATAATGCTGCTGTAATTGTTACATCAGAGGTCTGTACTGACACAAAATGCTGTTTGAGATATGACAGTTTCTTATGCAACACCCTAATCACTCTGTGACTGATTCTTGAATGACTTAACCATTTGAATGTGTTATTTATGCAAAAATCTAATGTAGTACACCACATTTTCACAACTCTACAGGTAAAAGAAAAAATAAACAGTAAATCAAAGACTCTTCATGAAATAATACAGCTGATTTGTTTTTGTTTTTATCTCCACAGCCATGTCATCTACCTTTGTGGACAGCTGTGACTTTGAGGAGGACAACATCTGTGGGATGATTCAGGGTCCTGGAAACAGACACTGGCAGCAGCTTAGCTCTGTTAGTGGAGGGCCTCAGACTGACCTCTCCAACACAGGACAATGCAAAGGTAGGGTCTGTATTTGCCGTTCAAATAGCTAGTTGCTGGATGATAAATCTGGAATCTAAAACCTCTCTTTCTAAATAAACGACTCAACTGGTTCTGGATATTCCCCCTATGATGGCGACAGTAGAACATTTTTTTATGACCGCAGACTGTACACATTAACATCTCTGTGTAGTTGCTGTTGCTCATTTAACAGTTATATAAAAAAGCTGACATCCTTATCTTATCCATTTGAAGTCTAAGGATATTTCAAAGTAAAGTTTCCTTGTTCAAGGTATATCATATAAATTATGGCTCAAACATCCTTCAGTTCTGTCTTTCCCTCCTTACAGGAAAAGGCTTCTTCATGCACTTCAGCACAGTGTCTGCTGAACCTGGAGACCATGCATTTCTGGAGAGCCGTTGGCTTTACCCCAAACCTGGAGCCCAGTGTCTGCAGTTCTTCCTTTATAACAGCGGTGCAAGCGATGATGTTCTTAATATCTGGGTACGAGAGTATGACCAGGAAAACCCCAGTGGTAGAATGAAGCTCTCCAAGAGTATCTCAGGTAATAAATGTGAAATAACATGCATATGCCAGAATTAACTGTAAGGAATTTACCCCTCCATGACTACAGTGGCTCCACATAACACTTTGACTGCATTAATATTTACCAGGGTTTGTTTTCAACCAGTTCAAGTAAATATAATTTGATCAAAGTTATTTAGAGATTTTAGCCGTGACCACCAGAAACCAGTACGTCATCTTTGTAGGTGGAGTCATGGGCTCCTGGGAACTGCACAACATCGAGCTGGATGTGAAAAACAAGTCCCGTGTGGTCTTTGAAGGGGTACGGGGAAATGGTCCATCCACAGGAGGTTTCTCCTTGGATGACATTAATCTGTCATCCACCAAGTGTCCTCAGCACATCTGGCACATCCGCAACATAACTCGCTTGATGAACACCACACCAGTAGGAAGTAAACTTTACAGCCCTCGATTCCTGTCACCATCAGGATACTCATTCCAGGTGAATGGTACACTTGTATTTCATCCCCTCACTTTTAAGTGTATGAATATGTTAATATATGTTAATATGTTAGCTAACTTTTTAATCAAAACATCTGCAGCTCAAGTCTCAACTTCAAAGTTTTTTGGTTTTGGAGAGGTGAAATCCATAGACTACAACTGTTCAGCATGTTTACTGTTGCTGAGCAATAACTGGATATTCTTTTCACCGGGGAGGCATGACGCAAATCATTTATTACAAGATTTTTTTTTAAAAGCTGTCATGCACCCAGACTGACAAACTTAGCAGATTCAAACACTGAGGCAAAAATTTTACAATTGCAAGATAGTAACACAGTAAGATAAGATAAGATACTCCTTTATTAGTCCCACAAAGGGAAATTCCCATTTAATGGCAGTGCAATAGAGTGGTTGGCTACTTTTTACTAGTTGCTTTCTTCATTTTGACCATGACTTCTTTGGTCTGTAGGTGGGTGTGTATCTTAATGGAAGAAGTGACTGTCCAGGCTACATGGCCATCTTCCTCCATCTGACTTCAGGCCCAAATGACCACAACCTTAAGTGGCCGTGCCCGTGGCAAATGGGGACTATGGCCCTGATGGATCAGCAGTCTGATGTCAGACAGCAGATGAACATGCACCACATGGTCACCACAGACCCCAACAAGATGTCGTCTGATGGTATGGACCTGTTCTGCCAAATAGTGTAATAGATTAACGAGAGGAGATAATCATTCAACTCTCACAATATTTTAACTCTGACCATGAACATTTTCAAAAACCCAACCATGTAGGATTTTGAGCATTAATACAGCCACGTGATTGGCTATTAGGATGTAACTGATAGGCAGAGGCTGCACTACAGAGAGCCAATCAGTCCTAACTGATCTCATTCACATTCCTTAAGCTATGCTAAGTGCATGTGGTTTGGTCTGGTGAGTACTGCATTATACTGCAAGCCCTCTGATTGATGTCAGTCATCACTTCCAATTCAGAGAAAACTGACTTCCCCACTGAGCTACAGCTACTCAGGAGAAAACCACGATTGAGGTCAAATAAAAGGAATTCATCCAAGTGGACTTTTACTTTGGATGAGAGCAGAAATTTCTCTTACTTCTGGGTGAAAAAAGGGTCCTTGTAGAAAGTCCTCATAGCAGATTTATAGAAAGTGTGCATGCTCTGAATGACAGCTAGTCATAGAAGAGAAGAACAGGATTTCACTGATATGAACCAAGTTTGGTGAGACATACTTGAAGGGTGTCTTATTCATTTTCTAACACTACAGCCAGTCTTCATATTTGTTAAACTGGATTTTTCCCCCAACAGGAAGTGAGTACTACTGGGATGACCCCAGAAAGGTGGGCTCTAAAGTGACCTCATCAGATGGCAGCTCTTACTATCGAGGCCCAGGTTGGGGGATAAACACCTTCATCACCCACAGCAGACTGAAGAGCAGAAACTACATCAAAGGCGATGATGCTTTCTTCCTCCTCAGTCTGGAAGGTGTGGAGTCTCTCAGACACAGGATAGGACCAGGACTTTAAACACAAATGAACCCTCAACAAAGATCCTCTGTCTCTTTTTGTCTCTAGATATTTCTGATCTGCTGGAGTCTCAGCCTCCTCCAGATGATGCCATGTTGAAGGCTGCAGACCAAGATGCTCCACAGAGGGCTGCTAATAACCCAGCTGTGGTAACAGCCATCGCAGGGACTGTGGGGGCAGTCACATTGCTGCTTTGTGCGCTGATCTTGGCAAAAACCTGGAAGATAAGCAGGTGAGGGGGCATGCCAGGGTTCATGGGAGGGATTGTGGTCTTAGGATTAGCCAAGATAATAGAAATCTAGGCTTATAATATTTCACAGTGCTGATTTAGGCCATGCATCTGAAGCAAAGTGCCATGTCTCCAATATTAAATGTGTCTCTGATATTTTTTACAGGAAAACCCAACAAAAGGGTTACCGTTCTCTCTCAGTCAATGACGTCTGATCCAAGAAGGAGCATGCTGTACTTTCTACATCATCTGAAGACACAAAAACAGGCAAATCCCTTTCTTTTTTTCAAATCTTTTTGCATATGCTGTTTTTCATGTTTCCAGCCTTTCAGTTCTGAAGTTATCCTGTCAATACTTTTTCTTTCTACTTCATTTCACAAGCACCACCAGATAGTTCTAACTCTTATCTTCAGAGCAGCAAAACAAACACTGAAATGGACTCTATAAAGGTGGGCAATGGCAGCATGGCGCTTCTCATACTGGACTGTGTATTTTTGTGTCTATTTTGCCAGAAGGTTATCTTGTTATCATGAGAAACCAAGCTTTGTGTACTGAAGATAATGAGAAACATTTATCATATACAAAAAAGCATTACAGTATAGTGGTATTTTTATTTTGTCTTTTCTGAGTCGTTTTGTTTTATATAGGAAAGTGTATGGAAATGTGTATGTGTGCTGTCTTTGTGCATGTTTTTAACTCACTGCAAATGAATTTCCTCACGGGGCAATAAATTCTACCTACCTACCTACCTACCTATTATCCTAGATTATTCATGACTGCATATCAGATTTAAAACAGCTTCTGGTGTGTTATTGATATAAACTCTGATTTTTAGGTTAAAAGCAATATTAAAACAACAGCCATGTTCACAATACCCAATATATATATTGTTTTAATGTCATGGATCAATTCAGAATTTGTCTGACTCATTTTTCTGACTGGGATAATCATGTATATTACATTAAAATGTGCATAGAACAATAAATGTTGTCATGATATTGTGTTTTACCAGATGCACAAAAGAGCCAACAACATGCACTTGACACAATTTCAGTCTAATGAGTTCCCAATGAAATGGTTAAACACACTGATTGCATTGTTTACAGTTATATGTGTGAAATAACCTGCTAATGGTACTGATTTGGTCTTAAAAGTTGACCGGAAGTGCTCTTACTTTGAAACACCAAGGAAATCTTTTCAGTGTTGTTATTGTTGCTGTTCATATTAAAGAACCGGTGATTGTTGTTCCAAATGAAGCCACATAAGGTCTCCAAACATCTCTTTTTTTTTCTTTTTTTTAGTCTGTGAGCATTCAGAAATGAAAAACATGTACTGCAACAAGTTCAAACCCAGACTAAGGCTAAAAAGGACCGGTGGCAGCATATTTAGTTTGGCCTCAACATTAATACACACAGAACTCAGTGTGTTTTAGGAAATTTTTGGAGGTCTGAACAGTCCTACACTGATCATGCCACATGTATAGCTTTCTTTTTGTCTCTCACGTTTACAAAACCAAATTCCATTGAAGTTGGGAAATTGTGATAAACATAAAGAAAAACAGAAAAATGATTTGCAATTCCTTTTCAAACTGTATTCATTTTGAATACACTTTTTTTGCAAATAATAATTAACTCAGAATTTCATGGCTGCAACACGTGCCAAAGTAGTTGGGACAGGGGCATGTTTACCACTATTTTCCATCACCTTTCCTCTTAACAACACTCAATAAACATTTGGGAACTGAGGAGACTAATTGTTGAGGCTTTGAAGGTGGAATTCTTTCCCATTTCTACCTGACGTACAGCTTCAGTTGTTCAACAGTCCAGGGTCTCTGTTGTTGTATTTTATGCTTTATAATGCGCCACACATTTTCAATGGGAGACAGGTCTGGACTGCAGGCAGGCCAGTCGAGTACCCGCACTCTTTCACTACGAAGCCACACTGTTGTAACACGTGCAGAATGTGGCTTGGCATTGTCTTGCTGAAATAAGCAGGGCTGTCCATGAAAAAGACATTGCTTGGGTGGCAGCATATGTTGCTCCAAAACCTGTATGTATCTTTCAGCATTAATTTTGCCTTCGCAGATGTGTAAGTTACCCATGCCTTGGGCACTAATGCACCCTCATATCATCACAGATGCTGGCTTTTAAACTTTGCATTGATAATAGTCCGGATGGCTCTTTTCCTCTTGGCCCGGAGAACATGACGTCCACTATTTCCAAAAAAAACTTGAAATGTGGACTCGTCAGACCACGGAACACTTTTCCTCTTTGCATCAGTCCATCTTTGATGAGCTTGGGTCCAGAGAAGCCGGCGGCATTTCTGGATGTTGTTGATAAATGGCTTTCGCTTTGCATAGAAGAGTTTTAACTTGCACTTACAGATGTAGCGACGAACTGTATTTACTGACAGTGGTTTTCTGAAGTGTTCCTGAGCCCATGTGGTGATGTCCTTTACACACTGATGTTGGTTTTTGATACAGTGCCGCCTGAGGGATCGAAGGTCACGGGCATTTAATGTTGCTTTCTGGCCATGCCGCTTACATGCCGTGATTTCTCCAGATTCTCTGAACCTTTTGATGATATTATGGACCGTAGATGTTGAAATCCCTAAATTCCTTGCAATTGTACTTTGAGAAACGTTGTTCTTAAACTGTTTGACTATTTGCTCATGCAGTTGTTCACAAAGTGGGGAACCTCACTCCATCCTTGCTTGTGAATGACTGAGAATTTTTGGGGAAGCTGCTTTTATACCCAATCATGGCACCCACCTGTTCCCAATTAGCCTGCTCACCTGTGAGATGTTCCAAGTAGGTGTTTGATGAGCATTCCTCAAATTTCTCTGTATTTTTTTGCCACCTTCCCAACTTCTTTGTCACGTGCTGTTGCCATCAAGTTCTAAAGTTAATGACTATTTGCAAAAAACAATAAAGTTTATAAGTTTGAACATGAAATATGTTGTCTTTATAGTGTATTCTATTGAATATGGGTTGGAAAGGATTTGCAAATCATTGTATTCCGTTTTTATCTACGATTTACACATCTTACCAACTTCATTGGAATTGGGTTTTGTTCATGATGTTTTAGAATAATGACATAAACACCTCAATCCAGCATGACAGTCAGTCATTTGTTCAGACAAAAAAGAGACAGTCAAATACGAGTTAAAGCCAACATCATTTTATTACACATTAGCATGCATGTGTGCTGTGACAAACATACACAGTTTCATACATGTTGCCTGTGTGTCACATACAACGACCTCCTCACATTGTGCCTCATGTTTTATTTTCCACCTTTCTAATTTAAACAGTTTGATCTCATGTGGCAGCCGGGGGCGGGGTTAACGGAGAATGGAATTTGGAAGAAGATGTAGTACAATACTGTAACCCCTATTTACCGATTCACCAATCAACTACTGATTACTGAATATAATTTGATTTTGTTGCTGACAACGCCACCCCAGGAATTTCACCTGGAGAGTAGAATTACCCCTGAATATAAAACTAGGGCACACACAGGTTCGTCTGCCAGTGAAGACAGGAGGCTGTGGTCCAGTGTACAAATACGTTGAATTTTATTCGACAATGTTCACCAATGACAAAGTTGATAAAATATTTTTTCACACAAACACACACACACACTTCTATAACAACAATGTTGCCTATAAAATTGTTGTGCAAATAGCAAACACTGGCTAAATCAAAAATAACCACAAATATTAAATAAAGAAAACTAGCAAGCAAAAAAAGGAAGAAAAATAACTCAAAATATTTAGAAATGACCAAACCAAACAAACATGCAAATAAACCAAATACTAATAACTAACAAAACAAAGTACTCAAACCGGAAAAACTAAACACAAAAACACTCAAATCACAAAATAATATCAAATGATTTAAACCATAATAGACTAAATGCCAACAAAATGAGGAAGCTGAGGCAACAGGTTACCAAAATAAAACGTGGTCTCAAGGGTGTTGACGTCACCTCATATGAAGCAGAACGCCATCAAATCAAAGTTAGATGCCGATAGTGACGGCCTTACCAAAGGCGATGAGACAGGAGTACAGTAAAGCAGGTAGCAGCGGTAGCAGAAACAACCACAGCAGCAGCACAGGAGCAAACCAGCAGCCCAGAAGCCGACAGCAGCACAGAAGCCGGCAGCAGCACAGGAGCAAACCAGCAGCCCAGAAGCCGACAGCAGCACCGAAGCAGAACAGCAGCACAGCCGATAGCGGCCCGAGAGGAGGGAGGAGAGTTTAGGGCAGCCCGACCGGCTCACACACACAAAGACTAATGTGAGAAAAATATAATTTAGCACCACGGCTTAATAATGATAGCATGAGTTGCAGTCATTTAAAACACATACCGTCAGCAAGTTGAATGAACCTCACGAGGGCGAGGGAACGAGGCACCCGAAGCGCCACAGAGAACTATCAACGGCCAATCAGCTAATCAACCCCAGCTGTGTGGGGATGCAGGAAGACACACTTTGGGTCCCGCAATCGGTTCGATGCAGGAGAGAGAAGACCAAGTGAGGAACTGTTGGAGACAAAAGCCAACCCTGACGGCAACCGCAAAACTTTTAAAGCGATGAAATAAAGTATGTGATTGACATACCAGGAGCAGCGAACTAAGCACACAGCACAATCCGGCAGCGAGGCGATCAGGTACGGTGACCAGGTGTTGCATTTATACGGAGAGAGCACAGCTGACAAGAGCTCTGAGCAGAGGGAGAGGGCTCGCAGGGAGCAAGCACCCACATTTAAAGACTATGACCCCCTGAAGGCATAGGCCGAGACTGCAGCCTAATCAAGATACAGCTGGGCTGTCGGCCCATACTGCCACACTCACAAAGAGATCTCCCTCCTACAATGAGCTGGTATTTGATACCTCTTAGACAGTGGTATTGTTTAATGAGTGTGTTTGAATGTTTCTGCACATTGTGGTCAAGTTACAGTGCTTTACCGTTTCTTTGAGATGAGGAATTTGAAAACTGCATGTTGACTATTTGCTCAAAATAATATTGAAAATCTATAATGCCTTTTTTTTTAACAGACAATATAACATTTTACATTTCAAAAAATTGAGGAATGGTCTGATCCAACACACATTAATGTCCATTCTCATTGGATAAAATCAGCTCCATTAGTGAGCCCAGCTTATGTGTATAGCCCCTGTACTGTTTTCAGTGGTCTGGGTGGAGAATGTACCAAGAAAGTTTTATGTTATTGTTATGTCCAAAACTCACAAAATGACTGCATCTTCCATAAGTGGGACTATAACCCACCCCATGTTTAAATAAAGGACTGTGACTGGGTCAGTATTCTGGACTTAGAGGGGAAAGAGTTGAGAAAGAAAGCAGCTTTAGACCCACGTGACAACAAAAATGAATATGAGCATTACATTTATAGTTGACAGAGTTAATGAATTTAACTTTGGGTATAAATACAGTTCTTGTAGTGTATTGTACACTGTTGAATTTTCTGCAGCTTGAGATCAATGCATTCATTCATCACTCTGCATCCTACACAAAGTTATTATGAAAAATTATATTTCAAAGCAAAATCAATTTCATCCAAAGGCATCGACCGAAACCATGCAACATAGAACGTCCTTGCAGTGACTACATGCTAAAAGAGCCAATCATTTTTCTGACCTTGATTATGTCATGTAACTAGCAACACAACTTAACTAGTTTTCAATGACTGAAGCCGGGTAACTTCCAGCATGGCTTGATTGTCTGGTTGATTTCATGATTCATCACTTTATGGTTCACAACAGGAGAAAAAGGGTATAAAGAAATGAGCATTAAATTTCCAGGTGAAAACTTTAATTGTCAAAGTTTTGTGAACAGGGGCCACAGTATTTGTGTGAATCAGCTTTTTTACTCTCCAGCCGTTCCTCAGAATCAGCTGGCGCAGTGACATTTTCTTGCTCGCCGGTGGCGTGAAAAGTACGCTGAAAGCGCGCCGATTCAAACCTGGTCAGCTTTCAGCGCAGGCGGAGCACAGCTGGTCTAGTGGTATTTTGGTAGACTGGCAACACATCACGCATACGTCACTGATGCCTCACCGGCAGGTTTCCACAGTGTCAGGCACATTACAGTGCAATAAATAATCATCAACAACTAATATTCTGAATCAGCACATACATTTAGATCTATATTGATATATTCTGATCTATATCTTATCTGATGAGCACGTTTGGCACGCAATTGGACACTCCAACTAACCGAATTAACACAGTTGAAACCGCGTTAAATAAAATATCCAGCAAACACATGATCCTTTTAGTGATCCCCTGCATCCTACCCACTCATTAGCTTCTTAAAGTGAAAAAAAATTATCTCATATTTAAAAAAAAAACAAGTATTGGATCATGACAACAGGTCAAATGGAGCAGCAAACTTTCGTTCTGTTTTTAGGTATTTAAAAAATACACACACAGAGGTGTACTTGGGTATATAAACTGTACAGTAAGCTGTTAAGGTAGAGAACATTATATTTTTGGGGCAGCAAATATTCCAAATCAGAGGGCTATTATTTTTCGGCATATCTGAATAGCCTGAATGAAATCATTAAAGGCACATGCTTTAGAATCAGTCCAATGGTAAGGAAAACTTGGAAAATACACCTTGTTGTGTACTTTCAACCGCGCTCCCGTCAGGGGGTGCATTCTACAGCAGGGGTACATTCTATGGCCTGACGTCTCTTCGTGTCCTCTCTCCATCCTGCTGCTGCTGCGGTGGCATGGCTAACCAGATAATTTATTTTAGTGATCAGATGAGTTATTTCAAAAATTTGAACAAAAAAATAAAATGAAATAAAAGAAACTTTTACTCAAAATTCCCTGTCTGATTTCCTCACAGATTCCTCAAGATTCTGTAAATATTCAATCCGGAGTCAGGCCCACATACGAATATTATAATATTCAGTTTTGTGAGCCAAATCTATTTTATTTGCCAACATCTGTGAAAGACAGAGCCAGGCCACAGAGTGCGATGCGTCCTTTATGCACAGATGGTTCCGATTTGAATGCCATTATTGGAATTCATGATGTGATCCGTGCGCAAAACCCACCTTTGTCATGTGGTGTTTAAATATATGCAACTTTATGTGATTGTTGCCATCGTGTGGCATTGCTGTCTTCAGACATCTCTTGATCTCTGTGACTACTGCACGAAAATTCCAACGGATTTAAAGGTGAGAAGAGGAGCTGATGTTATTGGTCAATACAGGGCTATGTTAAACCCACTCCACGCCCTCTCTCCTCCAGCTGGGAGGAGCTGAGTTAGGGAGAGGGGATACTTACGCCGGGCTGCGCCACTCACCAAAAAATGTGACTTACATCACATCGCCGGTGAGCCACGAAAATAGAGCCCCAGAGTATAAAAGGAAACAGCTAGTGTTAGTTCAATCACAGGTTAAACACAGGAGCAGTTCATTAATGGGGGGGGGGGAAATAAAGCCATTTACAAATTTCCGAATATTTCAATAAGCTACAGGCATAAAGAGAAATGGATTGCCAATCAGATTGTCCATTATCTAGGATCTCGGCCTGGTGGTGTCAAAAGCACTGGAGAAGTCGTAATCATGATCCTCACATTGCTCTCTGTTTTCTCAATGACAAATAAACAGACCAGTGCATGTGGATGCCTTCCTCTTTGATGTTAGTTACAGTCAGTACTCAGTCAGAGAGAGTAGAGAACAAGGGTGAGAAAGAGAGACAGGGGACAGCAGCAACATTAAAACAACAGCAACAACAACAACAAGAGCTCATGTACTGGTGAAACAAAATGAATTCAGTTTACAGGGTTAGGATATGAGTAATGAGACAATGTTAAATTAATTTAATGGGATTACAGTCAGCAGGCCTAATAGTAGTTACCTCTAGATTTATGTTATTAATGTCAGTGAGGCTGATGTTCATGTCTGCAGTAACAGTCCAGAGGAACCCAAAAGAAGAAGGAGCTCAGGGCCTGAGGCGGACAATCATAAACCATGCAGCTGGAGTCAGGCAGGTCTGCAGCAGCCAACCGTCTGTAGCATCAGTCCAGAGCAACCTCGGAGACTGGGGAGCTCAGAGATACAGAGAGATCTGGTTAGCAATTAGATGGGAGAAAATGACTAACTAATTATGGACTATGTTAAATTAATTTTAGGTGATTAATGTTAGTTAGGCTGACGTACGTGTCTGCAGCACTAGTCCAGTGGAGCCTAAGAGCTGGAGGAGCTCAGGGCCTGAGGTGGACAATCATGACCCTCACAGTGCTCTCTGTTTTGTCAATGACAATGATGCTTTTACTATTGTTGTCATAGTGTACTGTGTAGTGTATATTGATACAATCTGGTCAATATTGGCCAAACGTGGTTCTCTGGGACCTCATTTGAATGCTAATTTTGTGATAACCCTGGCTGTTTTTTTTAAACAATCAACTATGTAACCAACTATCTTTCAGCCTTCTCTCCAAGCAAGATCCTGATCCTATGGGAGCTGTTGTGTTTTTGAATTACAGTTACATATTTACATACTTATTTATATATTTACTTTTTTCAGTTGGGTGGTCTCTTCTGGCAGAAACAGTGGACTACAATTCCCTCATTCTTCAGAGAGGATGTTTCTCTGGGCAGGAAGTAAAGCAACAGATGGAGGAAGTGATCACAGGTATGAAGACTGACATACCTGTTGGTTTAAGACCCTTACAGTATAAGAACTGTCGAAGGGAAAATGAGAAGTGCAAATATGTCAAAAAGTCTAAATTTGACTGTCTTTGATTATATTGTCATCTTGCTGCCTAGGTAGTGTGACTCTTGGAATTAAAAAAAAAAAAACCCTGACAGTGCTGACATTGACATGAATCATATATTGTAAATATCTTATGGGGAATAAGGATATTTGCTTTTGTAAATCACAAAAAGGCTTCTGTATGAATTTGAGTCTCTAAACTTCAAAAAACTCTTCACAGGGTCTTTAAATTAAATCAAGCTCTGAGCTTTTATTTGCTCTTTCTAATCAAGCATTGAAAAGAGATGAGGAACGAAATCTTCATAGTAGTCATTCTCTTTGTCTTTTAATTACCTTTATTCAAATGTGAGCCTGTGTGCCACCAATTGTTTCCAAAGGTTAATTATAATTAAATTAGCATTGAAGTTATCATTACTTCCAAATGTGGTCTGTGACAGACATTAATTACAACCTACTGACTCAAATGGTCAGTTGTAAGCAAAGACGGAGATTATGATGTCATTTGACATATAATTATATACTCAATGGGAGTATTTGAGCTACAGATGAGGAGGAGAGTAAATAAGAAGATCAGGGGCCTTATGTATCAACGTTTGCGGCGCAAGAAAACCTTGCGTACGCCAAAATCAGCGCACACTTCCAGATTTATCATCGCAAAACGAGCGTCGGTTCCAGCGCTAATCAACGCAAAGTCAGTAGGTGGTGTAGAAATTGGCGTTGAGCTGATATATGCGTTGACGGCACTTTGGCGACGCTGTGTGGCGGTGTTTAGTGACTCACTATCTGACAAGCGTCCACACATTGCAGTGGATTAATTGTTAATCCGACAGCTGTTCATGTGTTAATTGTGTTAATTTGTAACACATTAACACAAACACGAACACCTGTCGGTATTACTGGAGGGGCTATAAAAGAGCGCATACAACTACACATAGAGAAGACAACATTCAACAATGGCAGCACTTGCGCTGATCGAAGACTTACAAAACCGTGCCATCCGACGTGAGCGTCATTTTATGGAGCGGGAGGACCTGCTCCAGAACAGCAATGAGTGGCTCATGAGCCGGTCCCGGCTACTGCGGGCCATCCTTTTGGAGCTGTGCGAGGAGCTCCGCCCCGGTGCTCCAGCGATCAACGGCCAGAAGCCGAGCGGTGGCCGTGCGAACGCTGGTGCTGGGCACACTCGGCTTCTTGGCCACAGGGTCCTTCCAGCGGGCGATGGCGGACCGTGCTGGGGTGAGCCAGTCCACCATCAGTGGTGGACCAGCTGATCCGCCTCTCTAACAGGTATATTAAATTCCCCTACGGTGCGGTTGAACAGGCCAATATTAAAACGCAATTTGCAGCAATAGCCGGATTCCCAAACATAATCAGAGCTATTGACTGCACTCATGTTGCCATAAAAGCGCCGTCCCATGACGAGTACGCTTACGTTAACCGCAAAGGCGTTCACTCCATCAATGTGCAGATCATCTGTGATGCACAGATGAATCTGCTCAACATTGTTGCGAGGTGGCCCGGTTCAACACACGACTCGCACATCATGTACAACAGCACTGTTGCGGAGAGGCTCCAGGCAGGTGCAGTGACAGATGGGTGGCTGCTGGGTGAGTAAATATGTAATGTTATAATTTTATTAAAGAAACTCAACGTGCATCAGTGACTTGAACCAAATGTGTGCAACGCTGATGTATTGTACCCTGTGTTTGATTGCGAGTACTCGATGGATGTTGTGGGTTATTGATTGCTTATTGCTTGCTATTATTACAACGCATCAAGCCCAAGACTTAACACACTGTGCTTTTTCTGAAGGTGACAGTGGCTACCCCCTCAGGACCTGGCTGATGACCCCTCTCCACAACCCCCACACTGACCGAGAGCGGAGGTACAACCATCTCCACTCTCGCTCTCGGTCAGTGGTGGAGAGGGCCATTGGCCAGTTAAAGGGTCGGTGGTGCCGTCTGGACCGGAGTGGCGGCGTGCTTCTATATCGTCCGGAGAAGGTGTGCCACATTGTGATGGCGTGTGGTGCTGGTCCTGGCCGACGACTCCGAGCCGGCGGACGGGCTGCCGCGGGCCGGGGTTCCACAAGCCGGCGACACGGCCGACACATTGATTTCTGTGACACAATAAAAATATTGGTTCATTTCAATTCCTGCTTCTGTGTATCTGTTGCGTTTACATCTATGGCAAAGCATGTGGACATTTGTGTGACACGCCACTTACCCTCCGGTTGGCTGTCTGAGTCGCCGTGGGTAGCGGCGACAATCCCCCCCACAGAGGCGCCCCCCATAATCGAGACCCTATTTAAATAAATCTGCATATTTATAGGAGGGCGTAACGGGGGGCGGGCCCAGTCACTCCGACATCTGCGCTCAATTCCACGCTGATTGGGATTTATCAAGGAAACACACCTGGATTTCGGCGCCCGCACACATTGATACATACGGATTTTTTTCAGCATGACGGACCTTGCGTGCGCTCGCTTCTGGTATGAGTTCCACGCAAGTATTGATACATAAGGCCCCAGATGAGCTAGAAACAGAAAGCACTAAAGCTGAAGGGAAAAGATGAGCATAGACTTGTAGTGATGAATACATACAACAGTCAAGGATAGTTAACGTGTGTGTGTGCTGTTAACATTGAAAATGTATAGAAAAGTAAGAAAAAGAAGTGTAGGTATATAGGAGAAAGTATTACAGGATACATAATTGCAAATGGAATGAGGGTAAATCTCATTAACAGACCAAACAACATAAAGAGGTTGTTACAGTTACAACAGGACAAAGAGTATATAGTCCTGACAGCAGGTGGGCTGTTTCATTGCCTAGAGGTATGTTACCCTCAGGCATCATTTTAGGCTTTTGGGGTCAGTGTGGATGAACCAATGATGGCTGAGGAACTCATGCAGAGGTCATCTTCATCATTTTAAGTTTCTAATGTAACAAATGTGAACATAAGTTTCAAATAAACAATGAAGCAAGAGGAAGCTATAGTACATATTTTTATCACCACTTCATTTCATCACAAATCATGCTATGGCACAGGAACTCAAACCCTCTTTTTATTTTGGTGTGTATTTCGGTGCCATCTGGTGGAGAGGTTGCAGATTTCAACCAACATACACTCCTGTCACCCTTCCTGTTACAATATTACAATGTCATTTAGTTGACACAGGTATCCAAAGTAATGTGCACTGGAGAACAAGAGCAATACAAGCAAAGATCTAGACAAGACGAAAAAAAGATCAGTATGAGCCACAAAGTGCTGTCAAGTCCCTGTGCAAGCTGTCACACTGAATGTGTTGCATATGGTATGAAAAGTCCCACAGTAGAAATCAGGATAATTTCTGATATAAAAAAAGACAGACAAGGTGTTCACTAATACACACAGAAATACAACACATAATAAATACGTGTCTAGCAAAAACATATTTGGAGTCTAAGTCAAACTTGTTTCCTAGCATGTGAGTCCTTTGGTATGTCTTTAAAGAAGACATACCCCTTCATTAATATTGAATTTTTTTGTTTGTTTGTTTATTTGTTTGTTTTCCAGATCAATATACCAGAAGATTCGTGAATATGAGGTCCTGGACAAGAGAAAGACAGTGACAGCTCTGAGGCCAGGAGAGGACAGAGCCATCCTGCTGTAGCCTGGCTGTGCCATCCTGTTGCATGAATCACTTGACGTTCCTTCCCACCACAGTCTGGACTTCGGCCCATTGGAAGCCCTGAAAGTGAGCGGGAGTACTTTCCTTGATAGACAGACTACTGTAACCAATCACCGTAACCAAGCATCTGACATCATCACAGATGCTTGGTTATGGTGATTGGTTACAGTAGTACATGGGCCAATCAGGGGCTGCCTTTCCCTGTTGTCCGGGTAACAGTGGAAACACGGTCTCTGATTGGCCCGGTTATTTTCTGATCGGGAGTACACGCTCCCAATGGGCCGAAGTCCAGACTGTGGTGGGAAGGAACGTCAAGTGATTCACGCAACAGGATGGCCCAGCCAGGCTAATCCTGCTGGGCCTCAGCATGGTCCTGCTCTCTATCATGATGTACTTTGTGGTGGGGATAACGATCTTGCGCTCTTACTCTGACAGGTGATAACAGGCCACATGGTCCCTTAAATGATGTTTGAGTATGAGAAGGCAGAAATAAATCCTCTTTGTGGGAACATGTTCTTACTGCTGGTTATTTTATATCCACCTGGTGAAGAACAGTTTTTTTTTCTCTAGAAGTGTATTAGATACAGGTATATATTTAACTTATTGCTCTCCGTCTTCCAGTTTATGGACAGGTGAAGCAAGCTGCACAGTTGTGAATTCTACCATTGTGTGGGATGTGAACTGTTCCTACATCTGTGGAGCAGAGTGCTGGAAGAGTTCCCGATACCCGTGTCTGCGGGTCTTTGTCAGCCTCAGCTCCTCAGGGAAGGTGATGAGACTGTTTCACAATGAGGAAACCCAGGATAGCAACCCTGAGGTATGACATGACAACTGATCTTTCAATATTTCAGGGATCCAAGTATTTCCACTGCTCCACTAGTCCACCAGTAAGCACAGACATAACTTTACAGGACATTATCTGAAGGATTTAACTTTGTAAAACTGAAACAAAGTAAAAACATTCACCTACTTTTCTCTCTTCTTTCCTTCAGTGCTTCTACATCCTAAAGTGCACCAAAGACTATTCAGCCACACATGCTGTGGTTCAGAACATTTCTGAGCATTTCAGGTCTCAGCACGCCATTCAGTGTTTTGTGGATCCATCGGGCAAAATGGACAGCGCCATCGTGAGCCAGAAGAGGTGACGGGAGTCCCTGTTTATTGGACGTTGCATCGACAGTAAAAGAGCTACAAGAAGAAAAGACACAACTGTCTAGATCTTTGCTCTCAGATGTATTTGAATAACAGCGGCTCTGTCACTAGAGCCAAGGATCTACTGTAATCCACAAACAATCAAATAGCAGATTCAAGAGGCTCATAAATTTGTGCATATAGTTTTGCTGGTGCTTGAACCAAAAGTTAAACCCTTGAAATGATTATTTCTAGAAATGTCAGAAAAGACTTTTAAGTGCCTGTTAAGGGTTTCAAGGGTTGTAAGTTGTAAGCATATTGCACAACCTGTAAGGGTTGTGCAATATGCTTGTGCTCTTCTTTTTTTTTTTTCATTTCCGTGGTGTATAAAGCATACCACTACCTGTAATACTTACACAATCAGCGTTTTTTTTTTTGTTTTTTTTTTTTGTTTTTTTGTAGTTTAAGATGGCTGGTTCTACTTGTTATCAATCACTGTGCTAATCTTCACTAGCAGGCATCTGTGCATGTCCACATGCTTTGCCATAGATGTAAACGCAACAGATACACAGAAGCAGGAATTGAAATGAACCAATATTTTTATTGTGCCCACATAAATGGACTAAAAGTGTTTTCCTTTAAAGAGAAATCTTGCTTCATGATGACTTCATCATTTGAGGCTGACTTTAATAAGAGCTGCTCATGCCGCCTTTGTCCAAAGTTAAGAGAGTTTGTCAGGATCTTTGGAGGGCTACATTTAGATGACTATTCTTTTTCTTCATGGAGTTTTATAGGGGTTGACATCCACAGTTAGTGCATTGCCACCAACTGGAATATATTAATCTACCAGTGTAACAGTATCTCCAGTGTCCACCAGTGTGCCCCCTTCAGGACGTATCCTGCTCTATAACATGCAGACAGTGAACCAACATACACTCTGATTTAAAGGATTGTGTCATACAGACTCAAACATCTGGAATTCCCCACAAATTATCCATTATCTTTGTTAATTTGCAATCTACACTCTTAAAAACATTGAGTTAAAATCAACCCAATTTGGGTAGTTTCCCAACCCAGCAGTGGTTAAATATTGGACAGAACACATGCTGGGTTAATTTTACCCAACTAATTGGGTTGGTTCACTTAACCCAACAATTTGGTTCTTTAATCCAGGCATTTGGGTTGTTAACATTTAATATAATATTAAATTATATAATTGCATCAGATTTCATATAGCGCTTTGTCAAAGACCATCAAAGCGTTTTACATTGGAGACATCATTTATTCGTTCACATAGTCACACCTTGGTGGTGGTAAACTACCTTAGTCAAAGCTGCCCTGGGGCCAGTTTGCACCTACAGCCTCTCTGACCACCAACACACAACACTCATAATGACTCACCAGTGGAGGACACACACTGGGAGCAAGGTGGGTTAAGTGTCTTGCCCAAGGACACAACAGACAGACTTGGAATAGGGGGGAATCGAGCCACCGGCATTCCAGTTATTGAATCACCACTCAACCGACTGAGCTACTGCTGCCCCTGAACAGCTCCCTTTCCATTTTACTGACAGAGAATGAACTTTGGAGTTTGTAAACATTTGGCAGTTTTTTTTTGTTGTTTTTTTCTCTTAATATGGCTTTCTTGTCTTTTCAAAATAAAAAATACAGAACAGGAGGTTGTATCTTGCATCCACTCCACTCCACTCTAGGTCAAAAAGTCATCCACTGATTGTTCATATCAACCTGAAAGATCAAGACAGTGGGCTCTATTTTTGTGCCTCGCCGGAGACGTGCCACAGGCGCGGTGTAAGTCAGGTCCGCCGCACTGACAAGGCGTTCCCAAGCACAATTTGGTATTTTGGTGAGCAGCGCAGCCCGGCGTAAGTATCCCCCCTCCCTAACTCAGCTCCTCCCAGCGGCGTAAGTCGTAGCGAGGGAGAAGGGAGGGCGTGGAGTGGGTTTAACATAGCCGAGACCTGTTTTCACCAATCACATAAGCTCCTCTCCTTGCCTTTAAATCCGCCACAGGCGAGGCGTATTACCATTTTCGTGAAGTAGTCAAAGAGATCAAGAAATGTCTGAAGACAGTAAGGCCACAAGATGGCGACAGAAGGCAGCTCCTCAACAAGTGTCACTGTAAGCGCTGCAGAGGGCGTCCTCCACACTCTCTCATATGAGCACAGATGGATTTGGTGTGTGTAATGTTGGACCCACTGGTAAGACAAACACCCTTTTCCACAAATACAGACACTCACATACAGTTGCATATATTTAAACCTCACGTGACAAAGGTGGGTTGTGCGCACAGATCACAACATTAACTCCAAAAATGGCATTAAAATCGGAACCATCTGTGCGTAAATGACGCATCGCGCTCCGTGGCCTGGCTCTTTCTTTCATATATGTTGGCATATAAAATAAATTTGCCTCACAAAACTGAATATTATAATACCCGTATGTCGGCTTAAAGTAGATAACGCATCTGAGCACTGAAACAAATCATCTGTTCAGCCGCTGCAGCAGCAGGACGGAGAGAGGACATGGAGACGTGTCCAGGTCGAGCTGTGCGAGCTGTGTGTCTATTTACTAGATATTTAATTTAATTTTATGCGATTTCAGCTGTTTTGATTCGGTCAGGGTTGTGTGTCCAAACGCGTGCCAAACGCGCTCATCAGATGAGATATAGATCAGAATATATCGATATAGATCTAAATGTATGTGCTGACTCAGATTAATAGTTGTTGATGATTATTTATTGCACTGAAATGTGCCTGACACTGTGGAAACCTGCCGGTGAGGCATCAGTAACGTATGCCGATACGCCGCTGGTCTACCAAAATACTACTAGACCAGCTGCGTTCCGCCTGCGCTGAAAGCCGAAATCAGCCCTCTGATACCTCCCTCGTACAGTGTTGTTCTACCTCCGAAAAAAAAGATTAAGTGTTATAGAGAGTTACTGGAATTTTGTTTGGAATAATATTTTTCATGAAAGATAAAAGCGAGTAGTGTAGCTTGCTTTTAACGTTTAACCAGATGAGCTGATTATGCACTAGTTACTAGTTCTGTATGGACAGTTAAGAATCATGCGAGCAGCTTTATTTTGGGTTACTTGTAGCTTGTTTTGTGTTGTGTTGGACCAGATGACTGCACCATAATCTAAATGCGATAGAACCACAGCTTGAGTTAGTTGTTTGATTAGGTAACTTGGTATAAATTTCTTACAGTGTCTAACTACAGCTATGCCTCTTCCCATCTTTAATACTCTCTGATTAATATAATTTTTCCAGGACATTCTGTCATCTATGATTAAACCTAATAACTGTACCTCCATTTTCTGTTCTATGCTTTTATCTCCTATACTTACATTTAAGATCGGTGCAGCTTTTAATCTATGTTTCGAGCCCAACACTATGGATTTAGTTTTTTCAATATTGAGCACTAATTTATTTTCTGTAACCCATTCCATAATTTGCTTTAGTTCTCTATTTAACACATCTTCTAACTCTTCTACAGTACTTGATGAGGCATATACAGTGGAATCATCAGCATACATAACCATTGTTGCAAAATTCAACACACGTGGCAAATCATTTACAAAAATTGAAAATAATAATGGACCAAGGCACCTCCCTTGTGGCACTCCACAACTCACTGGTCTAAATTCAGAGTAACTCCCATTAAAGTAAACAGAACACTTCCTATTTTCTAAGTAGCTCTTTATCCATTTGTTTGCAGAATTATCAAAACCATAACAACTTAACTTGTTCAATAAAAGGGAATGATCCAGAACATCAAATGCTGCATTAAAATCTAACAATACAGCTCCAATTATCTTCTGTATATCTATATCTTTTGACCAATCATCCGTCATCTGAGTTAATGCAATAGTTGTGGAATGCCCCTTTCTATATGCATGCTGAAATACAGTGTTTAAGTCATTATTACAAAAGTACATTTGGATCTGTCCGTATACTATTCTCTCCATAATTTTACTCAGTGCTGGCAGTAAGCTTATCGGTCGACTATTTTTCCCTGAAAATGTTTCTCTACCATCTTTGGGTAGTGGAATGATCTTGGACATTTTCCATTCAGAAGGACAGATACCTTTTTTTAGACTTAAATTAACGATAAAAGAAATAGGTTAAGCAACCAGATCTGCTACGGTTTTAAATAACTTGACCTCCAGGTTGTCAATACCTGCAGATGTTTCGTTTGCTGCTTGCAAGAGTTTTACCACTGTGTCTGCCGTAGTTTTTTCAAATTGGAAGTTACACATTTTATCATTCATTATTTTATCTTCTATTAACTTACTTGATATGCAATCTTCCTTTTTCCTGGTATCCATATTATCCCGCAATTTCTGAATTTTATCATTAAAATAAGAACATAGATAGTTAGCTATTTCTACTGGTTTAGTCAAAATATTTCCATCAGCTTCCAAAAACGATGGAATTGATTTACCGCTTTTTCCCATTTATCTATTCAGGATGTTCCATATTTTCTTACTGTCCATTCTCGCATCTAATATTTTATAGTATAGATATAATAATATAATAATATAATATTTTATAGATAGTACATCTTTTTTTTGTTTTTATTCAATTTTGTTGCATTATTCCTTAACTTTCGAGAAACATTCCATTGTGACAAATCAGCTGATCTGATTGCTTCTGCCTTTGCCTTATTTCTTTGGTCCATAAGCTCTTTAAAATCCTGGTCTAACCATGTTGCTACATTTCTCACAGTTTGTTTTTTTGCAGGTGCATGTTTATCAAGTGGTCCTAACAAGCAGTTAAAGGCATGCAGAGCCAAATTAGGGTCTTCCTCAGTTAACACTGTTGACCAATCAATATTTCTTACATCCTCATAATAATCGTTTTCATTAAAATTCCTTAACATTCTTTTGAATATTATTTTCTGACCAGTTTAATCAATTGCAACTAGATTGTGGTCACTGCAGCCTACTGAAAGAGATATTGATTGTGAGCATAGCTCAGCAGCATTTGTAAAAATTAAATCAATGCAAGTAGATGTTTTTAAATCATCTGCTCTGTAAAATATTCTAGTTGGCTTTGTAATGACTTGTCTTAGATTACATGCATCTGCAAAAGAGGTGTGGACTATTCCCTCACTACTTCATCATCAATTCAGCAGGTAAAAGGTCTGGAGTTGATTCCTGGTGTGACATTTGCATTTGAAATCTGTTGCTGTCAACTCTCAATATGAGATCAGGAGAGCTGTCACTATCAGTAAAGCAAGCCATCAGTAGGCTGAAAAATCAAAACAACCCCATAGCAAAAATATTAGGTGTGGCCAAATCAACTGTTTGGAACATTCTTAAAAAGAAAATGCACCAGTGAGCTCAGCAACACCAAAAGACCCAGAAGACCATGAAAAACAACAGTGGTGGATGACAGAGGAATTATTTCCCAGGTAAAAAAAAAACCCCTCCACAGCAGTTTGCCAGATCAGGAACACCCTCCAGGGGGTAGATGTATGTGTGTCAAAATCAACAACCAAGAGAAGACCTCACCAGAGTGAATACAGAGGGTTCACCACAAGATGTAAACCATTGGTGAGCCTCAAAATCTGGAAGACCAGATTAGAGTTTGCCAAACAACGTTTTATTCAAAGGGATGGCTGGAGGAAACAGGATTTATGACCTATACTGCAGCCCGTCACCAAAGGGTGCTGTTCTCGCAGCGGCTTTACCCAGCGAGGAGGCAGCCGATGTCCATTCTGTATACAGTCTATGGTGCTGAATGTTGGTGAGCAGTTGTTGGTCAGCAGGGTGAAGGGCAGGGGACTACACACACATCCCCGCAGGTCTCTTGTGCTTAATTTGATGGTGCTGAAGGTGTTATTGCTGATCTGTACAGTGTGTGGTCTCTCACTGAGGAAAACCAGCAGCCAGTATCACAGTGAGATGTTGAGTCCTAGCTGGTCCAGTTTGATGATGATTTGTTGTGGAATAATAGTGTTGAAAGCTGAACTGAAGTTTATGATCAGCATTCATACATATGAGTCCTTAGTGTCCAGGTGGGTGAGAGCAGGGTGGAGAGCAGCACTGTATTCATCCTCAGTTGACTGGTTGGCTCAGTTTGCTAACTGGAATGGGTCCTGTGTGGAGGGGAAGATGGATTTTATATGAGACATGACTAACTGTTCAAAGCACTTCATGATGATGGGGTTGAGTGTGACAAGGCGGTCATCATTGGAGATTGGAGTGGACTTCTTTTGCATGGGTATGCAGGTGGTGGTTTTGGAGCATGCTAGAACAACAGCCTGGCTCTGGGAAGTCTTACAGATGTCTGTTGTTAGGATACATTGTAAATATGGAAATGGTTTGACGGAGCTGCATTAAGAATTAATTATTGTGCCCCTTGAAGTCATGTACTGATGGATAACAGGAAGAAGGATAAAAGCTCCAGGGAGGCTGCAGATCACCCTGTATAAAGAACGGTATCCATAGTATGAAGGTTTTAGCTTTGGCGTCTCTTGACATTTGGTAAGTAAGGTCTCTTCAACTAAAAAAAGATGTTTGTGTCCTGTTTTTGAAGGATGTCGCACCCATGGTTGTGAAAGAGGAAGTATGCAAACTGATAGTGTGATTGCGGTTTGAACATAGGGTGGGGTGTTAGATAATATCATTTATATAACTTGCTTATTTAAAGACTCTGTTGCACATTCTTGACTCATTGTAATCAATAAATAGAGCTTCAACTGAGAACTCATCTGAATCCTCGTCTTTCCTTCTTCCCATTGACGACCACGCGGGAAAAGGGTTAAAGGTAAATAATACCAGTTAGTACTTTCTTTATTGTGTTTGGGAAATTAGACGTAAAAGTACTCCTTAATGTGAAAGGGAAAACCACCCTTTTTTCAACACAGTGAAGACATCTTACATAGCCCCTATGCGCAGTCATGCAGCACAGGACCAGCAATGTTGCGAGGACCAGCAGCCTTGCGGGTGTTGATGCTGGAGAGTGTCCTCATCACATCCGCTGTAGACAGACACAGAGCCTTGTAGCACCCTATAATGTAATAATTTACTGAAAATGTAATAACACCTGAAAATGTAATAAAACCCAGTAATGTAATAAAATAGTCTGACTGATGTTGTAATAACATTTTTACCTATAATGTAATGCCTCATTACATTATTGGGAATTTATCACATTTTCAGGAGTCTATTTGTTTGTTTGTTTGTTTGTTTGTTTGTTTTCAAAACTGATAATGTTAATGTTAATTAATGTTAATGCAAATCACTATCTCATGAAAACAACCACAAACAAACAAAACAACTTTCAGTAACACTTCATTTGGACAAGAAAATACATAGGCATTCATAACACCTGCATACACATCACATGACACCCAACATAAACATAGGCCGATATATCCACTCAGCTGATGGGGCTCTGCTCTGTCTCTAGCACAACCTGAAACCACTCTGCTCGCACCACACACAGACACTAGGGGTGCAATAGATCAAAAAACATATGGTTCAGACCATTTCTCAGATCAGAGTCATGGGCCAGATCATTTTTCGGATCAGTAAAAAACACTCTGTCTGTCGTGAGTGCAACAGAGGATTCTCGGGATAGTTCATCCACAACATTTTCTTCTGCTGAAGTGCGTGCGTGACGTGATGTGGCAATGTGGCTCAAGCACAAGCATGCGTTTAAAGCCCTCTGCAGCTATAAACACACTGATAGCGATTGGGTTGTGCAGCAAGGGGCTGCTTAAATGCTGTGGTGATAAACGGTTTTTATGCAATCGCTTATCAAAAAAAAAAGGTCATATTACCTTCTTGTGCCACAGTGCCTGTACACACCGTCACTGTTTTATCTGCTAACCTTTTTCCTTCATTGTTATATTTGACAAGGAAGCCAAAATGCTCTCACACAGGGGATTTAAATGATGGAGGGCACTCAAGCTCCTCTGTTCCTCCACTTGCCATGAGCATGCTGCTCTAAAGTGTGTGGACTGAACATGTGCACTTTTAATTTTTTTCATAAATCATTTCGCGGATCATGTCTATGCCAAACAGAAGATATTGATCTGAACGGATCATGGACCAATGATGATCCGTTGCACCACTAACACACGCACACGCGCACACACACACACACACACACACACACACACACACACACACACACACACACACACACACACACACACACACACACTCAAGCAGCAGTGCCCAGTTCTCATGATTATTGAGCCACACTCAGACAATCAGAAATTTCTGCCTTTAAAGATGAGAAACATGCAAAATGATCATGTCAATTTTATTGAAGTTCTGTGATTTTTCATTTATACAAGTAAATCTCACAAAGTGCCAGTACGGCAGTATGTCAACTGACCACTATGCCACTTGACATAGAGTAAGATGTCAAATTGACATTGAAATTGATTTAATAACCATTTATGAGTGGATATGTAGGCCTATGTTTATGTTGGACACCATGTGATGTGTACACAGGTGTTATGAATGCTTATGTATATTCTCTTCAAATGAAGTGTTTCTAAAAGTTGTTTTGTTGGTTTGCGGTTGTTTTTATGAGGTAGTGATTTGTTGGAAATCTGTGAAGTGAAGAGGTTCATTTAGGGAAGAATTACCTGGGGTCTCCAGTGCTGCTCAGGATCTGAGCTGGAATTGTAGTCTCCCAAGGTCCAAGGTCCATAACCCACTCAGTAGGACCAGGATGTAGTTGCATGTGTGATACTCAAGGTCTGCAATTTAACCCAATAGTCATTCTGTTGTTTCAAAGCTAGTGCATACAACACTTTTAGACTCTCAAAACACATAATGTAGAACTCTGGACTGAAAATGAACGTATATATTACATTATCTGTCAAGTATAACATTATCAGTTTTAAAAACAAAACAAAACAAAAAAAACTCCTGAAAATGTAATAAATTCCCAATAATGTATTAAGGTATTACATTATAGGTAAAAATGTTATTACAATATCAGTCATATTATTTTATTACATTAATGGGTTTTATCACATTTTCAATCGCATTAAGTGCTAATTTTCATTACATTTTCAGGCGTTATTACGTTTTCAGGAAATTATTTCATTATAGGGTGCTACAGTAGTTCAAGCTTAGGGGGTATATGGGCAAAGGATTTATGCAGGTATGTGTCCAGACAGGCCTTAACATCTGATCATTAGTTTGAATCACATTTGTTTGGGATGGGCTTGAGATGGGCTAATCTAAAACAAAACAACAAAAGCAACAACAAAAATTTTACCCTAATGCCGGGGTTTGTGGTCCTGCTGCTAAACAACTTGAATGATTTTCATGTTATTGTCTTCAATAATAATATTGTCTTCAATTGTCTCCAGCACCTTATTGTTTTCAGTGAATAGAGCAAGTCAAATAAACCTCAAGTTGCAAGATTGTTTTTAGAGTGACCTTTAATAAACCTGTGCATGTACAGGTACATAAGGTTTGTAAGCATTTGTAAGTTTGTAAGATGAGCTTATCACTGATATTTAATTAATGGTTAATTTGATAGTCATGGAGGGGTGGTACAGTGGTGAAGTGGTTAACACTGTCGCTTCACAGCAAGAAGGTCCTGGGTTCGAATCCGGGTCAGGGTGTTTCTGTGTGGAGTTTTCCTGTTCTCCCTGTGTCTACGTGGGTTTACTCCAGGTACTCTGGTTTCCTCCCACATCCCAAAAACATGCAGAAGTGGGTTGAGGATAATTCGTCACTTACAAATTGCCCATATGTGTGAATATCAGTGTGGATGGTTGTTCGTCTCTATATGTCAGCCCCGCCACTCCTGACAGGGAAAAAGCGGTAGAAAATGGATGAGTGGATGATAGTTGTGTAATCCCTTCAAAGTCATAAAAAGGGGTCAGATCTTGTAAATGTTGCACAGCTGATCTGAGGCTGGTTTTCTGCAGCTATGGTCATGGCACTCAGGTGGATCCCTCTGGTCTTCTGTCTGGGACTGGTAAGTACAAGCCTTCACATTTATTCTGTGTAGTACTGACATTGACCTCTTATTAAGACTATGAATTCTCTTTATTGATTGATGAATGTACATTCTGATATATATTTACCAGGCAGCAGCAAAGCTGTCAGGTGATACAGGTAAGTCACAATCTTTTTCATGTAACTCTCTGTCACATGGTAAAAAAAACAAACAAGCAAGTTATTGGATATAAATGACACTGAAGACTATATGAGGTTACTTTAAGTTATAATAAATTTCCCTGCAAATTCTGAATCACTTGATCTTCTGACAATCTCATGATTCAAATATTGTCCACTAAGCATTACCTGACTGCACTATTTGTTCTTATGTTTGTATTTGTATCTGTACACTAGCTCACTGAGGGAAGATCTGCTGACTTACTGACTTACCTCTACAAATTTAAGAAATTATATAAAATGAAAACATTTTATAGCATACATCCCAGATTTGAAATAGTCATTCATGTTCGTGCAGCAGGGTTCATAGCAACATTAAATCAATGAATCAGGTACTGTAGTTTTGCGCCTACTTTAACAATGTTTTATTTATCTACAGAAATAGACGTTGACAACGGCCGTGACTGGGACATCTTTAACATCAACAAAGGTTTGTGTGCTTGATTGTAAAATTATGCAACAGTAAGTCTAAATACACCAATACCATGTTTCTTTGCAGCTGCTGGGCTAGACCTGCTGGAGGGAGACATCGAACAAGATGAGGTACAATTATTTGGAAATTGCCAGCATATAGTGCCCTGGTTTTACAAAAGAAAAGGCCAAAAGTCCATGAACAGATATTAAACCCTTGTTATTTTTGTATGGCAGCTTAGTAAGGCCAGCAGTTGCAATAACACAAAGTTACAACACTTTGTAGAAAAATTTGTACTCAACTATTTCCATCAGACATTCAGCAGAAACACCATCTTGGGTGATGAGTATCGCTGGCCAACCACCATTCCCTACTACCTTGAGAACAACTTGGGTAAGACACTGTGCTATATTGAGGCTCATACTCACAGTCATTCCCCATAAATGCACTTGTACTTAGGTATGTTTTTTATGGTTTTCTGTGTCTCATACTTTGTAATGTTTAGAAATGAATGCAAAGGGAGTGATCCTGAAGGCGTTCGAGCAGTACAGACTGAAGACCTGCATCGACTTCACACCATGGAGGGGAGAGCAGAACTACATCTCTGTGTACAAAGGGAGTGGGTGAGCCAACTCTGAACAGCTCCTGTGGCTTACACTTTCACATTGCTCTGCCTAATTTTTTGGTTTCTTGCTTGGAAATGGATTTGGATGCAAATTCATTACCCTCAAAGACACCATGGCTTTAGGGACACCATGGACTCTATTTTCGTGCCCGCCGGGTGCGGCGAAGGGTGGCCCACAGCCAGTTTGGTATTTTCGTAAACTGAGGCGTACCGAGGTCCGCCAAGCTGGGCGTGGTGGCGCAGTAGGGGGAGGTGTTGACATAATCAGCTGGCCCAGTGACATTTTAGTGCCCGCTGGTGGCGTAAAAAGTGCGCTGAAAGCTCACCGATTCAAAACTGGTCAGCTTTCAGAGTTGGTCTAGTGGTATTTTGGTAGACCGGCGTCATAGTGTGCACACTTCACCAATGCCTCACAGGCAGGTTTCCACAATGTCAGGCACATTTCAGTGCAATAGATAATCAACCACAATCAATATTCAGTGCAACTATCTGAGTCAGCACATACATTTAGATCAAAATCAATATATTCTGATCTATATCTCATCTGATGAGCGCATTTGGCAGGCATTTGAACAGTCAACGTGACCAAATTAACACAGCAGAAACTGCATTAATTTAGAATTCCAGTAAAAAGTCACACATAATGAAATTAACAAGATATTTAATTTGTCCTCCACCCCCTTCCTCTCTTCCTCTTCTCCCTAGCGCAGCTCGACCCAGACATGTTGCCATGTCCTCTTCCCGTCCTGCTGCTGCAAGGCTTATTTATTTTGAAAAGTTGAACAAAAAAATAAAAGAAATTTTCTTTTAAAATTACCAATTCATCTAATGTTCTCACAGAGTTATGGCCACATACAAATATTATAATATTTAGTTGCGTGAGCCAAGTTCATTTTATATGCCAATATCAATAAAAGAAAGAGTGTGATGCGTCTTTTATGCACAGGTGGTTCTGATTTTAATTCCAATATTGGAATTTGTTTACGTTGTGATCTGTGTGCACAACCCACCTTTGTCACTCGGGGTTTGAATATATGTAACTTGATGTGATTGTCTTTGTTTGTGGAAAAGGGTGTTTGTCTTACTAGTGGGTACACACACCAAATCCATCTGTGCTTATTTGAGAGAGTGTGGATGACGCCCTCCGTAGCGCTTACCGCGACACTTGTTGAGGGGCTGCCTTCTGTGGCCATTGTACGGCATTGCTGTCTTCAGCCATCTCTCGATCTCTTCGACTTCTTTACGAAAATTGTAATATGCCTCACCGGTGGCGGATTTGAAGGTGAGAAGAGGAGCTGATGTGATGGGTGAAAACAGAACTAGGCTGTGTCAAACCCACTCCAGGCCTTATTCCCTCCCTCTCTACTACATATGCTGCTGGGAGGAGCTGCCACCAAAATAACAAAGTGTGCTTGGTCACGCCTCATCGGCAGCGGACCTGACTTATGCCACGCCTACACCACACCGCTGGTGAGGCATGAAATTAGAGCCCCATGGCTTTAGAGACCACTGTCACTTGTCACACATCTTGCTTCCTCTCTCTGTAGATGTTCCTCTTATGTAGGAAACCAGCACAAGGGAAAGCAGCAGCTCTCCATTGGTGAAAACTGTGATGACCTGGGAATTGTTGAGCATGAGTTCCTGCATGCTTTGGGCTTCTGGCATGAGCAGTCAAGAGCTGACCGGGATGATTATGTCCAGATCATTTGGGATCACATTGAACCTGGTAACACTGTCACATACGAACTGTTGCTACATGCAGGGGCGCTGCAAGGGATTCTGGAATCCATGAAAAGAAGTTATACAGGGCCCCCAACACAGAAGGCCAAAATTGTTGATGCTTTTTTACATAAAACTATGCATTTTTATGTTACTAGTTTCTGTACACTCATTTAGTCAATCCTCCACATCTGAATTCCCTCACTAAACATGTAAACTGCTCTTATTGGATTGAGATCAGTCACCCCAGTCTACTGCACACACAACATATTTTTCCGTTCTGTTCCTATTGCACTTATCCTATTTCAGTGGTAGCTGAATTAAAACAAAATAAAAACAGTTGTGCTTTTTAAACCATTAAAATTGTTCAGAATAATTTTTATTTTAATATTTTCCTTTACAACAGAATCCTCTTTTGTGTGTATTGTTTTGTGACTGTGATCAAGAATATTATGATTAATCCAAAACACACAGCTGCTCACCTCCTTCCTCATGTGGGGGCACTGGGGGGCTGGTGGAGTTGGGGACTGACAGACAGCTGCTTCTGTTTGGAAGGAGGCATCGTTTTGACAGAGGGGAGGTCAACTAATTGAATATAAGCAGCGAGTTTTCTTGAGCTGACATGGGGAGAAAAGTGAGCTAGCTTAAAAACCATATACAAGGACAAAGTTAATATTACATAGCTTTCCACTACATGAACCACTCATAAACCCACCTTTCATTGTGAAATACTGTGTGACATGCTGTCGACCGTTTAGTTCTTTCTCCTCTCCTAGTTTCCTTTCTTTGTATTTTTGGCTGCCTAATTTTTTTTATATTTATGATATCTTTACTACCACTCCTTAGCCGCTCTGGTTCAGGCGACTGTGACATACAGCTGCGCTGCCAGCAGCTGATTCAGTCGGACTGAACCATTTTACATAAATAGAGAGAGGGGGCCGCGGCCATTATAGTTTCCAAAACAAAAAAAAGTTATTGTAACCAGGACGCTGTATATAGAATATCTGTGATTAAACATTACTTATAACTTAGAGTCATGTTATTCTATTTCATTATATCTTTATTAGGGGCCTCTCTGGGCCCCTCTCAATCATGGGCCCTTATAATCCTTCTCTTTTTTCCCCCCTTGTCGGCGCCCCAGACCACATGTAATATAACACAGCTGGAAAATGTGTAAAACAATTTAAAAAGTTTTCTGATGTTTTATTTTTTTGTCCAGGCAAAGAGCATAACTTTGACATACAAAATGACACAGTGTCTAGTGCCCTGGGTGTTCCCTATGACTACGGCTCAGTGATGCATTACAGCAAGTCGGACTTCAGCATTGACTCTGACCCCACTATCATGACCAAGATCCCCAAGTTCATGAATGTGATTGGTCAGAGGATGGGCTTCAGTGCCAGTGACCTGACAAAACTGAACCGCCTCTACAACTGCAGTGAGTAATCTCAGCCTTTTATTTCCTTTTTAAAAAAGTGGATCACAGAGGGAACAACATGGTACAGACCATTAAGTACTGAACTTTTTAACCTAATAGAAGGCACAGATAGAGGCTTCTAACATCACCTGCCCAAGAGCATGTAATAGATCACAGTAAACACAGATGTTTATAGCTAATTGAGGGCAATGTTAAAAAAAATCATTCACAAAGTTTCCCCTGATACAATAAAGCAAAAGTTCTTACATGGCCAACAAGTTAATAAGTGCTTTGCTAACCTGTGTGACATAAGCTACCATGTAAAAGTCAACCTGTTGGACTGCTGGTGATGTCCAATAAAACCATGCAAGATAGATCTGAATACTACATACACCAAAATATAACTAACCCACGCAAAACTGGCTTTTACTGACAAGATGCTTCTTGAGTTTGTTGACAAATGCCTCACTTACTTTGTTAATCTCTTATGTAGCCACAATGGCCATCTTACAGTTACTATTCCTGTCTTACTTATTCAGCACAACAATTTGCAGAATAAGTCTTAATTCAGTTTCACCTCAAGGGAAAAACTAGTACCAAAATAAGGCATCAAAGGACAGATGCTGACAACATTGCATATTCGCTGCATTTGTTGCTGCAATGATTTTCCTTCTCTCAATTTAGCACAAATCATCTAAAAATTATTGCAATGTTTTTAGAGTAAAAAACACAAGTATGATTTAATGAAACGCTGCTGGTCTAGTAGTATTTTGGTAGACCCGCAGCGTATCAGCATACGTCACTGATGCCTCACCAGCAGGTCTTCACAGTGTCAGGCACATTTCAGTGCAATAAATAATCATCAACAACTATTAATCTGAGTTAGCACATACATTTAGATCTATATAGATATATTCTGATCTATATCTGATCTGATGAGCGCGTTTGGCACGCGTGGACACACAACCTGACCGAATCAACACAGCTGAAACCGCATTAAATTGAATTAAATATCTAGTAAACAGACACACATGATGAAGTTATTTACTTTAAGCCTACATACGGATATTATAATATTCATTTTTGTGAGGTAAATTTATTTTTTATGCCAACATATATGAAAGAAAGAGCCAGGCCACGGAGCGCAATGCGTCATTTACGCACAGATGGTTCTGATTTTAATGCCATTTTTGGAGTTAATGTTGTGATCTGTGTGCACAACCCACCTTTGTCACGTGAGGTTTGAATATATGCAACTTTATGTGAGTGTCTTTATTTGTGGAAAAGGGTGTTTGTCTTACAAGTGGGTCCAACATTACACAGACCAAATCCATCTGTGCTCATATGAGAGAGTGTGGAGGACGCCCAATGCAAAGCTTACAGTGACACTTGTTGAGGAGCTGCCCTCTGTCGCCATCTTGTGGCATTACTGTCTTCAGACATCTCTTGATCTCTTTGACTACTTCACAAAAATGGTAATACACCTTGCCTGTGGCGGATTTAAAGGCAAGGAGAGGAGCTTCTGTGATTGGTGAAAACAGGTCTCGACTGTGTTAAACCCATTCCGCGCCCTAGCTTCTCCCTCACTACGACTTACGCCGCTGGGAGGAGCTGAGTTAGGGAGGGGGGATACTTACGCCGGGCTGCACCGCTCACCAAAATACCAAATTGTGCTTGGGAACGTCTTGTCAGCGCGGTGGACCTGACTTACGCCGCGCTTGCGGCACGTCTCCGGCGAGGCATGAATATAGAGTCCATGATGTCTTTATGAAATGACTACAAGAGCAGAGCAAGAATCCTAAAATCAAATAAATATATCTGCCCAAACAGCAGGTTAGATACTTGAGTAGTTGCTAAAGGAATTAACCCTGTTACCTCCAGATGTTAAACTGGCTTGGCAATATAATGAAACATATAATGCTGCTGTAATTGTTACATCAGAGGTCTGTACTGACACAAAATGCTGTTTGAGATATGACAGTTTCTTATGCAACACCCTAATCAGTCTGTGACTGATTCTTGAATGACTTTACCATTTGAATGTGTTATTTATGCAAAAATCTAATGTAGTACACCACATTTTCACAACTCTACAGGTAAAAGAAAAAATAAACAGTAAATCAAAGACTCTTCATGAAATAATACAGCTGATTTGTTTTTGTTTTTATCTCCACAGCCATGTCATCTACCTTTGTGGACAGCTGTGACTTTGAGGAGGACAACATCTGTGGGATGATTCAGGGTCCTGGAAACAGACACTGGCAGCAGCTTAGCTCTGTTAGTGGAGGGCCTCAGACTGACCTCTCCAACACGGGACAATGCAAAGGTAGGGTCTGTATTTGCCGTTCAAATAGCTAGTTGCTGGATGATAAATCTGGAATCTAAAACCTCTCTTTTTAAATAAACGACTCAAGTGGTTCTGGATATTCCCCCTATGATGGCGACAGTAGAACATTTTTTTATGACCGCAGACTGTACACATTAACATCTCTGTGTAGTTGCTGTTGCTCATTTAACAGTTATATAAAAAAGCTGATATCCTTATCTTATCCATTTGAAGTCTAAGGATATTTCAAAGTAAAGTTTCCTTGTTCAAGGTATATCATATAAATTATGGCTCAAACATCCTTCAGTTCTGTCTTTCCCTCCTCACAGGAAAAGGTTTCTTCATGCACTTCAGCACAGTGTCTGCTGAACCTGGAGACCATGCATTTCTGGAGAGCCGTTGGCTTTACCCCAAACCTGGAGCCCAGTGTCTGCAGTTCTTCCTTTATAACAGCGGTGCAAGCGATGATGTTCTTAATATCTGGGTACAAGAGTATGACCAGGAAAACCCCAGTGGTAGAATGAAGCTCTCCAAGAGTATCTCAGGTAATAAATGTGAAATAACATGCATATGCCAGAATTAACTGTAAGGAATTTACCCCTCCATGACTACAGTGGCTCCACATAACACTTTGACTGCATTAATATTTACCAGGGTTTGTTTTCAACCAGTTCAAGTAAATATAATTTGATCAAAGTTATTTAGAGATTTTAGCCGTGACCACCAGAAACCAGTACGTCATCTTTGTAGGTGGAGTCATGGGCTCCTGGGAACTGCACAACATCGAGCTGGATGTGAAAAACAAGTCCCGTGTGGTCTTTGAAGGGGTACGGGGAAATGGTCCATCCACAGGAGGTTTCTCCTTGGATGACATTAATCTGTCATCCACCAAGTGTCCTCAGCACATCTGGCACATCCGCAACATAACTCGCTTGATGAACACCACACCAGTAGGAAGTAAACTTTACAGCCCTCGATTCCTGTCACCATCAGGATACTCATTCCAGGTGAATGGTACACTTGTATTTCATCCCCTCACTTTTAAGTGTATGAATATGTTAATATATGTTAATATGTTAGCTAACTTTTTAATCAAAACATCTGCAGCTCAAGTCTCAACTTCAAAGTTTTTTGGTTTTGGAGAGGTGAAATCCATAGACTACAACTGTTCAGCATGTTTACTGTTGCTGAGCAATAACTGGATATTCTTTTCACCGGGGAGGCATGACGCAAATCATTTATTACAAGATTTTTTTTTAAAAGCTGTCATGCACCCAGACTGACAAACTTAGCAGATTCATACACTGAGGCAAAAATTTTACAATTGCAAGATAGTAACACAGTAAGATAAGATAAGATACTCCTTTATTAGTCCCACAAAGGGAAATTCCCATTTAATGGCAGTGCAATAGAGTGGTTGGCTACTTTTTACTAGTTGCTTTCTTCATTTTGACCATGACTTCTTTGGTCTGTAGGTATGTGTGTATCTTAATGGAAGAAGTGACTGTCCAGGCTACATGGCCATCTTCCTCCATCTGACCTCAGGCCCAAATGACCACAACCTTAAGTGGCCGTGCCCGTGGCAAATGGGGACTATGGCCCTGATGGATCAGCAGTCTGATGTCAGACAGCAGATGAACATGCACCGCATGGTCACCACAGACCCCAACAAGATGTCGTCTGATGGTATGGACCTGTTCTGCCAAATAGTGTAATAGATTAACGAGAGGAGATAATCATTCAACTCTCACAATATTTTAACTCTGACCATAAACATTTTCAAAAACCCAACCATGTAGGATTTTGAGCATTAATACAGCCACGTGATTGGCTATTAGGATGTAACTGATAGGCAGAGGCTGCATTACAGAGAGCCAATCAGTCCTAACTGATCTCATTCACATTCCTTAAGCTATGCTAAGTGCATGTGGTTTGGTCTGGTGAGTACTGCATTATACTGCCAGCCCTCTGATTGATGTCAGTCATCACTTCCAATTCAGAGAAAACTGACTTCCCCACTGAGCTACAAATAAAAGGGTCAAATAAAAGGAATTCATCCAAGTGGACTTTTACTTTGGATGAGAGCAGAAATTTCTCTTACTTCTGGGTGAAAAAAGGGTCCTTGTAGAAAGTCCTCATAGCAGATTTATAGAAAGTGTGCATGCTCTGAATGACAGCTAGTCATAGAAGAGAAGAACAGGATTTCACTGATATGAACCAAGTTTGGTGAGACATACTTGAAGGGTGTCTTATTCATTTTCTAACACTACAGCCAGTCTTCATATTTGTTAAACTGGATTTTTTTTTTTCCCCACAGGAAGTGAGTACTACTGGGATGACCCCAGAAAGGTGGGCTCTAAAGTGACCTCATCAGATGGCAGCTCTTACTATCGAGGCCCAGGTTGGGGGATAAACACCTTCATCACCCACAGCAGACTGAAGAGCAGAAACTACATCAAAGGCGATGATGCTTTCTTCCTCCTCAGTCTGGAAGGTGTGGAGTCTCTCAGACACAGGATAGGACCAGGACTTTAAACACAAATGAACCCTCAACAAAGATCCTCTGTCTCTTTTTGTCTCTAGATATTTCTGATCTGCTGGAGTCTCAGCCTCCTCCAGATGATGCCATGTTGAAGGCTGCAGACCAAGATGCTCCACAGAGGGCTGCTAATAACCCAGCTGTGGTAACAGCCATCGCAGGGACTGTGGGGGCAGTCACATTGCTGCTTTGTGCGCTGATCTTGGCAAAAACCTGGAAGATAAGCAGGTGAGGGGGCATGCCAGGGTTCATGGGAGGGATTGTGGTCTTAGGATTAGCCAAGATAATAGAAATCTAGGCTTATAATATTTCACAGTGCTGATTTAGGCCATGCATCTGAAGCAAAGTGCCATGTCTCCAATATTAAATGTGTCTCTGATATTTTTTACAGGAAAACCCAACAAAAGGGTTACCGTTCTCTCTCAGTCAATGACGTCTGATCCAAGAAGGAGCATGCTGTACTTTCTACATCATCTGAAGACACAAAAACAGGCAAATCCCTTTCTTTTTTTCAAATCTTTTTGCATATGCTGTTTTTCATGTTTCCAGCCTTTCAGTTCTGAAGTTATCCTGTCAATACTTTTTCTTTCTACTTCATTTCACAAGCACCACCAGATAGTTCTAACTCTTATCTTCAGAGCAGCAAAACAAACACTGAAATGGACTCTATAAAGGTGGGCAATGGCAGCATGGCGCTTCTCATACTGGACTGTGTATTTTTGTGTCTATTTTGCCAGAAGGTTATCTTGTTATCATGAGAAACCAAGCTTTGTGTACTGAAGATAATGAGAAACATTTATCATATACAAAAAAGCATTACAGTATAGTGGTATTTTTATTTTGTCTTTTCTGAGTCGTTTTGTTTTATATAGGAAAGTGTATGGAAATGTGTATGTGTGCTGTCTTTGTGCATGTTTTTAACTCACTGCAAATGAATTTCCTCACGGGGCAATAAATTCTACCTACCTACCTACCTACCTATTATCCTAGATTATTCATGACTGCATATCAGATTTAAAACAGCTTCTGGTGTGTTATTGATATAAACTCTGATTTTTAGGTTAAAAGCAATATTAAAACAACAGTCATGTTCACAATACCCAATATATATATTGTTTTAATGTCATGGATCAATTCAGAATTTGTCTGACTCATTTTTCTGACTGGGATAATCATGTATATTACATTAAAATGTGCATAGAACAATAAATGTTATCATGATATTGTGTTTTACCAGATGCACAAAAGAGCCAACAACATGCACTTGACACATTTCTCAGTCTAATGAGTTCCCAATGAAATGGTTAAACACACTGATTGCATTGTTTACAGTTATATGTGTGAAATAACCTGCTAATGGTACTGATTTGGTCTTAAAAGTTACAAGTTGACCGGAAGTGCTTTTACTTTGAAACACCAGGGAAATCTTTTCAGTGTTGTTATTGTTGCTGTTCATGTTAAAGAACCGGTGATTGTTGTTTCAAATGAAGCCACATAAGGTCTCCAAACATCTCTTTTTTTTTCTTTTTTTTAGTCTGTGAGCATTCAGAAATGAAAAACATATACTGCAACAAGTTCAAACCCAGACTAAGGCTAAAAAGGACCGGTGGCAGCATATTTAGTTTGGCCTCAACATTAATACACACAGCACTCAGTGTGTTTTAGGAAATTTTTGGAGGTCTGAACAGTCCTACACTGATCATGTCACATGTATAGATTTCTTTTTGTCTCTCACTTTTACAAAACCAAATTCCATTGAAGTTGGGAAATTGTGATAAACATAAAGAAAAACAGAAAAATGATTTGCAATTCCTTTTCAAACTGTATTCATTTTGAATACACTTTTTTTTGCAAATAATAATTAACTCAGAATTTCATGGCTGCAACACGTGCCAAAGTAGTTGGGACAGGGGCATGTTTACCACTGTGTTACATCACCTTTCCTCTTAACAACACTCAATAAACATTTGGGAACTGAGGAGACTAATTGTTGAGGCTTTGAAGGTGGAATTCTTTCCCATTCTTGCTTGATGTACAGCTTCAGTTGTTCAACAGTCCAGGGTCTCCGTTATTGTATTTTACGCTTTATAATGCACCACACATTTTCAATGGGAGACAGGTCTGGACTGCAGGCAGGCCAGTTGAGTACCCGCACTCTTTCACTACGAAGCCACACTGTTGTAACACGTGCAGAATGTGGCTTGGCATTGTCTTGCTGAAATAAGCAGGGCTGTCCATGAAAAAGATGTTGCTTGGGTGGCAGCATATGTTGCTCCAAAACCTGTATGTACCTTTCAGCATTAATGTTGCCTTCGCAGATGTGTAAGTTACCCATGCCTTGGGCACTAATGCACCCCCATATCATCACAGATGCTGGCTTTTGAACTTTGCATTGATAATAGTCCGGATGGTTCTTTTCCTCTTTGGCCCGGAGGACATGACGTCCACTTTTTCCAAAAACAACTTGAAATGTGGACTCGTCAGACCACAGAACACTTTTCCTCTTTGCATCAGTCCATCTTTGATGAGCTTGGGTCCAGAGAAGCCGGCGGCATTTCTGGATGTTGTTGATAAATGGCTTTTGCTTTGCATAGTAGAGTTTTAACTTGCACTTACAGATGTAGCGACGGACTGTATTTACTGACAGTGGTTTTCTGAAGTGTTCCTGAGCCTATGTGGTGATGTCCTTTACACACTGATGTTGGTTTTTGATACAGTGCCACCTGAGGGATCGAAGGTCACAGGCATTCAATGTTGCTTTCTGGCCGTGCCGCTTACATGCAGTGATTTCTCCAGATTCTCTGAACCTTTTGATGATATTATGGACCGTAGAGGTTGAAATCCCTTGCAATTGTACTTTGAGAAACGTTGTTCTTAAACTGTTTGACTATTTGCTCATGCAGTTGTTCACAAAGTGGGGAACCTCACTCCATCCTTGCTTGTGAATGACTGAGAATTTTTGGGGAAGCTGCTTTAATACCCAATCATGGCACCCACCTGTTCCCAATTAGCCTGCTCACCTGTGAGATGTTCCAAGTAGGTGTTTGATGAGCATTCCTCAAATTTCTCTGTATTTTTTTGCCACCTTCCCAACTTCTTTGTCACGAGCTGTTGCCATCAAGTTCTAAAGTTAATGATTATTTGCAAAAAACAATAAAGTTTATGAGTTTGATCATTAAATATGTTGTCTTTGTAGTGTATTCTATTGAATATGGGTTGAAAAGTTTGCAAATCATTGTATTCCGTTTTTATTGACGATTTACACATCTTACCAACTTCATTGGAATTGGGTTTTGTTCATGATGTTTTAGAATAATGACATAAACACCTCAATCCAGCATGACAGTCAGTCATTTGTTCAGACAAAAAAGAGACAGTCAAATACGAGTTAAAGCCAACATCATTTTATTACACATTAGTATGTGTGTGTGCTGTGATTCACTCCTGTGGAGCAAACATACACAGTTTCATACATGTTGCCTGTGTCGTACATACAGCGACCTCCTCACATTGTGCCTCCTTTGAGCAGACATTTAAAAAAAAACCATTCATTTCTAGGTCATGTTTTATTTTCCACCTTTCTAATTTTAACAGTTTGATCTCACAAAGAGATCTCCCTCCTACAATGAGCTGGTATTTGATACCTCTTAGACAGTGGTATTGTTTAATGAGTGCGTTTGAATGTTTCTGCACACTGTGGTCAAGTTACAGTGCTTTAACGTTTATTTGAGATGAAGATTTTGAAAACTGCATGTTGACTATTTGCTCAAAATAATATTGAAAATTTATAATGCCTTTTTTTACAGACAATATAACATTTTACATTTCAAAAAAATTGAGGAATGGTCTGATCCAACACACATTAATGTTCATCTTCACAGGATAAAATCAGCTCCATTTGTGAACCCAGCTTATGTGTATAGCCCCATACTGTTTTCAATGGTCTGGGTGGAGAATGTACCAAGAAAGTTTTATGTTACTATGTCCAAAACTCACAAAATGACTGCATCTTCCATAAGTGTGACTATAACCCACCCCATATTTAAATAAAGGACTGTGACTGGGTCAGTATCCTGGACTTAGAGGGGAAAGAGTTGAGAAAGAAAGCAGCTTTAAACCCATGTGACAACAAAAATGAATATGAGCATTACATTTATAGTTGACAGAGTTAATGAATTTAACTTTGGGGATAAATACAGTTCTTGTAGTGTATTGTACATTACACTGTTGAATTTCCTGCAGCTTGAGATCAATGCATTCATTCATCACTCTGCATCCTACAAAAAGTTTATTATGAAAAATTATACTTAAAGCAATGTAGCAATCAAGACAACCCTGGGTGTGAAACTCACACATTCCTCGCAGGAAAGTTTTCTTATCTGGTCCCTGGACACAGGATATAAATCTTTCCAGACTTGTTTGCACTTTCAGGTTACCTAACTGACCTGACCGGAGGATGACTAAACCTCTGAATCTTCACGATTGGTCAATTCGGAGAACAGAGACAGAGTCTTTATTACCTTTCAAACTGACTCCATCGCTGACCATCTAAATAAACATTAACGCCTCAACCCAGATCTCCCATTTGAGATTTACCGTCTTAAAGTGTGTGAACATACAGACCCCAAGATATGGTCTGAGGAACAGGACACTGACCTCCAGACCTCAGTCGTAAAACCCTGCTCGACCATACACTGATAAAGACTACATTCCTTTGGTGAAAGAATACAAATGACTGATCATGACATCTTATGCATTCAGCAATGTACTAATCTGTCTAATCATGAAATTTGTTTTAAAATGAGATGTTTCCCATTTTTCTATGTGCTCCAGAAGCCGAGTTATCACTCTGACAGAATAAATCCTTATTCTTTAGTTTCTTTAAACCAACAGCTTTTCAGACTGTTTCATGAACTTTTAAGAGTTAAATTTATTGACTATGAATCATAACTTTACTCTAAGTAACAGAAACAGTTTAGAAATGTTTGGTTTATGTTTTAGTTGTTTATTTAGTATTTTTAACCATTAGGTGGTTATAATGTCATTGAATAATCTGAATGTGAGTATTTAGAATCCATTATTAATCATGATGAAGTTCATTCACATGTATTTACTCTTTTGTTGTTCACAGTTTCTATGTGTTACTATCTGTTTCATTTCAGAGTAATTTAGCATGTTCAGTGTGGTACTTCAAACATAATGAGAATGTTTGATGTGATTCTACATTTCATTAAAGAGGACCTGCCATCAAAATTTCATACCCATTTTTATCATTTTTTCATAATCCTTGATGTCTTCTGATCATGTTTGCAACATAATTTTAGCTGAAAAGTTATTTGATGGTTTGTTTTAGTATGCCTAAAAAACCTTACAGCTGAGCTTTGCTCTGATTGGATCGCTGCTGTGAAGTCTGCTGTGCTCTGATTGGCTCAGCAGTGGAGGTTCGGATTTCGGTTTATCCATTTTGCTAATGTGTGCTAAGGTAAGGGCCCCAGATGTCTGTAATGATATCCGGGGATATTCGGTGCGGCGACGGAGATGCAGGGGCTGCAGGGGCTGCAGGGGCTGTGTGATCACAGACAAAGTCTTGGTACTATTTAGTAGCAGCGCATGCCCCTTGTAATAACCCCCGTAAAAACTGTTGTTCAGGACTGCTTACTTGTGCCTCCTACCTATTCGGCTACTGTAGTAACCGTTGTTTGAGCCCACATGCAACATTTTTGCTCTCATTCATGAAACGCTTAAATCGGGGACATTTTCGGGGACAGCGTTTGCCGGGGACAGGTCATCCAATACGGGGACTGTCCCCGGAAATCGGGGACGTCTGGTCACCTTATGCTAAAGGCTAAAAATGGCAGGTATTAAACCATATATTTTAGACCCCGAGTCCGAAGAGGAGGTGGAAGTTGAAGAAGAAGCCAGAGATTTCCAGCGGTGTTTTCTCATTCATTCTGCCCAGCTTTAAGTTCATTTTCCCGGCAGTGAACCCAAGGAAACACTGATCGTTTGGAAGAGACCCATAGCGGATACAGTAGTAGGTGGGTCTCGCTCTGACTGTGAATGAGTACGAGAACGAGAGAGTGGGCGCAGCTCACCAAGGACGCGCTCGTGAATAATAATGAGCAAGGTCAGCGCGACGTCAGAGGGACCTGCTTTTTCAATTGGCCTGGTTTACCCGTTCCTTTATTTTAAACCTTTACAGAATGCAAACGACGCAACGGTTTGTTTTCACATTTACAACATAAGACGAGCATAATATGGACCTTATCTGACACAAAAAACACACAAAATTACATTTTGATGGCAGGTCCCCTTTAATATGTGTTTAGTATCAAATCTTTTTCATGAAGCCAAGCATTCAATGATATTAATCATAGTAAGTGAGTATCAGATCTGACTCTTTTACCAGCCAAAAGTATAAGTTAGATCAAATAATCAGAGATCCGAGGTCTCCTCTGCAGCTGGAGATCCCATGACCCCTCCTCTTTCTCCTCACACACACACACGCCAGAGACACTCCCAGTGTGAGAAGATAAAACCAGAAATTGGGGTTGCTCACAGGCCCTTACTCTTGTACCCTTATTCTCTTACACCCGCTTCTTCACTCACTGTCCACACCCTTCTGCGTTCCTCTTCTTTCTATTCTCTTAGCTCTTTTTCTTAGTCTTCTAAGTTTTACGCCACGTGTTGACTCACGTTGATTTTTCTTTAACATTGTCTTAGTTCAAGTTTTGAAACTTCAACTTTTTGTGCGCATAGCAATTCAAGATTAAGCCTTTGATTGATTTTTCTTTAATTTTGCGAAGCCATTTTTGAAAGTTTCCACTGGTCATTGAGCCTCGTTTTTCTGAGTTATCTGCGTGATTTCAAAGTCACCTCTGAACACAACCCAGCAGGCCCAGGTAATCCTCTGTGCCAGAGTTTTTGAGTGAGACCAAAGAAGCTTCCAAACGAGCATCGACGGGATCCACAGGCGCCGGCTTTGCTTCAGGCCTGAGTGCTGCAACTCCTGGCCCATCCTTCGGCTTACTTCAGTCGTCTTCTGAGCCGAACCGCTCGAACTGCCGGTAGCCCCGGACCTTTGGAACCTGCTCTATCTTCTCCAAGGACCAGTCTCACTTAAGTATGCAAACCTCCAGAGCTCCAAAGAGGGCTGATGCTGTCTCATGCGGTCGTAACCCAGATAACCACTTATTCTGGTAATCTTAGATTCCTCCAAATCCACATCCAAATTTATCTCTACACCAAAGTTAGTGTAGGTTAATATGTTAGCGCATATTCACTCACTATCATTAACTTTAGTGCTCCTAGCCTGACTCAGAATCTTTATTTTTATCTTTATTATTATTATTTATCCTCATTTTCTTATCATCATTTATTGCATGTATGTTGTACCATCATTTATCCTGTAATAAACAGATCATTATTTTTCTAAGCTCCTGTCTGTTAGGGTTCTTCCGGAAGTGGAGTTCCTGAAATGAGAATTTCGGCTTAAGATATGAGATTGATTAATTAAAGATTGACTTGATGTTTGATTTCTCAATTAAACTTTAGTTTTTCTTTATTTTCCCACCATTAAGGGTGGGTGGTGCCCTTTTCAACGAGTGCATAAATGTCATAATTTGAGATTATTAATCTTCAGACATTTATTATAAATTCAAATCGCTACAGCAATACCACTTTCATCCAAAGGCATTGACCGAAACCATGCAACATGGAACCTCCTCGCAGTGACTACACGCTAAAAGAGCCAGTCATTTTTCTGACCTTGAATATGTCATGTAACTAGCAACACATCTTGACTAGTTTTCAATGACTGCATCTGGGTAACTTCCAGCATGGCTTGATTGTCTGGTTGATTTCATGATTCATCACTTTATGGTTCACAACAGGAGAAAAAGGGTATAAAGAAATGAGCATTAAATTTCCAGGTGAAAACTTCAAATATCAAAGTTTTGTGAACAGGGGCCACAGTATTTGTGTGAATCAGCTTTTTTAGTCTCCCGCGTTCCTCTTGGTCTCTGTTGTAAGAACCACTTGATTTGGTGGGCTCATCCCCACTCTGCTAGTTTTCTTGTCTGGTTTCAGTCCAAAGCTGACCTTCACAAAGTAACCCTCTATAGAAGAGTGTTCGCATCCGTGCAGGAGGTCTTGGACTGTGGAGGAATGACTGTGATGTGTGTAAGACAGATTGTCCACATACCGTGTCAGGTATGTTTCTGCCACTTGGATTTTCCCATGAGTTTACAAAGACAACCCTCTTTGGACAAAAATAAAATGTCAAAGACATACAGTGAGGCATGCAGTCAGTCAGCACGTTCATCACTCATAAATGAGACCGACACTTTCTCAAGACATGTGCACACACTTACACAATGTCATTCCCTCACTGCTTTAAATTAGGGTGCATGTTTTTCACACTCCTGTAAATTAAATATAGTTGCACACTGTAAATGGTGTTTTCTTTTAGCATCATGGGCTCTACTTTCGTGTCTGCCGGTAACGCAGCGGATGGTGGCGGACCCCACGCAGTTGTATTTTCGTCTGGTGTACAGCCTGGCGTACAGCCTGTTTTTTTTTTTTAAATGGACTGAGGTGCACAGAGGTCCGCCAAGCTGGGCGTGGATGTGCGGCAGGGGGAGGTGTCTACAGAATCAGCTGGCGCAGTGACATTTTTGTGCTCGCTGGTGGCGTGAAGAGTACGCTGAAAGCTCGCCGATTCAAAACTGGTCAGCTTTCAGCATAGGCGGAGCGCAGCTGGTCTAGTGGTATTTTGTCAGACTGGCGGCGTATTACTCATACGTCACCGATGCCTCACCGGCAGGTTTCCACAGTGTCAGGCACATTACAGTGCAATAAATAATCATTAACAACCAATATTCTGAATCAGCACATACATTTAAATCTATATCGGTATATTCTGATCTATATTTTATCTGATGAGCGCATTTGGCACGCGTTTGGACACTCCACCTAACTGAATTAACACAGCTGAAACCGGGTTAAATTAAATATCCAGTAAACAGTTACACATGATCCTTTTAGTGATCCCCTGCATCCTATCCACTCATTAGCTTCTTAATCTCAAAGGAATATAAATATCTCTTGAGGTAAAGTTGAGGTTATTTTCTGTCAACTAGTTTAAGAGTTTAAAAAGCAAATTAAATCAAAAACCTTTGTTATTTCTTTACAGAACTACCCCTTTTTGAAAACTATATCTTAGTATGTCTCATAGGTAATCCAACAAAAACTGGAAACTTTGTGTTTAATTATAATTTCCACTAAATATTTTTACTTATATTTAATTTTCATACCTTTAAATATGTTTTTCACAACATCTGAGGTCAGTAGATTTTCTTGTAAAAAATATAGGCTACTAAAAATAGCCCATATATTCCTTTTATATCAATATTTTAGAGCAGTAGCTACATCTGTAAAGCACTTGTAACCCTGTTTTGAAAAACTCTATAAGTTGATCATTGTTATTTTCCATAGCCTATTATAACGCACCAAAAAGGCCATAAAGATATCTAATTTTGAACTTCAACAAATCAAAATATCACATTAGCTGTGAGCCAAAATATCTTCTTCACTTCAGTAGAAAGAGGACTATAGAAAGACGAAAATATTCTCTGTGTTGTCAAAACACTCATCTGCAAACTGTAGTTGGAGAAAAATATTAACAATCCAACTGAAATGGCAAAAGCATTTTGACAAATGTGTTGATAATCCTCAAATAGTAGGAAACAGATTTGAAGTCTTTGGACATTGAACTCGAGGAGCTCAGAAACATCTGGAAGTCAACAGTCTGAACAGGTTTCGAACAAAAATGATGATCGAAATGGTGAATGAAGTCGAAAGTTATTAAGGGAGCCAAATAATGTGATTCATAACATGACTTGGGCTCGTTTGATCAAAAATGAGTCAACTATACATATAGGATGTTTTTTTCTTGACGTTTGTTGACTTTTATAAACTTTAGATGGTGGATTCAGTCGGAACATAGTGACCGTGGACGTCCAGAGTCTGAACCCAAAGACTCGTGCTGTCTGTAACCGAGTGCGGTGGCGCGCGCCTGTAATCCAAGTCCCTGGGAGGATCGTTTCAGTTCAGGAGCTCTGAGCTGCAGTGGACTGTGTCGATCGGGTGTCCGCACTAAGTTCGGTATCGATATGCTAATCCTGGGGGAGCTCGAGACCAGCAGGTTGTCTAAGGAAGGGTGAACCGGCCCAGGTCGGTAAACGGAGCAGGTTAAAGCCCTCGTGCCACTCAGTAATTGGTTCGCGCCCGTGAACAGACGCTGTAGTTCAGCCTGAGTGATACAGCAAGACTCAGACTTTTGACACACTGACTAACTGTCGGGGTTCAGTTTCTTTAAATTTATTTTCGGTTGTGGAGGAAAAGATGATGGCACAGTCGAAACTCGAGTACAGTGATTTTCTTTTATTTACGCCATATCCAACAATACCCACAGGTGAAAAACTCTTATTTACAAAAAAATATTTACGAAAATTATTTACAAAAAGACAGAGGGAAACACTATTTACAAACCGCAATTCAACCACCAGGACCAACATATGTCTTCTTAACCATGAGGCACCACAACAAGTGAGCTGAGCTCCCTGAAATACCCCTTGGCCCCTCCCCCGGACAAACCAATCAACACAATCTAGGGGTTTTTTTAGACATCAACTATTATATCATATATAATATTTCTACATCAATTTCTATATCAATCTCCTCAGCAGCATTGCTCTTTTTGGCCACAACAACAAGCTGCAACTTCCTTTCAGCAGTCCATCAGAGGAGTTCAAGGTCACCAGAACCAGAGAAGTCCTGCTCTACCGAGACTCAGCTGACACCAAGTTCTCCTCAGCAGGGGTGGAGGTTAGGACAGGAAGGAAGTGGCGTGCCAAGGATGCAGTGGAACGGGCGGAGGCAAGGTTGCAGCATAGCACCCTTGTGGGCACAGTGGCTACTGGTCGGGCCGGGCTTGGCAGCAATCCTAAGCCATGCTACATCAAGGCCAGAGGCAAGGAGAGGCGGAGACTCATCCAGGATGAGGTGCGAGCCGAGGTGGAGGAAGCTCGCTTCAGCAGAGCAGTTGGCATGTCCAAGCAGGGGGCCTGGACTAGGTGGGAGCATATAGCTGGCCGCAAGATCACGTGGGCAGAACTCTGGAAGGCGGAGCCACACCATTTCAAGTTCTTGGTCCAGTCAGTATATGACGTCCTCCCCAGCCCTGCCAACCTGTTAACCTGGGGCCTAGTAGACGCACCTGCTTGCCAACTCTGCCAGAGAAGGGGATCTTTAGAGCACATCCTCAGCTGCTGCCCGAAGGCCTTGGGAGACGGGCGTTACCGTTGGCGTCATGACCAGGTCCTGAAGGCAGTAGCAGACACCATCTGCTCTGGCATCACCAGCAGCAAGCAGCAACACCCGTCCAAGACTTCCATCGCCTTTGTCCGAGCAGGTGAGTCGCCACAACCACCTAGATAGGCCCAAGGGGGCCTGCTCGCGACAGCAAGAGACTGGCAGCTCCTGGTTGACCTAGGGAGACAGTTGAGATTCCCGGACACCATCGCAGTCACATCGCTTCGACCGGACATGGTCTTGATGTCCGCGGCAAGCAAGCAGGTGGTGCTGCTTGAATTGACTGTACCCTGGGAAGATCGTGTAGAGGAAGCCCAGGAGAGGAAGAGGTCCAGGTATGCAGACCTGGTAGCGGAGTGTCGGCGGAACGGGTGGAAGGCCCGCTGTGAGCCGATTGAAGTGGGTTGCAGGGGCTTCGCGGGACAGTCTCTACACCGGGTCCTGGGGCTCTTGGGGATTTGCGGGCTGCACAGACGAAGAGGCACCAAGAACATCCTGGAGGCGGCTGAAAAGGCGTCACGGTGGCTCTGGTTAAGGAGGGGGGACACGTGGCGTAGTGCGCTACCTGGACACAAGTCGGGGCCTGATCACCCCCGGCTGGGTCGCCCAGGTGAGGGTGTCTGATGTAAGACCTGAAACACCCTATGACCCCGGGAACATCACTGACGATGTGTCCAGGTAGTACCACAAGGTGTATTTAAGTACTACAAACACACAATAGAATATAAACCAATTGTTCTGTTACTCACACCCTTCATATTGCTGAGCCAATATTAACACAAACACAACATTTTCACTATACTCAATTAATTCACTGAATTTGTTTTCTCCCTGGGTCACCTGACCCGAGGAAGCACGTTACCTAGCGCTATTCGTGATACGTGAATGTGATTTTGGCTAAAAACTTCCTCACATTACATTGTCGTTGCGGGACCATGAGAGGCATGGCTAGTGAGCACACAACAGGGGCTCCACATACACACTAACTCCAATATACACATAACACGCACACAGTGCTGTTTCGCGAATCACGCTGCTAGCTTTAGCGCTACACATCGCCTCCTCGTCCTTCCGTTGTTGCGAACACCATGGCAGAACGACTTCAATCCAACTTCAACTCGTTAAACATTGCAGACGAGGTGAAATGGGCATAAATATCCATCCTTGAAACAGCACTTGTTGAGCGCCTCTTAGTTCACTGCTGACTCTCAGGTCTGACTGTCAACAAACAAGCTAACAGCTAAAGAAATTGTCGCTAACTCCCTCTACACGTCTGGCAGCAATGCTCAGCTATTTTCTAGCTCAACGAGGAAGCAGTTGGATTATCATTTTTTATCAGTTCCCCAACATCGGCACCCTGTGGAGTGCAGCTACTCTAACAGACTGACTGCACCCACTCTAACAGACTGATTGCAGATACCCAGGGCATCCATCCGAATACACCGATCAACCATCATTACCCACACGGATTAAATAAACACCCCAGGTCACATCGGCCATGGCTGGAACACCGCAAAGAGAGACTTACCTGAGATTTCCACCAACAGCGGGCCCTCTTCCGGGGCCCTCGCCGGTAAGTCTCCTCCCGTGTTGTCTGATCTGCTACCTCACCGCTGCGGGCTCCAGGTCGGAGCCCTGGCGTGTAAGTGTCCTTCTCGACACAGTCCAATCCCCGATCCAGACTGTCCTCTATCAGATCCTGCCTGGTGTCGTTGGCTGTCTGCTGGCTGTTGTTCTCTCTGTTTCAGCCATGGCTCCACACTCCTCTCCATCCGGCTGTGCCAGCTGCGCCTGTCTAGCGGAAAAGATCCAGGAGCTTGAGCGAAGGATCTCCACCCTATACCAGATCCAGGAAGCCGAGAAACTCATGGACACCATCGTCTTCAGAACACCACATCCCGACTCCACCGGCTCATCGGATCCAGACCCTGCCGCTCCCAACACCTCTCTCCCGGCTGCTGCGACCACCTCTCCTCCGCCTGCTCATCCATCCGTCTCCTCGACAAGGCTGGGATCACAACCCAAGGCTAAACCAGAGCCTCCGGCTAGCTCCACTCCATCCCTGCAGGAGCACCAGTCCTGCATCACTGCCCGCACCGGGAAAACAAGGCTCCCACCTCAGTCTCCCCTCTTCCACCTCCACCTGGAGAACAGGTTTAACACCCTGGACCTCCATGACTTCCCCCCGCTGCCCGCGGGATCCCAGCCGATGTCCACCCGGCTGTCTCATGGGTCCTCCAGCTCTCCCCCGTCCCCGTCCCGTCCACCTCGCGTGCCTGACCATCCGCACGCCGGGGCCCTCCGGCGGCGCTCGGTGCCGTGCTTCACACCTGCACCACGGCTGGCCCGTGTCCCTCCCGTCTTGTCTCCGATGTCCTTCTTGGCGAGTTCCCCCCCTCCTCCAACATATTCCTCTCCGGTCACACAGTCTCCACGTCCACTTTTCCCTCCGACGACTTTAATTGTGGGCGACTCCATCATGAAAAACATCCGCTTTTTTAACGCTATCACGCGGTGTTTCCCTGGTGCGAGGGTCCTGGACATTTTAACACTCCTCCCCACTCTGTTAAAATCTCTGCCAACTTCCATCCAGAGAATCATAATCCATGTCGGTACTAATGACACGTCCCTCAACCAGACCGAGCTCACGAAGGACCATTTTACCCAACTTTTAACTTCCTGAAGAACTGTGAACTGTCTGTTTTTATCAGCGGTCCCATTCCCACTTCTGGTCGTGGGTGCGGGAGCTTCAGCAGAGTGCTCAGCTTGCACACCTGGCTCCAATCTGCCTGCCAAGCCCATAGCTTTGCCTTCGTGGACAATTTTAATCTTTTTTTGAACCGTTCGTCCCTTTTTAAATCGGATGGTATCCACCCGAACACCACAGGTAGCCGCATGTAAGCGGCGAACCTGCAGCACACTGTACATTGTTTCCCATGTGACTGACTAGTCAATCACTCTGTTTTAGCAAGCCCATCCATGCTGGCTCCCATCCACACCAAACATGACAATACCTCTGTCAACTTCGGACTCCTCAACATCCGCTCACTCACCAACAAGGGACACATCATCCACGATCTCCTCACTGACCGCAAGCTGGACTTCCTCTGCATCACCGAAACATGGCAACAACCAAATGACTTCTCATCACTCAACGACTCCACCCCCCCGGACTTCACCTACCTCTCCCACCCCCGCAGCCACGACCGTGGTGGAGGTATCGCCATCATCCACCACAAAAAGTGGAAAAGTTCTACCGCTGTCCCTGCCTCTTTTCTCCTCATACGAACTTCTGGCAATTACACTTCCTGGACCCACTCCCACCATCATCGCCACCATCTACCGCCCCCCCAAGCCCCACTCTGACTTCTTAAATGACTTTTCTGTTCTACTCACCCATCTATGCACACTCTCACCAAACACAATAATACTGGGGGACTTCAATATACACATAGACAACACCAACCTCCCCCTCACCAGAGGCTTCTCATCATGCCTTGACAGTTTTGGACTCCATCAATTCATCAACTTCCCGACACACACTAAAGGACACACTTTGGATCTACTCTGCTGCTCAGGCCTATCCCATCCAACTGCACAGCCGATGAGCTCCATGTAAGTGAGCACCTCCTCATCTCCTTCAGTATTCCTCTCTGCCTCACTAGAATTAATTCACCACGCCTCATTTCATTCCGCAACCTTAAGAACATAAACATTGACACTCTGCGCTCTAACATTAACAATATTTCAATCCCGGACTGTTCCGCTACCCCTGATGACATAACATCCCATTACAACACCTGTTTAAATAACATCCTCAACTCCCTCGCTCCACTCAAAACACGCTCTGTTTCCTTCTCAACAACTGCTCCCTGGTACACCCCCCCATCTCCGCTCCATGAAAACCAAAGGCTGACAACTGGAAAGACTCTACAAAAAAACTGGACTCTCCATTCACAAAGAAATGTACACTAACCACATCCGCTGCTACAAGGACTCAATCTCTCAAGCAAAGACAGACCACTACTCCGCCCAGATCATCTCTAACAAAGGAAACACCAGATCACTATTCAGTCTCCTCAACAAATCTATCCAGCCACCAGACTCCCTCCCTCCCCACCTGTATTCAATCGACACCTGCAACACACTAATGCAGTTTTTTAATGAAAAAATCTCTAACATCCACCAACAACTACACTCAGGCTCTCTCCCCCCTGGACCCCCTCCGAACCCACCAACTCCCCTGCCACACCATCAGTTCTTCTCCAGTTTTCTTCTCCCCGACGACTCTGAAATCTACCATCTCATCCGCAAATCCAAACCCTCAACCTGTCAGCTGGATCCCCTTCCCACCACACTGGTCAAATCATGCCTCCCATCTGTTCTTCCTCTCATATCTGCCATCATTCACTCCTCACTCACCACTGGAACTGTTCCCGCATCCCTCAAGACAGCAGCCATCACCCCTATCCTGAAAAAGCCTGGCTCTGACCCCAATAATTTCAACAACCTCCGCCCCGTCTCCAATCTACCGTATACAGCCAAAATACTGGAAAAGGTCGTCGCCAGCCAACTACACACCCACCTAACCCAGAACTCCCTCTACGACCCCTTCCAATCTGGTTTTCGCCCCCGCCACAGCACCGAAACCGCACTGCTAAAAATCACCAATGACCTTCTCATTGCAGCTGACTCCGGTTCACTTTCCATCCTCATCCTCCTCAACCTCAGTGCAGCCTTTGACACCATCTCCCATCCCATCCTCCTCCGTAGACTCTCCTCCATCGGCATCACCCACACTCCCCTCCGCTGGTTCCACTCCTACCTCACAGACAGCACACAGTTCATACAGCTCAAATCCTTCAAATCCGACCCCTCCCCAGTCAGTTCAGGTGTGCCCCAGGGCTCTGTCCTGGGGCCCCTGCTGTTCATCACCTACCTCCTCCCCCTTGGTTCCATCTTCCATAAATTCAACATTCAATATCACTGCTACGCGGACGACACCCAGCTCTACCTCTCCAGCTCACCAAACTCCACCCTCCCACCCACCTCCCTCATCACCTGCCTATCCGAAATTAAATCCTGGTTCACCGCCAATTTTCTCCAACTTAACAGTCAGAAAACAGAAATTCTTCTAGTAGGTTCAAAATTTACCCTATCCAAAGTTGACAGTCTCTCCCTTCCCATCGACAGTTCCTCAGTTTCCCCCTCACCTCAGTTCAAGAGTCTGGGTGTCGTCCTTGACAGTACTCTTTCTTTCAAATCACACATCAGCCATACCACTCGGACTGCCTACTTCCACCTCCGCCACATCAATCGTCTCCGTCCCTCCCTCTCCCCCAACTCCACCTCCATCCTCGTCCACAGTCTCGTCACCTCCCTTCTGGACTACTGTAACTCCCTCCTCCTCGGTCCCCCTCACATGTCTCTCCATAAACTTCAACTGGTCCACAACTCCGCTGCCCGGATCATCACCAAAACCCCTTCGTCCCACCACATCACCCCCATCCTACAGCAACTCCACTGGCTCCCGGTCCCACTTAGAATCCAGTTCAAAATCCTACTGTATACCTTTAAAGCCATCCACAACCTCGCCCCTCCTTACCTGTCTGACCTCCTCCACATCGCCACTCCATCACGCCGCCTCCGATCCTCTTCCTCTCTCCACCTCACTGTGCCCCCTGTTCACCTCAGCACCATGGGGGGCAGAGCTTTCAGTCGCTCTGCCCCTCGACTCTGGAACTCTTTACCATCACACATCCGCAACATAGACTCCCTCCCCCTCTACAAGTCCAAACTCAAGACACACCTGTTTAAACTGGCCTATCCCTCCCACCACCCCTAACTCGCTTTTTTTAATTCAATTTAAATTGCTATTATTCATTTCTTTATTCATTCCTTTGCTGTTGTTCATGTCTTAATGTTGCTTTGTTGATTTTAACTGTTTTGATGATTGATGATTTTAATTGTTAATAGTGTTTTATTATTGTTTTATATGTTCTGTAAAGTGTCCTTGAGTGACGTGAAAGGCGCTTCAAATAAAATGTATTATTATTTATTATTATTATTCAACAGGTGACCGGAACTGCCTCTGTTCAGGCCGTGAACCGGCGACAGAAGGTGAGTGTGTGTATTGCTGCGTCAGAATTGCCAATTAGTAGTCGAAGTAGTGTCGAAGTAGTATGTAGCATGTCCGAATTGGCCACCGGAGCGAGTAGCATGCTACTTCAGATACTACTTCAGATACTAGACACGCCCACATTGTAGGATGGTCGTGGTGCATCCTACGGGCATGCTACTGACCCAAAATGCACCGCGGGCTTCTTCTTCGTCCTCTTAAAAGTTGTAGAAGCACATGTGATGCTAGCGCCACCAGCTGCTCTGCCTATTTAAATGCGTCGCGAACGCCGGCTGGCCACAGCAGCGCGCACCATGGCGGAGCAGCAGCAGCAGGAGGCAGGACTGCAGCAGTACAGATTTAATTTTAATGTAACTTCACACCTTGTCCTAAAAAAAATGTGCGGTTGTATCTTTTTGTCATGTCATGGTGTCATATTTGCCCAAGTAATCATTTTATGAGCAAACATGCGGCGACATCATGGAGGTAAAGCTCACTTATTCCATCATTAAACTGCACAGCTGCACTAATCAGGCAGATCTCATTGAACAAACGATCACCACGTGAGTGAATGAAGTCTAAAAGTAATGGAAAAGCTACTTTGTGAATTTCTAAAGCAGTGCAGGAATATAATACAGCAGCATCCATCACTTGCACAATTACTATTCAGAGTCTAAAACGGGCGCAGTACCTACTCTCTGCCTGCGGGGGTCATCTTTCACCACCGCTCGTCTAGTGTGTCCGAATTGGGCGAACGTGTTTAGTATGTAGGAGTAGGATCTAGCAGTAGCACGTAGCAGTAGCATGTAGTATGCGAGCGGGCAAGTCGGACACAGCAACAGCATATGTGTGTGAGTGTAAGCAAGACCCGCGTAGGTGTATGAGTGTGCACCCTCTAACACCGGCTGCGGGGACGCAAGAGTCCAGGAAAATTATTGTCCTTTATGTTCATTTTGACTCCCCCCTCGTCCGTCACTCTAGCCGCGAGTGACCACGCTATTCCCCACGCCGGTGCCCAGCGGCAAGGGAGAGCGAGAGGGAGAGAAGGCGAGAGAGAAGGCGTCCAGCCGTGAGGGAGAGCGTGCGGCCAGCCGCGAGAGAGAGGGCGTTAGTGGCACATTTTTATACAGTCAACAGTAGAGTTTGTACCGGTTACAGCAGCTTTAACACAACAACTCATCATTCTTGTTTCATCCACATCTGTACAGAGCAGCTGTGTGTGTTTGTCCTACAGCGCCTCCACCTGGTGGACTCGAGCAATGACCATCAGACACAACAGTGAGTCACACAGCTCTAGTGGTGGGCAAAACCGTTCATTTCAGTGAACCGTATCATTCCGGGTCGTTCAGTAAAAAGATCCGTTCATTTCGGTCATTTCGGTCAATCTGTCGTAAGTCAGTCCGCTCGTTCATGTAGTTCACGTTCGTTCAGCGTCTGAACGAACGTTCAGCGCTCATCACAAACGTGATGAGCGAACGGACTGACTGCACTTCAGACTAAACAGCGCAACAACATGTGATCTTGAAAACTGAAGCATTACACCCCTACAGATCCGACGTTGCGAGCGTCTCAGCTCCCCGGTCCGACATTACGACCCCCCCGCGGTCCAACGCTGTGACCGCTGCACTCCCCACTTCCCACCCCCGGTCCAACGCTGCGATCGCGCTGCACTCCTTGTAATATAAAATTATAGTAGGAATAACAAAATATATAAGGTTTTTAATGGTTTTTATTATTTTGAGGTGCATTAAAAACAATGATAAAAAGTAAAAAATGTCAACAGACAGTGCAAATGCGTATTAATAGTTGTCTCTCTGCCTCTGGCTGCAGCAGCAGCTGTGTGCCTTTGTGTGTGTGTGACTGTCCCGCTCGCTCGGGCTCGGCTGTCGGCTCGTGCGGCGGCCAGTCAACTCAGTCTTTCAGTCAACTCGTTCACCGTCTGGATCTTTCGTTCACTCGGTCTTTCAGTCAACTCGTTCATCCGTCTGGGTCTTTCGTTCAACTCAGTCTTTCATTCATTTAACCCGTTCTTTCAGGTAACTTGGTCATCCCGGTCTTTCAGTCAGCTCAGTAGTACTGCTGCTGCTTCTCTAAGCCCCACCCACACACAGAACGAGGCACGACGATAGGATAAGACAGGTAAGCACGGAGATAGTCCCTCTTCAGCCAATCAAAAGAACTGAACGGACTGAACGGGTCATTTAGGGGGGGAGAACTAGTTCATTTCGTTCACCAAAAAGAACTAGTTCATTTGATCCATTCGTTCAAGACCGACACACCACTACACAGCTCACATCCACTACCTTATCAGGTGTCATTTACTGAAGAAAGAAGAGGAATTGGAGAGATTTAGTGGTAAGACTAAAAGATTTTCATACCAACCATCTTACACCCAAATATTTGGCATATTATCATTGAAATAAAACTGTATGGGACAATAAAAGGTACGTGATAGCTAACTTTCAGGTTATTTCATGAAAAGTCTTCAGAAAAATATGACATGTCACTGATGAAGACTTGTCAAGATTCCGAACTAAAACTGGTGATGAAACTGGCACAAAAATCACACTGCTAAGTATTTAGAGGACTGCAGAGCAACCTGGACAATATTTCCTCCATGCTGTGCTTCTTTTTACAGTGACACATAATAAACAGGGATAAAACCTGTTTTGGATACTGTAATGTAAAAATTAAATGCAGATTAGTTAAGCACTTGAGGGGTCGGGAGTCTAACTGCAGTCTACAGTAATAAGGGGTGGGAGGGGGTGTGTTTGGGCTGCAGCTGTGAACTGTCTGCTACTACAACCCTCCTCCGTTTGTGTCCACACTGTGTGTTCACGTTGACAGAGGTATGTGTGAGTAGGGTGGGGGTGGAGGGGTCAGCAATGCAAGTAGAGATGGAGAAAATGCCATTTAAAATTAATGGAGTTTTTGTCTGTTTTTGTAAGTTTTTAAATAGATTTACATCTTTTGTAAAAACTAAACGCAGAGATTTCTCACAATAACATGAACTTTTCTGCTGTTAAACATGCAGGACAGGACCACAGTGGTCAGTGGTGGGCAGGACTTTAGCTTCATCATTCAATGCATCGCTTTTAAACTAACTATTCTCAAAGTCTCGACGATAACACAAGTTTGTATGATAATATTGTCATGAAATCTTACGGTCTCCATTTCGTTGATGTTGTCCTCTCTGTTCAGGTGTTTGTCGGAGGTGTTTGTCGGAGTTGGAGTCTTTAGTCGTCTGGGGAGGTTTTATTTACGATGGAGCTGTCAAAAGGTGAAAGCTTGTGAGCCACAGAAGTTTTTCGTGTCGATCTTCAGATAGAATCTTCAGAAATGACCAATCTTTATCGACTTGTGATGATTTAAAGTTTTTACATCGTCACTGGTTACCATGGAGATTTAAAATGCTGTTTACTTTAGAAAAACACTTACACTGGTAGGTTATATCTAAAAGTTTAATATCAACTTTAATTCACTTTAATCTCAAAGGAATATAAAAGGAATTAAAATTAATGGAGTTTTTGTCTGTTTTTGTAAGTTTTTAAATAGATTTACATCTTTTGTAAAAACTAAACGCAGAGATTTCTCACAATAACATGAACTTTTCTGCTGTTAAACATGCAGGACAGGACCACAGTGGTCAGTGGTGGGCAGGACTTTAGCTTCATCATTCAATGCATCGCTTTTAAACTAACTATTCTCAAAGTCTCGACGATAACACAAGTTTGTATGATAATATTGTCATGAAATCTTACGGTCTCCATGTCGTTGATGTTGTCCTCTCTGTTCAGGTGTTTGTCGGAGGTGTTTGTCGGAGTTGGAGTCTTTAGTCGTCTGGGGAGGTTTTATTTACGATGGAGCTGTCAAAAGGTGAAAGCTTGTGAGCCACAGAAGTTTTTCGTGTCGATCTTCAGATTGAATCTTCAGAAATGACCAATCTTTATCGACTTGTAATGATTTAAAGTTTTTACATCGTCACTGGTTACCATGGAGATTTAAAATGCTGTTTACTTTATAAAAACACTTACACTGGTAGGTTATATCTAAAAGTTTAATATCAACTTTAATTCATTTTAATCTCAAAGGAATATAAATATCTCTTGAGGTAAAGTTGAGGTTATTTTCTGTCAACTAGTTTAAGAGTTTAAAAAGCATATTAAATCAGAAACCTTTGTTATTTCTGTACAGAACTACCCATTTTTGAAAACTATATCTTAGTATGTCTCATAGGTAATCCAACAAAAACTGGAAACTTTGTGTTTAATTATAATTTCCACTAAATATTTTAACTTATATTTAATTTTCATACCTTTAAATATGTTTTTCACAACATCTGAGGTCAGTAGATATTCTTGTAAAAAAATATAGGCTACTAAAAATAGCCCATATATTCTAGCCTGGCTGTGCCATCCTGTTGCGTGAATCACTTGACGTTCCTTCCCACCACGGTCTGGACTTCGGCCCATTGGAAGCCCTGAAAGTGGGCGGGAGTACTTTCCTTGATAGACAGACTACTGTAACCAATCACCGTAACCAAGCATCTGACATCATCACAGATGCTTGGTTACGGTGATTGGTTACAGTAGTACATGGACCAATCAGGGGCTGCCTTTCCCTGTTATCCGGGTAACAGTAGCTACGTTTACATGGAGCCACATATTCCGAATAGAATTGGAATAGAAGCCCAATCGGAATGAAAATGCTCCATATAAACACCTCATTCGGAATAAACAGGCCCATTCCGAATGGAATTTCATTCCGATTCACAGGGGTAGAATATTCCTTTTCCCATTCCGATTAAAAGCAAAATCCTGTCATGTAAACGGTGAATCGGAAAGTTGTCAGGCTGGGTTCTGTCTGCGCATGCTCTGTCCTGATGTAAACAAGCAGTGACGTATGACTCACATGGTGGGACATCATGTGACAACATCACGTGATGTTTGAAGGTATCACACACAGACGTAATAAAAGATAGACCCCGCATCGGCCGCTACCACGAATGGGCGCTGTCGAGAAATGCGGCCACCATCTTGGTTCGGTCATCCGCCTCACTCTGCACCGCTGTTTAACCGGCGGAATGAAGTCTGAGCGCATTAAATGAATCATAGTTCGCTCAATACTACGTAATTTTCTTCTCTGCAAACGCCATTCAAAGAGGCATGATAGAGGCCATATTTTTTTTGGCGTTTTCAAATACTCAGAATGAATAAAATGATATTTTAGAACATGGCAGCAGTGGCTGTATTATAGTATAACAATTAATCAAGGATATATCTAGGTTTAGAGCTAGGTTCCTGCTATGTCTCAATAATTATTTATAACTGGCGGTTTTAATAGGCCAATTCAATATATATTGATTTGATTATATTTTATTTAGTTTAATTTTATTTATCCATTTGTAGACACACACAAATAATGTCATATAGAAGCACTATTTTAATAACTGGAAAATACACACAAAGAAATAGCCTACATATCAATAAAAATTAAACACAAGAACAGCATGACAGGCCAGCATCTAAACTACATATCAATTTGCTTGTTGGCTACACAGCACAGAGGAATCACTTGCTGCGAATTTCTCCCTCTAACAGCAATCTCCCACTTCTTCCTCAAGTTTTTGTCCTTAGGAAATCTTCAAAATGAAACAGGAGATCACCACAAAGAAATCTTTAATAAAACAGATAATAAAACAGAGCTCACTTTCTTCCTTCTTCTTTCTATTTTATTTCTTAACGTTTCTTAGAACATCTCTCAAACAAAATTTTTTCAATCTAATGCAAATCTGTTGATAATAGAGCAAAGTTGCTATTATTGTGAATAAGCTAGCTGTTCGCAAATGCTGTTTCCTTTTTGGAGTTGACCGATAGTCTTCCTCTTTGGCCTACAAATGACTCTACAGTCAAGTGTAATGTTGAAAAAACGTTTAATCATAACTGTGAGAAGTTATTCCTTGAGCCCTGTTCTCTGCTGTCCGCCTGTTGGCACAGGAATACGCCGCACAGTGCTCCGGCATCGCTGAATGAATGAATATGATTGACCGGAGCGTATGGGAAGCTTGACCTGACCAAGATGGCGGCCGCATTTCTCGCTGCGCAGCCCCCCCAGCGGGGTCTATCCTTTTATTATGTCTATGGTATCACATGTCTGTAAATAGCTGTTCCGATTGAATGCCGTGGCACATGTAAACACCAGATCAGAATAGATCGCTTCCATGTAAAATGTTCGCCTGGGAGCTTCAATCGGAATGATTATAATCCGAATGAGAAAAAAGTCTGCATGTAAACGTGGCTAGTGAAAACACGGTCTCTGATTGGCCCGGTTATTTTCTGATCGGGAATACACGCTCCCAATGGGCCGAAGTCCAGACTGTGGTGGGAAGGAACGTCAAGTGATTCATGCAACAGGATGGCACAGCCAGGCTACATATATTCCTATCATATCAATATTTTAGAGCAGTGGCTACATCTGCAAAGCACTTTGTAACCCTGTTTTGAAAAACTCTATAAATTGATAATTGTTATTTTCCATAGCCTATTATAACACACCAAAAAGGCCACAAAGATATCTAATTTTGAACTTCAACAAATAAAAATATCACATTAGCTGTGAGCCAAAATATCTTCTTCACTTCAGTAGAAAGAGGACTATAGAAAGACGAAAATATTCTCTGTGTTGTCAAAACACTCATCTGCAAACTGTAGTTGGAGAAAAATATTAACAATCCAACTGAAATGGCAAAAGCATTTTGACAAAAGTGTTGATAATTCTCAAATAGTAGAAAACAGATTTTAAGTCTTTGGACATTGAACTCGAGGAGCTCAGAAACATCTGGAAGTCAACAGTCTGAACAGGTTTTGAACAAAAATGATTATCTAAATCAGTGGTTCTCAAACTTTTTTTGTCATTCCCCCCTTTGGAGGAAGAAAAAATTTCATTCCCCCCTACCCCAACAAAATTGTGACAATAGGCCATGTATAACTTTATTGACATAACATTCCTTTTGCTGTCTTTCTCAAAACTAGAAAACAAACGTGCATTCATGTTGCAAGAACAATAATAATCAAACAATATCAAGTTGAGTAAGTACAAAAAAAAGCAAACAAAAAATATAAATAAACAAATGCATATCAAAATCTTGTGCAATCACTGTGCTTTTTCTATATGTGCAAACAAAGAACAAATGCAAAAATCATGAATTTTCCATTTAAAGCACTTTTTCAAAACTAGAGAAAAAGTGCATTCAAAAAGTGCAGGAAAATAATGAACTTCTGTAGGCATATGTAAGAAATAGAACTGAACAACTGGCAAGAAAGGCTTTGTTGTCTCAGTAACATTTAGAGATCGATTCTCTTGTAAAGCCCTGCACTCACTCACTGCATTAATGGCTGCAATGAGCCTGTTTTGTGCTGCACATCTTTTCAAATCAAGGTTGCAGGCTTGATACGGCCACTCTCAATTCATGTTCAATGTTGAGCCTGGATCTGTATTTTGTTTTTAGTGAGGCAACAGCAGAAAAGTCTATCTCACAGAGATAGGATGTGGCGAAGGGAAGCAGAATGCCCACAGCCCTCTGCCCAATGAGTGGATGCTCCCTCTCCACACCAAGCCAGAATTCACTCAGTGTCTGTGCTGTAAACTTCATCCTCAGGGTGGAGTCTGAGGTCATCTCAATGTACTGGTCCTCTTCAGCAGAGCTGAGATCAGCTGGTGCTGCTGCGTTAAATGGATCTCTCAGCCAGTCATACTGCACACTGTTGTCTGGGAAGTATTTTTGAAAGAATCTTCTCAGAGAAGAAATGTGCTCCTTGAGATATGGAATCACTGTGGTGGCGCAAGAATCACTTGTGTCAGCAAATTCACTCAGATTCTCAAAGAAATCAGTGTTTCCTTGATCAAGTCGCCTGCCCCACATCTCCAGTTTTCGAGTGAATGCGCTGATCTTGTCTGCCAGGTGAGGAAGATGCTTGTCTCTGCCTTGAAGCTGAAGATTTAATTCATTCAGCTTTCCAAATATGTCGCTGAGATAGGCCAGTTTCATCAGAAATTGTTCATCACTGAACTTGCTGGCAACGTCATGCATGCCATTTTCCTCCAAAAACACCTGAATTTCCTCTCTGAGTTCAAAGACTTGTGACAACACTTTGCCTCGGGAGAGCCACCTGGCCTCGCTGTGGAACAGCAGATCTGAGTGCATGGCTCCCATCTCATCACAAAGTGCGGAGAACAGCCGCGCTTTCAGGGGTCTTGTTTTGATGAAATTGACCACTCTAATGGCATCAGTCAGGACCTCGTTTAATTCAGGGCTCATCTGCCTTGATGCAAGCGATTCTCTGTGTATGAGACAGTGCGTCCATTGCACATTTGGCGAGACTTCACCTTAAGCCTTTTCAGCCCCTCACGTGAATATTATCCTCACACGTCCCCGAAATACCAATTACAGAGATATTAGAAAGAAGCTTGTTTTTTTCTTTTATGTTACCGTTAACTACACTAGCTTGACGCTAACTTGATATCTAGCAAACGGGAGCTATTTTTTCACCTGAGGTTTGGCTAGCTCTGGCAGTGTTCAACGCAAGCTGTAGCAAACAGCAGTAATTTTGTTATACCACTAAATATGAAAACGATTGAAACCATTACTCACCAAATTCAATCTGCTGGTTTATGCAGGTAAATGTGTACGCTACGCTCTGGTCTGCCTTGTCCCCGGTGTGCACCCCTGCATCCCATCCACTCATTAGCTTCTTAAAGTGGAAGACAATGATCTCATATTTTACAAAGACACGACTATTTGGATAATGACTACTAGCAAACTTTCGTTCTGTTTTAGTGTGTCTCAAAAATGCACATATCCAGGTTTACTTGGGTATATAAACTGTACAGTAAGATGTCAAGGTAGAGAACAATATACTTTCGGGACAGCAAATATTCTGAATCAGAGGGCTATTGTTTTCGGCTTATGTGAATAACCTGAATGAAATCATTAAAGGCACACGCTTTTGAATCCGTCCAATGGTAAGGAAAACTTTGTTATGTACTACTACTCGTCAGGGGGGCATTCTACAGCAGGGGTGCATTCTATGACACAACACCTGCGTGGATAAGTCCTGCTTCTCGTTCTCGCAGCTTTGCAATGCTACCACAGGCTCTCCAAGCACTCCAAGTACAGTGTGCGCATGATTGGAATAATGGAACACAGTTTGGCCTATGATTGATTCTCATCAGCGAAGCAGCCAGGAGGATTTGCTGACCGTCCAAGTGTCATTTAAAGGGCCGAAGTGCTCTGTTTGCGTATGAAGTCAATCACATGATAATAATAAAAAAATAAAAACCCCGACCCCCCCCGAAAAAAAAAAAAAAAACTCCTCAGATCTACACAATTCATGTAGGTCACCCTTTTTGACTTCAAAACGGCGAATTTCGCCGAAAGGTGAGAGATTTTCATGTCTGTATAACTAATCATTAATTCTAAAACAAAGACCTTATATATGTACATATACACATCCATACCTATATACACAAATATGCACTTTATATATATACCCTATAATACTTCAAATCTCTCATGTGTACCATACCCATATACAATATAATAAGTGTGGCAAAACAAAAATCACTTTTGTATGTATTTTAATCATATTCTGCTTTAATTTACTTTTAAACTGTGCTAGTTTTGCTTTGTTTAAGATCATCTGGCAAGCTGTTCCACAGATTCACCCTCACAATAGAAAGACACATGCTTTAAGTGTGGTACGAACGCTTGGTTGTTTTAAATTGCGTTCCCCTCTTAATGCATACCTTGCCTCTCTTTCACATTTTCTGTGTATTACTAGGGAGTAGATTGTTACTAGCTCTTTACATTGTCTGTGCAGTTCTAAATTCAACTAGATTGGCAAATTTTAATACTCTTAATTTCAGAAACAGTTCATTAGTATGATAGAAGAATCCTACCTTGTTAACAATCCTTATTGCTCTCTTTTGCATAATATAAATAGGTTGTAAATTCGTTTTGTATGTATTTCCCCAGACTTCTATGCAATAGTCAGATATGGTAATATAAGCATATTGTATAATAAGTATTATATTCTATGGTTTAATATGTGTCTTGTCCTACCCAGAATGCCAATACTCCTAGCCAGCTTCCACCTAACATTTTATTTGGGGTTTCCAACTGAGGTTATGGTCCATTTTCACCCCTAAAAAAGTACACTCATAAACCCTTTCTAGCTTAGTATTATCAATATTCACTTCAGCCTCTGTGTTTGGTTGAATTGGTCTCTTTCCAAACATTATATACTTTGTCTTAGTCATGTTTAGAGAGATTATTCTCATCAAACCATAATTTCAGTTTACTCAACTCCACTGAGGTATCCTGTAATAGCTGGTTTAGATTCTCTCCTGTACAGAAAAATATTAGTATCATTGGCAAAAATGACAAATTTTAATACACTAGAAACTTTACATATGTCATCTACAGTATATATAATATGAATAATTTTGGTCCCACTATTGAACCCTCTTGCACTCCACAGGTTATATCTAGATACGTTGATCCAAACTGTTGTCTGTTTTCAATGTAACTTTTGATCCAGCTAAGCCCCACCCCTCTGATATCATACCCTTCCTAACCTTTTTTCTTCTATTCTCCATAGTAGTTTATTTCACAAGCACCACTAGATAATCCTTACTCTCATCGTTAGAGGAGCAAAACAAACACTGTCATGGACTTATCGGGAGACTGGGGCTTGTTATCACACTTTTTACACTCATACATATTTCTTGTAATCAATACGCCATATATAAACAAAATGTGTACACAATGAAAGACCAAAGTCTCAGGTATATATTTTGTATTCATGTCATTTTCATATCTTGTGTCAGTGCAGAGTTTTTAGCAATCAAATAAGTGTCACGTCAGGTACTGCACTGCTACGTTCAGTTTTTCTTTTGGAATTCCTGACCATGTCTTTTCGCTTTCTCTTTTCTCTTTCTCCCTTTAAACCACTCTTTTCTATGTAAAAATAAAGTTATAATTTCGATATGAGAACTGCTGATAAGCAGACTCTCTATGTTAATTTTGATCCCTTTTAAACATGTGACAACTAACCCAAAATGACTGAAACATGTTGCCCCAAACTACCATGCTTGCTAATTCTAGCTCTAGCTTAAAGTTAGCTTAAAACAGAACAATGACTGAGGTATGACAGGATGCATTAATCTCTCCTCCAGCAAGTCTACATGTATCACTGCTAGGATTTTAATCTGGAAGAAACTTATTTTAAAATATATACAGTTATTTTTTTTTTCTTTGGGTTGTGCAAAATGGTTAATTGGCGCTCATCTCAGCTCACAATGTGCTCTTCTCTTCTCAGACAGGATACGACCCCTGCTCATGTAAAGGAATAAAACAAGTATTCCACTTTTTAGTTGCGCCCTCTGGTGGCAAAGATAATTGCAATGTCACAACTTACCCATGTGACAACAAGCCCCGGTCTCCCCCTACTCTATTAAGGTGGGCAATGGCAGCATGGCACTTCTCATACTGGTCTGTGCATTTATGTGTCCATTTTGCCAGTTATCTTGTTATCATGAGAAACCAAACTTTGTTTTTTTAATGGAGATAATAAGAGACATTTATCATTTCCAGAAAGTTGTAATTATCCTAGATTATTCATGACTGCATATCAGAGTTAAAACAGCTTCTGGTGTGTTATTGATATAAACTCTGATTTTTAGGTTAAAAGCAATATTAAAACAACAGTCATGTTCACACAACCCAATATTTTTTTGAATGTCATGGATCAATTCAGTATTTGTCTGACTCATTTTTTCTGACTTGGATAATTATGTATATGACATTAAAATGTGCATGGAACAATAAATGTTATCATGAAATTATGTTTTAACAAATGCACAAAAGAACTAACAACATGCACTTGACACATTTCTTAGTCTAATGAGTTCCTAATGAAATGGTAAAACACACTCATGTTTTTTACAGTTATATGTGTGAAATAACCTGTTAATGGTACTGATTTGGTCTAAAAAAAATTTAAGTTGACCGAAGTGCGAAGTGCACCAGGGAAATCTCTTCAGTGTTGTTATTGTTGGCTTGATGAAACAGAGTTGGAGGCAGCAGACTAGAAGTCTGTGTTTTTTGAAGCATTCCTTTACAAAACTTACAAAATGTGATAATTCTCAGAGGTTACCCAACATGTTTTATATTGACAAGTTTTAATAATAACAAATGAAATAATGATAGAAATAATGTTTGTCATGTACTAAATTAATAATAAATAGCTAAAAAATACTACTTTTATTCTACTTATTTTAGCAATCCAACAAAAGTAGCTCACACAAACTTTATGTACCAACAAAAATTATGTATATCTTTGGTTTTCTTAATCTTAATGGACAAATTTACTGACTTGATGAAAAACAATGAAAACCAGGACATTTGCATTTGCATCACTTTGTAAAAAAAACAACCAGGATGGGATGTGAAAAAAGGACAGGTCCTGTGAAAACTGGACGTTTGGTCACCGTACTGTTCACTAACCTTCTGAATCCTCTTTTCATGTGCTTATAGCCGAGCTCTTTTTAATAATTTTAAACTTTATCTATTGCTCCTGCTTTTAACTGTGTGTTTGTTTTGTTTTGTTTTTATGCTGTTCTTTTTAAAAAAAATGTTTTGTTTTTATGTAAAGCACATTGAGTTGCCTTGGTATGAAATGTGCTATATAAATAAAGATGCCTTGCCTTTTTTGTTGACCGCGGTGTGTCTGAAGGTTTCAGCTGGTCTTGTGTGGAAATTGCAATCACTGTGCTGATGAATACTGGCTAGTTTACTAATTTATCTTCATGTCGTTAGTTTAACATTAAATCTTTTACAAACTGCAATGCATTGTTTGTGAATTACCAGCTTGAGAGTCTTTGTGGTTGTTTGACATAAGCAGAATAAAACATAAACGTGCTGAAAGGGCAGGCTGCCCACAGGAGTTAATGGCCTTGCATTACAAAGACACTGGTCACAGCAAACTGAAACACATGCAAACTCAGTAAGAGGTGGAGACAGGTTCAAAAGGCTCTTACTGAGAGAATCCTTCTGGATTCAGCAAGACAACCACACTATAACTACCATTTGTAAATGGCCTCAGTAGATGAAAAACAAAGCTATCATGAAAAATATATAAGGATGCACGTGTGCTTTGAGCGTCATTACTTGAGGAAAGATAGCCTGTGATCATTTAGTGATCTAGAGTAATATCACAGAAAATCGTCTCAGCTTTATCAATTGAGGTATCCTGGCCTGTCTTTTTGTTTTTCAATTAAGGACTTCCTGAACAATTTTAAACCAGGAGCAATTTCAACAGATGACGATTATGCCTGATACTCAAATGGTGTCAACATTAGGGGTGTGTGTGTGTGTGTGTGTGTGTGTGTGTGTGTGTGTGTGTGTGTGTGAAAGAACCGGTGATTGTTGTTCCAAATGAAGCCACATGAGGTCTTCAAACATCTTTTTTTTTTTTAGTCAGTGAGCATTCAGAAATGAAAAACATGTACTGCATCAAATTCAAACCCAGACTAAGGCTAAAAGGACTGGTGGCAGCATATTTAGTTTGGCCTCAACATTAACACACACAGAACTCAGTGTGTTTTGGGAAATTTTTGGAGGTCTGAACAGTCCTACACTGCTCATGTCACATGTATAGATTCTTTTTGTCTCTCTCTTTTACATGATGTTTTAGAATAATGACATAAACACCTCAATCCAGCATGACAGTCATTTGTTAAGACAAAAAAGAGACGGTCAAATACGAGTTGAAGTCAAGCATCATTTTATTCCGACATACTCAAACACATCAGCATGCATGCTGTGATTCACTCCTGTGGAGGAAACATACACAGTTTCATACATGTTGCTTGTCGTACATACAGCAACCTCCTCACATTGTGCTTCCTTTGAGCAGACATTTAGAAACATTAAGTAACAAGTATTTTCTGCTCAGTCCAGTGGATCATTTCCAAAGCAGGACCTCTTCAGAAGATGGATTGCCAAGAGGATCAACATCAACTTTTCTAATCCAATGTCTCACTGATAAAGATACATTTTTCAGCATGACTTCTTACATAGAACCCACTGATTCAACACCAATTGTTGAGCTGGAACATCCTGGCATTTTATTTACTGTTCAAATACAACTTTTGCATCACATTCAACAAACTACTTCTCAAACTGTTTAAATAATAATAAAAAAACCTGAACTCAGAAAGGCAAAAACAAGTCATGATTGTCTTCAATAACAATTCAATATCGCAATTTAGATTTGTCGTTTTTTACACTTGTTTAGAATCTGAATGCAAATAATTGTGCAAGTTGTCTCTTCTACTTTGGTTTAGTTTTGTCACACTTCATCTCAGATTTGGTATTTTTAAACCATCATGGCTTTGCAGCTTCACATCTATAATAAGACCCACTCAGGAAACAGGTTCTCCAGTTTGGGGCAGATGGGTCAGATCTCATCTCTTACAAATACTGTTCCAAAGCTGCGTTGATTCTTTTTTTTTTCAAAAGTTAATTATAAGAAATGACAATGTGTAGGATCAAATTTGTAGATGAGTTTTCACCCAACTCAATCAAGGTTGGTTTTTACACCCACATTCCAGTTAATTGTTGCACCTTTCATTTTCAATTACAAGAAAAATGACCCTTGTTCCTCAAACAGAAACACAGTTCTGCTGTTTCTAATGTAAAGATTTGTCAATGAGCATCCCATTTACTGCCAGATGAACTCAAAAACAGATCAACATGTTCACTTTATAACTAACATCATATTCCTGTCTCCTTCAGCCTTTGTCTACTGTCTTTTATATCTGTCTTGAAGTCAGCCTTACTTTCATTTTGCCATCACTCAATCTTTTCTATACTCCACTGAACTTCACCTTTTTTACCGTTTTGTTCAGTTTGTCTATATTCACTGTGAATAATGTGTGCTTTGTTAAGAGGAATGGATATTTCAAATGTCACAGTATGAGTAGCCGGCTGCAGTCTTGCATATTCATTCTTTAGTTTCAAAATGAAGGTGATTATATGTGATTTGAGATTGCCCTTAGAAGCAAGTAGGCAAAAACACCCAAGTTATGATGCACACACATACTAATGGAGGGACATACTCTAGGCACACAGTGATGCATATCTGTCTCACACACACTACCATGTACTCAGGTCGGCAGCTCTTAAAACTAACACTGCCTCTGTTGACAGCCCATTAATGTTTATCAAACCCTACACAAGCACACACACACACACACACACATCTTGTCCAGGCATCTAAACAAAACAATGCAAAATGTGCCGAGAACTGATCAAAGTCAAAAACTACGGTCGGGTGCTGTGACATGAGAGCCCAGACCTGAATCTCTGTCAGTGCACCAAAAAGAAACAGAAACAGAAAAGGAAGAATTGAACCCAAGAATTAGAAAGACAGGTTCAAATCATGCCTGCATTGAATATCAGTAATCAGTTAAGTGCACTGATTCAACATAATAAATTATCAGACCCCCCTGACATCATCGTGTCAAGGGCCAATTTAATGTCATTCTTACAATAAAGAGAGTCTGAGGTTTGTCAAAGATATAAACGTGGAAAAACGTAGGTGTTTTACATCCACAATGTAAGTCTGTAAATCCTGCTGGAGTAGAAGAATGCTTGTAATTGGTCAGTACTCAAATTCAGGTGTCAGAATCATCTTTGGAGAGGACAAATTTGAACACCTCTACCTGAGAAGCTGGGATTCTAAGTGGAGATCCCAGCATGTGTCTGCAGTAAAGACAGAGAATAAATATAGCTCAGGAGTGACTCATGCCACCTGGATGGAAATCAAATTGAGACACACAGATGTCCACACTGATTCTAACAGGAGCCCCAGGAGTATGAGAAAGCTCTTAAATGCATCTATTTCTGTCGGCCGACGACCAACAATGTCTGAGCTCCCTGTAGTTTACTGCAACATACTAAATACTACAACACTGTCAAATGCTGCTCTGAGCAGTTCTTACGCCAGCATGCACTAAAACAACGCATGTGAAAGCCCACTTCACAAACCGGCACTGCCAAAGACTAATGTGCCTCAATAACAAACTGTGACCAATCCAACTGGTGTCAAAGTTCAACATCAACAAAGAGGTTTAAAGTTTCTGTGAGGAGTTTTCTGGCTGGTGATGAAACAGGCTGAAAATAATGCTTACAGCTCTTTGTGGGCCAAATCAAAACAAACAAACAAAAAAAAACATCAGCTAGAAGACAGATTCTCAATGGAGCTTTAATCAGTTTAGCATACTTTATAAGATAAAATAACCTGGTATTACTTCCTTATGTTAACTTAACTAAGTCAAGAGGTTTGCACTACTAGTGAAAGTGTAGTTGATCTTTTGATTGGTAAGTCAACAAGAGTTCTTAGCTGACTGAATTTAGGCTCACTGTTTTCCTTTGTTTATCAGAGACAGTCTTAAACTAGACTAGGACAAATGCATTGCCTCGAACTGTGATTATGACCCCAATTGGATGATGTGACGCAAAAACTAAGAGTACAATGAGGTAGGGACTAAATTTACAGTCTGAAGCGTATTTTTGGCCTTTCATTTAGAGATTGACCATTTTGAGGCAGGCATTTGAACCCAGTGCACCCCCAGTCCTCAAAGTAGGTGATCTGAACCTGACTGTGACTTGCAGCCCTGTGCTGCATGTACCACGCAGTCTACTGCAGGCATAAAAGCCTTAAAAACAAAGCATATCATTAAGGTGTTTGGTGTGTGTACACAGCTTCAGATGGTAGAAATCCTTTATTTTCATGTACATGACACACACTGGATTTGAAACAAACGCTAAGATGCCCTCATCACCAAAAGCAAGAGAAAAACTACTAAACTAATTAAAGTAAAAATATGAAGGATAAGAAAAAAAAAGAGTTGGCCATATTATTACACAATAAAAGCTGCTTAAACACATTCTTATTTCTATTGAGATTCATCTTAACTCATCAGAGCTCACACCCTAATAAAGACTCAAATTCAGCAAATGTCTTAGTTTCACAATTTTAATTCAATACGTTTGTATTTGAGTCACTGCTAAAAGAGGCACTGTCTCTCTGGTGAAACAAATCTGAACTGAGCAGAGTCAGACCTGCTGGTAAAGAAAGACGACATGATCTTTCAGTAAATTTCATTTATCATAATGGGTTCACTATAAAGTGAACCCAAAAATGGGTCATTGGGGCTAGACAACAAGTAATTAAGACACTTACAGGTGTTCTATACTCTCTCCAAATCAGTTTGGCAGAGGAAAAGGATTTCATGTTACCACCAACCAAGACTCTCCAGTCACTGTAATCCTCTAGTCCTCCAGAAAAAAAGGGTGTTTTAAGGTCCTCGGACTGGCCCCTCATTCCAAAACTTTGGGTGCATACAATATCTACTTCTGAGGGGACAGCTCCTGTGTCAAAACCTGAGGACAACATGGAGGTGCATGAAGAATGCAGTTTCTTAAGTGTCCACTTGAGGCTGTCTCTAAAAGCCAAAGAGACTGATTGGAGCCCTCATTAAAAGTTCATTCTGAAATACGAGCGAGTTTTTATAACTGATCAATTTTATTGCTTATTCATAGGTGGGTGAAACTTGGGCATGTCTGATCTGACTGACAGGTGGATGTCCTGAAGCTGTTTGCAAGGTAGCTAAAGGTCTGAAACTCCACCACTTACCCGGTCAACTGATAAAAATAAAAAATAAAAAATTAAGAAAAAAGTTTTACAGGTTTAAAATAGGTTTGCAGCTTCCAGTTTAATTTAATTAAATTGTACTATATGTATTAGGAAGCTAATATACTTCTTTTTATAATCGCACTGGTTTTCATCCTATTAAGTCAAAGTGGCTGGGTCACAAAGACAAAAAAAAAGTCCCCAGAAGAATCCCCAAGTTCTGTGACTCTACATTTACTCAAGACAGACTCTGCACATGCTCACTGACAGAGCAACATCTCAACATCAGTACAACTGTAAACAGCACGACTCATACATCCTTATCCACCATGCACATCGATCAACAACTCGGGGGGCTCTTTTTCAAAATGCCCAAACTCTCCGAAATGAAGGCTAATTCAACACACTGTACATCCTTGATCTATTTTAGCATTCAGCTTCCAGTGCCTTGAAAGGATGTCTGGACATTATTCACAATCTCTTTTCTGCACCAGGCCCTTGACTGTGGAAGAAAACATGTTTTTAAGGACCCCTGGCAACAAACAACCCTGAACAAACACACACACACACACGTACCACAGACTGCCAGTTCCACATGCTGTAAGATTTTCAGGCCATATGCCCTCAGTAGTGGATCCTTTAAAATTCACATTTCAGGCACAAACACATGAATTTAATAGAAAAATATGTTGAATTTTTAAGAGGAGGGAAAACGGCAGCTTCCCATCCATTGAAGGATGAATTCAAACACGTTTTGAATTTAAAGACTAAGAGGCACATTATTATACAAAACTGGACTCCATACATGTCCATGAGCTTCAAACATTTCCACAATTTCACATTTGTCAGTCTGACTCAGATCCAAATAACCACCTAATAACTGAGTCAGACTACATATTTGTGCTTTAAACATGACTAAACAAGCTAGAGCTGATCACGCAGCAGATTTGAAAGCAGAGAAATGAGCCTGAATAATGTTGATTTGATCATTAATAGTAAAATTAAAGAAGCTTACTTTGGTAAACCAGTGATTTTGCTGCAACAGTCTAACTTAGTCATATGATGTAATTAAACTTTAACTTTTTGCAGACTTCGCATTTATTTAGCGTTACATGTTAAGTAGCATTTGTAGGATTTAGTAATTCAATCTTTGGCTAATGCTGTCAGTTTACTGTTTTCTGGTTCAGCTATTGTGGCTTTCAGCTGTACCACAAGTTAGTAAAGAGAAATGGTTCTTTCACCATAACTTAGTAAAAATTGTGGAATTAAACCTTCAAAAGAGGCTCAAGCAGAAACCTGCTGTGGACAGACCTCCATCTGCTGGAAGGGAAATATTCTCTAAGGCATCTCCAATGGTTTGGGCTACATACTATAAGGAAGCAACAAGTGTGAGTGAAGCACAACCTGTTTCTATATAGCATCATTCTGGTTAGTTAGCTATTTCCAATGTCTTAAGGCGGTTTCTACTCAAGTGCCCTATCTTTATTGGTTTATGAGGGTGGGCACTAAGTACACAATGTTTTCCCTGCAATATCAACTCGGCTTATTGGTGTAGAATCATGACTTAGTGGGCTTTGTAATTTGAGCTGTTATGAGCATAAATCTATCATCAATACTGCTGATACCAGCGGGTATTCAACTTAAAATGCAGTAATTTATTTCTCAATCGCCAAAACAGGATTCATGTCTTTTCAGAAAAGTACTAACATCAGACTTCATAAAGTCTCCCTCTGACAAGTCTGTCTTCAGAGTTAACACTGTAATAGTGTCACAGATTTCAACAAATCATAGTCATGTTTGAGCAGTTAAAGCTATCCTTTTGAATAATAAACATATTTGACAATGGAGCTCTCGGCTCAGGAAATGCTTCAAGGTCAAAGGGAGATTTTTGTATAACATGTACTTATTGACAAACACTGGAAGCTAGACTTGTGGTGGTCTCCAGGTCTGAATAACACACCAGTGTGATGTCTCAATAACTCATATAGCAAAGTGCCCTTTATTACAGCTGATTCCTTATCACAGCAGCCCAGAAACAGTCCCAACCCAGGCACAATGCTGCATATCACCCTGTTTTTTTGTCTCTCACAGTCCTCATCTCTCTGCAGCTGTCTCTATCAAAACAGGCAAAATGCCCCAAAACATCATCTTAAAGAAACAATAACAACAACAAAAAGAAACACATCTCTCAAGGTACTATCCACTAGAAACATGTCTCTCTCTAGACTCTACACAGTAACAGTGTTTGATAGTCACTCAAGAGCAAATGTAACAAAGCTATAGGACTTGTTCATTTTGAGGATGCACAATTTAAAATGAGTAATTCATTCAAATCAATATACTTTAATGCACCTAGAAGAGTTTCAATAGCAATCTAAGAAGCTGTCAGTTAAAGCACTGGAAGATTGAACGTCATTTCTTTCTTCTGCTTGGTACAGTAGCTGCTGCATAGTTTCTCTTTAACTAACATTAGTACTTAAATATCTTTCACCCTGCTATAGGCAGCTTTTTCAAAGTCCAACTATGAACCTAACTAACACACAGACTGCACCAGCTTAGACCAGGACAAACAACAACCTGAGCTGTTAGACACATTTGCAGATACCACAAATGTGTTACTTATAGTGGCTTTCAATTTCTCTTTGCATGAGAGTAATAGTTGAGCAAACAATGGAGCAGAGGTGCACTGTTCTGAACCCTTATTCACATTTCTCACAGGGTAAAACAAATGCACACTTTGATTGAAAGAGTAAGACATTTTCTATTGGTGTTAACACTACTCCCACTTTTGCTCATAAACTATTTCTTCTATTTGAAAGAGGGCAGTTCAGACTTTACCAGTGCATATATCATGGAACATTTTTAACTGTTTAACATTTTAGTGTTTAGTGTTGCTGTCAAACACCAAACTGAAACTGTACAGGAGGAGCACAGAAAACTCGTAATGAGAATCCTCTCATAGAGTGTAGACTTTTATAAATAACAAGCTACAGAACTTAAGGCTAGGGCAGGGCACCTGGAGCCCTTGGCTGTGCTCATGGTAAAGAGTGAGGGAGGGAGGGTAAGCTACCAGCCGATAGTGGAGTGACTCCAAATCGTACCTTTCTGAAACCTGCCTGAAGAACCAGCAGAGGATATCTGCAGGTCCTACTGTACCATCCTGTTTATTTTCAAAAAATCCACAGGGAAAAAAATAATTATATAATTATAAATAAGCAAAAACGACACAATAATAGCGCTCATTACTCAAGGCTAGGCCTATTTTTCACCGAAGAACGCCTTTAGCTAACACAGATTTTCTCCCATTCATTCATTGTAATCCTGCTACATGTTAGTTATCCAATCCCTGACTCAGTTGATGATTTTAAGTGTTTCACCAATAATTTATAAAGACTATAAAGACTAGCTGTGCAGCACAGAGTTTCATGCTGTTCACTATTACCTTAAGAGTTTTTGCTCCTGCAACCTTGTGAGATGTCATTACACAGCATGATTAACTATGAATGAATGCCAGTGAAATGGAGCTACAATGGAAACTGCTGAACACAGATTACAGACCTCTGGTCCAGAGATATTAAATGTTAAAGGTGCAGGTATTCAGTAAGCATTCACAGTTGTGCATTAATACGCGTAATGCACTGACTGGAGAAAGCGCAAATTTAAGCCTACAATTTACACTCTGTATTTAACACTTTTTTCACTGTGAGTAACCACAACGATCACATGCAGAGCTTTTAACTACACTCATAAATAGTTGTAAATCAAACTGCATTTCTACAGGAAGAAAATGACTTCTTAGTAGTGGTGCCCTGTGCAATTGTGTGTTTGTTTTTAATGTGAACAGTGCAGAGGTATAAATTGAGCTTTAGGTCTTTACTGCACAGTCTGGTACAGATAACCTCGTTTATAGGCACTCAGAGGATAGAAGGTGGCCACAACAAACTTTCCATCAAAGGTGCGGCCTGTCAGCAGCCTCTGAGCTTCTTTGGAGTCACTGGAGTTGGCATATTCAACAAAAACCTGATGGAGAGACAGAGTACATGAGGACAGATGCTCAGTAAATAATCAATGAGTGTCTAATAGAGTTGAGGGAAAATGTCCTATTGGCAAAATACATTTTATGTAAAGTGCTCACAGACACTATGAAAGCACTTTTAAGCATTGAAACCTCAATTTATTTTTATAACAAGTCATTTTAAATACAAAAATACTAAATATTAGCTTGTGGGAGCAAATCTGTTACCCTAGGTTGACTTTTAAAATTCAAAAAGACTCCTTGCTTGAGGATGAAGTCTCACCTGTCCTTTCCCCGGATTTTCCTTTGGGATGAGCAGAGAAACCACTGAGCCATACTTCTGGCACTCCTCTTTCATGTCCTCCAAGATGTCTGCACAAAATAGTGACATGAGATAATCAGGCTTGCAACTTACTCCAGCCTTTGAACACTGACTAACTCTGAGACATAAAAAAATAACAATTATGGACAGGTACCATCGTACTCTTCTTCGTTGTGCAAGTGGCTGTCATCAATCAAGTTGAGCAGGCGCAGGACGGGAGAGGGCAGCAGAACCAGGTCCTCAATGTGAGGAGCTGACACGCAGGAAAAAAAGATGAATGTGGTGCATTGAGAGGTATGCAAATCTTAGTGGCTGTCAACAGCACTTACCAAAGGGGATACTGAAGAATGGGCTCAGGAGGGCAGTTTCAGCTGTGCATCTCTGCTTGGGGTCATTGTGGAGCATGCTGCACACACAGAGTGAGAAAAGCCCATTGTAGCTCAGGGTCAATATACAATATAACAATTCAAAGATATGTGGTCAAACCAAACCAGAATAAATGTTACTAATTTCACAGCTCTGTGTGTAACACTGTACCTTTTGATAAGGTCTCTGAGGTGATACACTGGGATGGCAGGGCACGCCAGATTGTTGCTGGCAAAAATATGGTCGACAATGGCAGCAGAGTTATCCTAAAAAAAGAGGGAAATCGTGTTCAAGAGGTCAGTGTTTATTATTTTTTTTACAAAAGCGAATTTAATAGTTGAAGACATTTCAACACTATTTATCCTGAGGGGAATTCACACTTCAGGTGTGCTCATTTTTACTAATAACAAAAGGCAAAATGATGAAACAATAAGACCAACATCTGGCAGAAACTGAAATAAAACTGAAATATAAAAAAAAAAATTCCCAAAGACAAAAAGTGCAATTAAATGTAAAATAAAAATACTAAATGCAGTGTTACAAAAGGCTATAAAATGACTTAAGAGGCAAAAGTTCTCTCAGGGTGAACAGTGTATTCTGAGTGACGATTAAGTGTGCCAGTGTAAAATCTAATTCAAGTTTTTATAGGCTTAGGCTGTCCATGATCCCCCTCATGACCCTACACCCTTCTCTTGTGAGGGAGTTGTAGTGTAATGGCCTTGAAGAAAGGATCAGAGGACAAACATGCTTCCCTGGGAGGTAGCAGCAGTGCGTTTGTTCCTTTGGGCCCAGTTTTTCAAAAGTAATCCACTCGGATTTTGTATTTTGTAAGGTTTGATCGGATGGAATCTTGAAAATGGGTTTTTCAAAAGAAAAAACGGATTACATAATCGGTTTAGATCATACCGATTCATATCATACCGATTAGATCACGTAATCCATCCGGATCAAACCTTTAGTTTGGGTTTTTTAGAACTTTGTAGTAGGATTGGGATCACTTTGATCCAATAAAAATCTGGATTAAACGGATCCCATCAGAAGGGTGGATTCATTGTGGATTTCAGGCCCAAAATGTAATGAAACTTTAAAATTGTATCAAATAATACTACATTTGGATCATGCAGTATAGGCTTTATTCATAAGGTTTGAATTTCAGGCTACAGTGATTAGGTAGGCTATAACGCATTCAGTCTTTCAGTATAGGCCTACAGCAAAGTAGAAAGAGTTTGGCCTCATAAGATAATCCCCCAAACAGCTGTCAATATTGACCACAAGTAATATATTTAATTCTGTCACAAATTAATGTGTATTCATCACAATCAAAGATTATTTTTTAGTGATGCATGCAATGATAAAACAGAATAACAAAGCAATGGCAATGGCATCACTGGTTTTTTAAATCCAAATGATGATTACAAGGCCTCTTCCTAAAGGCCGAGCTCAGACAAGCTGGTCTCTCCACATCAGATGGAAAACTCTAAAATTATTGTTGAGTATTTGACATTAAGCCTTTTTATTGAATTGAATACATCTATATTGGAAACTTGTTCTAAAAATCCTCAATATACAGTGTTTGTGAGTAACGTTTTTATTTATTTGATGTAGGTCTCAAATGAGCAGACTGCCGGAAGAGGGTGTTTTTGTGTATGTTTTCATTTCAAATAAAAATAAACTTGTATTGACCCCACACTGGCTATTCTATTTGTTGTTCTTTACATATCTATAGTTCTACATTGTTGATTTTCCAGATTTGGTGATCCTGAAAAGTTTCTATCTGATCAGATTGATCCGATCTGATGTTGCTTTGAAAAACCGTCTCAAAAGTAAGATGGATTACGTGATCATAGACAGCAAAAAAAAGGATTACTAAATCCGGATCAATTTTATTCGGATTACACCTTTTGAAAAACCAGGCCCTGGAGTCACTGAATCTATCTGAGTTTGATTTTTAAAGAAAACTGCTCACTTCCACAATAGACCTTCAGTGCTAATTTCAGTTAGCTACACACTGTCTATCTGGTTCTGTTCAATCAACATCACTCATCCATCTTTAGGAGTCTGTCATACCTTCCACTCCTTTGAGCGGACAGTGTCTTTGAGTTTGATTCCTGAGAACATCTCCAGCAGAATGATACCAAGGCTCCACATGTCAACTGCAGACGTGCAGCCTGAATCCCCCTCCATCTCCACCCCGGCCTGAGCGAGGCTGTTCTGAAGCTCAGCCTCTGGAGCTCGGTACCCATCAGTCTGAATGTACTTCACATCCTTGAGTCGTTGAGGAAAGGAGAGACTGAGAACAAAAACCGAACCAAACAATCTCCTCTTTGATGTGTCTTCAAATTCTCAGACATGCCTACCTGGTTTCCCTCTTTGAAGCTGAGGCCAAAGTCGATGAGTTTGAAACACTCGTCATCAGCGCTCCAGAGGATGTTGCGTGGCTTAAGGTCAGCGTGGACATAGCCTTCCCTGTGGAGGAAGGCAAGAGCCTCCAGGATGTCTCTGGCACAGTGTTGGACAAGCCACATTGAGTGACCCTGTGGGGTTCTGCAACAACAACAACAACAACAACAACAACAAAACATCTCAATTTGAATAAAACAGAAATTCAAAATCCACTGAATGTATAAAATCTGCTACTGCTGATATTTAGAATTTTGCATGCATTGACTTGTTCTTCTTTTTGTGATGGCCATACAATTGCTATTGTGCAATTACTATAAGATGGTCTAATTACTTCTAGTGTACATGTGTAAATACTCATTCACCAGTTTAATAGGCGTGGGCGGTACTAGTTTGATACTTAACCACATGTGCTTAAAGCTCAAGAGCAATCGTGGGAGATGACAGCAGAGACAGACACAAGGCAGGGTTGCATCAGTATTTTCTGACCCTGTAAGCAGGCAGCAGCCTATACAGCATGCCTAACCACTAATATGTGTTAAGAATATCGCCCATGATCGGATGTATATTTTTTTTAATGGTAAAAAAATACAGTGACATGGGTCAGTGTGCACTATTCCCTTTAATTCTACAATATAGCGGTATAGTACCTTGTCAAAAAATGTACATAACATTAACATTTTGTCATTCAGACCAACCTCACAAGGTAAAGTGAATAACAGAAATACTTCCCTGAGACTTGATAAATTCATTGTGACATCTTCACATACCTACTACTCTGAGTGCCACTGCTGCCCCTCACCAACAGCTCTGAAACACTGACATCAAGGAGCTCCAGCAGAAGACACCGAGTGGCAACACCCATGCAGCTGTGGCTGGTGAACACCCCATACAGTGTCACTGAGGAGAGAAATACAGTCAGCATTATTTGATCCTCTGAGTTATAACGCAGTTTATCTGTATGAATCACATTAACACAACTCAATACGAAACAATAAGTGCTTTACAGAGCAAAATCACATTACATAGATTATCATAAACACGGTTTGGAAATAGATCATAGTAATTCAGAGGCTAAACGTTGTGTGGAAAAAAGTTGTTACCTATGTTTTTATGTCCCTGGATGTCTTCCAGCACGGACCTCTCCTTGTGATACCCGTAGTCTCCTCCCTGAGTGTCGGCCTGAAACTCCTTCACAGCTGCGGTGGTGGCCCTGCCTGAGCTGACCCGGTACACCGAGGCCGAGACTCCCTGACCGAGCCGCGACTGGACGGTCCAAATCTCGCCGAAGATCTCGAAGAGGACCGGTTTCATGCTCTGGTCCACGCTGCCCTGCGGCGGCACGATGCTGTCAGGACGCGGAGCTTGCACCTTAGTGCTCGGCTCGGAGGATCCGCAGTGAGCCATGGGTTAACGGCAGACGGGTTAGAGGAGGAGGAGAGGAGCCAGCTAGATGACAGGTGGGAGCAGCTGCAGCACCATGGCACACTGCAACGCACTGTCGGCGCAGCATAAAATCTACCTGGACGTGTCAACGACAACGATCAGATAATCCAGCTACACCTGCAACCTTGGTAAAAATGAACACAGAGCTACACTTGTGCATAGTAGACTACTGTCTGTGCACCGCAGCTAACAAAAAAAATTCACAGAAGTCAGCTGACAAAAAGTTAGCGCACCTAGCTGCTCCACAGGGCTGAACTAGCCCCCGAGTTTAAGTAGAAAAACGCCCCACTTCCACGACGCGCATGAAAATACGCCAACCATTTCGAAACACCTTACATTACGACATTTGCATCTCACGCAACAGCTTAAAAAAGGTTTCGGTTTCAGGTCTAGTAAAGTTTTACCCAACTTGCAACTCAGGTTGTTGATATCAATCTCACTTCCGTCCCTGCACTCCTCTTTGCACGTCAAAACGGTCTATCTTTCCCTGCAGTCTGCCCCCTAACGGTGAGGAGGATGTTGTTCTTCCTCTTGTTCTTCTTCGTTTTATTGGCAGTTGGCAACCAACTTAAGGAGTATTACCGACACCTACTGGATTGGAGTGTGGCACAAGAAATTAAGCAGGAAAAAAAAAAGATGTACCTATATATACTCATTAGGCTAATTAGATGCTGACCCTAACAGATTCTCTACAGTGAGATCTAGATTTTCTTTCTGCTAACCTGTTGCCTTTTTTTGTGTGTGTTTAACACAATCAATTAGCACATGTTTTACTGTTGCCCTTGTCTTACAGTAATCACAAAGTCCTGTTGAGTGTTTTTTTTCATCAAATACAGGCTCTGATTGAGTCCTGTATGCCCAATTCTCAGATGGGTAAATACTGTCTCCTCCTTTGTGTTTCTGCCTTGCGTAGCTGTTCTGCCAACATTCTGAATATTGTGAAGATGTCTTCCTGTGTCAGCTATATTCCAATATTCTTGCCATATTTTTAAAGTGTGGCTCTTTATAATAGATTTTACTTCTGTTTTGGAAAATGTTACTACTAAGTCTATTTCCTGTAATTTTATTGCAGTTTTTGCCAAAAAGTCAACTTTTTCATTCCCTTTGACTCCTACATGACCAGGGACCCAAAGGAAAGAGATAACTTGTCCTTCTACATGTCAGCAAAGAAGGAGATTTAATATGTCATAAACAATGTCCTGTCTGCATAACGACTTCCCTGATCTCATGCTTTCCAGCGCTGAGGCAATTATGACATTTTTCCTTTCTTTATTTTCTTGCACCCACTGTAAGGCTAAAAGTATTGCAGTTGATTCAGTTGTGAATACTGATATGTGATTTGAGAGTCTCTTTTGGACTGCTATGCCATACTGTGGGATGTAAAAAGCAGCATCCCGGTGTGTCCATTCTCTGGTTCTTTAGATCCATCTGTGTAAATAACTACCTAGTGCTGTTCCAAGTGTTCCTGTATTATTATCCACTGTGGTATTAATTTGGATGCATTTCTTAGCTTTTGTTGCAAAACCGGTGTCTACAGATGGCATTTTGAATTTCCAGGGGGGTAATGCCGAGGATGGTACTGCTGGACCAACTAGCAGTTGGGATAACCCGGCTTTCTGTGCCATAGTATTTCCCACCCTTCCAGAGCTTGTAAAATTTGTTCTATTATGCTCCCAGCATTCTTGTAGTACTGTTTTTGTTGGGTGCGCCCTGTTCTGCCCTTGTAAATTTATCCAATACGCCAACATATGTTTAATTCTTCTGATATGTAAAGGCATTTCTGCAGTTTCCACTTGTAACGCCGAGACTGGGGATGTTTTAAAAGCTCCACTGCAGATCCGAAGGGCCTGCTCTACATCCATCTTCTTTAATTGTGTGTCTGTTGCAGACATGTAAGCTACACACCCATAATCAAGTGCGGCTCTCATCATAGCACAGTAAATATTTAACATTAATTTCCTATGTGCACCCCAATCTTGGTCCTCCAGGCAAAACAAGTTATTGTTTTTTTTTTTTTTTTTGCATTTATTCTTCACGCTCTCAATATGTCGGCGCCATGTGAGCTTCTCATCAAATATCATCCCCAGAAACCTTATTTCTCTGACCTGCTCAGGTGCTTGGCCATATAACTTTAATGACACATCTTTCTGCCGTTTATGAAAACATATGACCTGGGATTTTGCAATAGATAACTTGAAACCCCACTTACGCGTCCATTCCTCAACTCTATTTATTGCATCTTGCATTTTCTTTTTTAGGAATTCTAGATTCCTCCCTCTAACCCAGAGTGCACCATCATCAGCATAGAGTGACCTTCCTAATGTTTGGCCCACCTCATCAAAAATGTCGTTAATCATTATATTGAAAAGTATTGGGCTGCAAACACTACCCTAGGGCGTACCATTTTCCACCCTGTATACATTTGAATACTTAGTTCCTACTCTTACCTGTACTTTTCTTTCAAACAAGAAACTAAGCACCGGATTATACATTTTCCCCTTTCCCCTTTCTTTCCATAACATCTTGTATGCTTTTTCCACATAAAAAAATGCAGCAATTACCATTTCTTTGTTTGTTTGTGCTTTTCTGATCTCTGGTTCTAGACAAAGTACTGAGTCCATAGCATTCCTGCCTTTACAGAAGCCACTTTGGTGAGTGGAAAACATGTTACTATTTTCAAGATAGTATGCGAGTCTCACAGTTACCATCCTTTCCATGGTCGTTCCTAATTGAGATGTTAATGCCATTGGTCTGTACTTGAAGGATCAGATTACTTTTTCCCTGGTTTAAGCAATGGTACAATGATTGACTGTTTCCATGCAGATGGAATATGTCCCACGTCCCATATCAAATTAAAAAGCTTCAGTACAATTTCAAGAGCACTATCCTTCATATGTGCCAACATTACATAGCAAACATTATCTATTCCTGGTGCTGTTTGTTTTGTACTTGAGATTGCTCTCTTTAGTTCAAACAATTTGAATGGTAACTCCAAGTCATCCCCTGTTGCAGTCTGCTGTTCTGTTACTCCTGGATATTCTTGAAGAGTCTGATCTCTACATTGTCAAGATATTAAAGGCAAATTATCAGAACTATGAACTTTTACAAATGATTGCGCCAGGAGTTCAGCTTTTTCCAAGTTGTTTATTGTTGTTTTGCCATTGCTAATCAACACTGGTATTTCAAAATTACTTCTCACTCTGTTCATTTTCTTGATCATTCCCCAAACATTTAATATGGGTGTTTCTCTCCCAAAACTATTACAGTACAGTGATCCCTCGCCACTTCGCGGTTCACTTATCGCGGATTCGCTATTTCGCGGATTTTCATAATGCATTTTTTGCACTTAACTTGCACTGAACTTAAGCGAGTAGCTGAGGAATGGGACCCTTTGATGAGCCGTTCATTACAGTTCTCCAACGTAATCGATGGTGGCATGTCGGTGTACAAGGATCTTTTTGCAAAGAAGAAAAAAGAGCGACAACAGCTGCGTATCACTATGTTCTTCTCCCGAACAAACACACCTGCACCGCGGGCTTCAGAAGAAGAGAACACTGCAGAGCGCAGTCAGGATGCAGCGGCCCAGTCTGAAGAGCAGTGAAACGGCCTACACGTGAGTCACTGTATTTGTATACATGTAATAGTTGCTAATTGTAAAAAAAAAATAAAGTTTTCTATTTCGCGGATTTCACTTATCGCGGGTCATTTTCGGAACGTAACCCCCGCGATAAACGAGGGATTACTGTATTGCCTCCAGCATTCTTGTTTTGCCATTTTTATAGTTTTCCTAACTATTGCTTGCGCTTTTTTGTATTCAACTAAGGTTTCAATGTTATGTTTTACCTTTAACTTCCTAAACACATTGTTTCTTCTTTTAACAGCTTCTTTACAGCTTTGTTCCACCATGGTACACACTTCCTACCCTCTGTTCCCGTGCTTTTTGGTATTGTCCTATTTGCTGTCTGGATAATAGCTTGAACCAATGTTCGATTAAATTTTTCAACATCTGTTTCATTCTCTACCAAAAGCCATGTGTCTTCTATATCTTTGCTATTATAAAATGCTTGCAAGTCTGCTTTATTCAGTTTCCATTTTTGTATCTTCCGAATTTTTACCTGATTACGCTCCATACCTATTTCGATAAGAATCGGATAATGATCACTCCCAAGTGGTGACATGTTCATGACCTCCCAACAGGAAGTGCCGGCTGTCTCACTGGAAATCAATGTAGTATCTATTGCACTTTCTGTGTTTTTTGCGTTGTTATACCGAGTCCCTTTCCCATCTTTTATACACACTAGTCCCTTACTGTCCAGAAATTCCTCCTCCACCAGACCATTAGCATCTGTAAGATTACTCCCCCATAATGTGCTGTGTGCATTAAAATCTCCACAACATACTTTTTTCCCGTGTGCCAGGTTATTTATCTCACTCAATACATCTAAATTTAGCCTGCTACTAGGGTTATAATAACTAATTATAGTTAGTTGATCCTTTTCCATCCAAACTTTAACCGTTATATATTCTAGTTCATTCATTATAGTTCATTTCCAATATCAATTACGCTATAATTAATTCCTACCTGTACAAATGTAGCTACTCCACCACCGTTTCCCGTATCCCTGTCCCTCCATACAGAGGAATAACCATTAATAACAAAATCCAACTGTGACTTAAACCATGTCTCCTGTACACAAATAATATGAGGCTTATTTGGCAATTTGATATTAACTGCTTAAATTCTTGGCCATCGGCTATTAAACTTCTCGCCATATTCCGGATGCCAGAAATGACTCTGACTCCCCGAATCATCCTTTTTTCTTCGAACAGTGAACACTGTACTTTCCTACCATCAATTTTGTTTAGTTTTATTGCTTTTCCTTGTTGAGCACTATCTTTACAAGTAACTAACAAGGATCCATTCTGCAAAGTTTTAGCATTTTGAATGTTTCCTAACAGTTTGTTAAGGGACTTTGTTAGTTGAATGGGGCTCCACTCACCGAAAGACACACCCTCCTGCATAAGTTTGATGATCACCCTATTTTCCTCTCGTTGTTTCTCTTTTATCAGATATTCCGTTCCACTGTCACTACCATCCGTAAATGACTTATCCTTTGATTTTTTCCTTTTTCTTCTGCTATTATTGTGTCTAACTACGCAGTGGTGGCTGGTGAGAAAAATATTAGGTGGGGCTGAAGGTTTGGAAACCAGAGCCCTGTAGGGGGGTCCGGGGGTATCCTCCCCCGGGAGTTTTTTTTTTCGTTTTCAAAAGGTAAATGAAGCATTCTGGTGCTTTCTAAGAAAATAATTAAAGAAACATACGATGTTCACCCACAAAGACAAATGGGGTGGGGATACTGTATTTCAACTTATTAATGGGGCATTATAGCTGACACACAGCCTACCTACATTCAATGTAATCCTATGATATAGAAACTGACAGCAGCATACTCTTACTCATGTACATTCACCTGCATCTCAACAGGTTAGGCGACAGCAAAGGAGCACACAGAGACAACAGCAGAAAAATAGTGAAGAGCAGACCCACATTTATAACAAATCAGGCTGCATATCAAAGTGATCAGCCATGGAAAACAACACAAACATTTGCTTTAAATACATAACAGTTTTATTACATTTGATATTTCAGTTGAACTGAATTGAAAATGGGTGAACAAATACAGGGTTCCCACTCTTTCATAGAAATCATTTTCCAGGACTTTTCCAGGATGTTTTCATCCTGCCTTAAAACTTATTTATTTCTACCATTGTGGCATGAACATTGTCTGTAAGCTTTCTTTTTAATCTGGCTTTTATGTAGTGTCTCACTATGATAAATTTATGGTTTATATTAGGTTTTAGTCTTTATATACTCTACTTTTCTACATACAGATTTTGCTCATTGACTGTTTCAGAAGCCGAAATTATATTTTGCCAGCTTTATGATTTCTTTTTGTCACCATTAATTTAAACGGGAAACAGAAAAGAGCCTTACTCTTCGGATTTCCAGTTAGCCATGCTTTGCGCCTATACCATGCTCTTGAAAATGTCCACGTATGTTGTCTGCTCTTCTCGATGGTCACTTGCTGAGCGGCGGCGTCTGGTCGATCCTGACCGAGCTCTTCCAGCTTTAGTTAGTGCTGCAGAGCTCTCCTCCCAAACAGGGCCTACTTCATGGACAGTACAGCATTCTCCAGTAAATCACTGGGTAGGGGGTTTGCGGTAGTCATTCCCATGTCCTCTGTCATTAGCAGCCAAGTGCAGAGTGAGGGGCGGACCGGCTCAGAGTAGAGCAGCTAACTACGTCAGACGTACATTGTAGCTATGCGTCTGTTTGTGGCCAATCTGGTTAGGAACGTGCTTACGTCATTCAAATTAGGGACGCTGGGGTGCTTGTCCCTGGCGCCCCTTAAGGATTTTTTTTTGTTTTGCTAGGATAAGCTAACTTTTTAATGCGGAACTGTGATCTGAGCATGTGTGAGGGAGCAGAAAGCTTGGGCACTGGCCCGTAGCGCTCCTAACGCTAATGCACAAGTGTGATCTGAGCATGCGTGAGACAACAGACGTTCTGAGTCCAGAGAGATCGCTAACGGACTGAAATGCATATTTAATGAAATGATTAATATAATAGCGCCTTTCCATACTTTGAGAATAATTTTCAGGGAGACAGCAGACATCTCTTTTTGCTCATGCATCTCAGGTGGGGCTCCACCCGCAGCACCCTTATATACCGGCTGCCACTGCAACTATGGCCGTGTCTCATTTCAGAGACCGCACCGTCGAATGGCGCATTTGAAGTGTGCGTGAGCTCATCACGCGGCGTGAACGGTGTCCCATTTGGCATGAAATGCTAAGCGCGCTTCAAATTTGGTCTCAAAACCACACTACCACCCCCGCCCCTTTTTCAAGCATTAGTGGTGTGTCGGTCATGAACGAATGGATCAAAAGAACTAGTTCTTTTTGGTGAACGAAATGAACGAGGTCACCCCCCCCAAAATGATCCATTCAGTCCGTTCAGTTCTTTTGATTGGCTGAGTCAGTTCACCGTTCCTCAGGGCGGCAGTATCTCTGTGCTTGCCTGTCTTATCCTATTGTCGCGCCTTGCTCTGTGGGTGGGTGGGGCTTAGAGAAGCAGCAGCAGTACTGAGCTGACTGAAAGACAGGGACCGATGACCGAGCTGACTGAGAGACTGGGACCGATGACCGACTCGGTCTCCGTCTTTTCAGTCAGCTCGGTCTGACTGAGAGATTGACCGACTCTCAGACTGACTGAGGACAAGCGTTCACTCTCTGCGAGGTGCTGTCAGCCTGTCACTAGCCGACCGACTTGTGAACGCAACAGGATGTACTGAATAAAATAAACTATAAGGCAGTCTCTTGCGGAGGGTATCTGTACTCACGAGTCCAACAAACAGTGCCGCAGCCGCCGCACGAGCTGATGATGATGTTCGCCTCAAGTCGCCCGCACCACAACATTTTTGCTGTCTTTAGTATTTCCTGTGTTATATTTTGTTCATTATTGTTATATTCAACGTTGACGTTTGTGTGACAGACCTGTGTGGGGGATTTGGGAATATACGGAACAAACAGCATCCTGTATTGGTTCAATGCGAGACGGTTGTTGTGTGTTGCATACAACACACATACAGTACAAATTAAACAACATCATGACAACGAAATAAGAATGAATAGAATTGTGTGTGTGTGTGTGTGTGTGTGTGTGTGTGTGTGTGTGTATATATATATATATATAATGATAATAGGCAACAAACTGCAACACACTGGCTAAGCAACTCGCCACCCTGGAGGAATCTGCAACAACGTCCCTAACATGGAGAATGAGTGGGCAAAACTGAGGTCAATTATATATGACGCTGCCTCCGAGACCGTCGGCCTCACTCAAAGACGCCACCAGGACTGGTTTGACAATAGCTCTCCTGCAATACAAGAGCTTCTGGAAATCAAACGCAAAGCCCATGCTGCCGTGCTTTCCAACCCTTACTCTCCATCGCTCCGCACTCGCTACAAAGCCATCCGAGGTGAGACCCAAAAACAACTCAGGACCATGGAGAATGAATGGTGGCTCAAAAAAGCCGAAGAGATACAGAGGCAGGCAGAAGACAACAACGCTCATGCCTTCTACGAGGCCGTGAAATCCTTGTATGGCCTGCAGAAGCGTAACATCGCCCCTGTAAGATTTGCAAATGGCTCTGAACTATTCAAAGAACAGATGGCGGGTGGCCGCGGGGCCCTGTGGGGTGCCCCGCAGGCAGGCGTCCCACCACGGTGGACGTGGGTGCTGGTCGGCCTGCTTTTTGGGTGGTGCGGGGGGCCGGGATGGCCTCTGGCCCGGGCCATAGTGTTGTGGATTGTGGTGGCTTTTGTTGTTCCATATCCTCATTAGTATGACTGTCATTATTGTTAGCGTTGTTGCGGTCATTTGTTTGCTGTCATTGCTGTCGCCGGTATTTCTGGTGTCGTTACTGCTAATGCTGTTGTGGTTGTTGTATCGTCGCTGTTGTGTCGGTGATTCGGGGGGATTGTGTGTGTGTGGGTATATATGTGTATATATATGTATATGTGTGTATGTATGTGTGCATGTATGTTTGTATGTGTATGTATATGTATCCATATAATTATTATCATATAGATATTCCAATGTAATCCAATTAAGATTTTTTTTTCCTTTTCTTTTTAAATTCTCTTTTACATATTATATAAATTCCTTCCCCCCTCCCCTCCCTCACAAAAGTATTTTTGTAAATTTTGTATTGTTTTATCTTTTTGTTGTTGTTTCTGTTGTTGTCGTCACTCTGTTTTGTTGTTAAATAAAATTAAAAAAAAAAAAAAAAAAAAGAACAGATGGCTCTGTACTATTCAAAGAACAGATTCTTGAGCGTTGGGCCGAACACTTTGACGCCCTGCTTAACACAACAAACCCCTCGGATCCTTCTGTCCTTGATGCTCTCCCAGACCTACCACCAGTCCCTTCCCTTGGTGAACCCCCAAAGTTCTCTGAGGTCCTCTCCGCAATCAGGAGTCCCAAAAAAAACAAGCGCCCTGGCCCTGATGGACTCCCGGCTGAGATCTTCAAGAAGGGGAGATACCTGTGTATACGCCAGCTTTTCCGCTTCATCTGCAACACCTGGCAAAATGAGACCTTGCCTCAAGAGTGGAAAGACAGTAACATTGTCACTATATACAAGAAGAAAGGAGATAAGTCATGCTGTGAGAACAGTTGCGGCATCTCTCTCCTCTCGGTTGCTGGCAAGGTGCTCGCAAAAATAATGCTGTTTCGACTAATAACTCACATCACAGAGAACATCCTTCCAGAGACACAATGTGGCTTCAGAAGGAGCCGAAGCACTCTGGACATGATTTTTGCTGCATGCAAATCCAGGAGTGCAGGGAGAAAAACAAGGACCTCTACCTCACTTTCATTGACCTAACTAAGGCCTTTGACACTGTCGACTGGGAAAAGCTCTGGACTTTACTCAAGAAATTCGGCATCCCCACCAAATTCCTCAACATCCTTAAACAATTCCATGACGGCATGCAGGCACGTGTACTTGTCGGAGGGCAGCGATCCCCCTCGCTCCTTGTGAAAATTGGGGTGAAGCAGGAATGCGTGCTGGCCCCTGTGATCTTTAATCTTTATCTGACGGCAGCTACTCTCCTATTCCACAAGACCATCAAGGAAGAAGGAGGTGTACAAATTCAGTTCTGTTTGGACAGGAGTTTGTTCAACATAAGGCGCCTACAGGCGAAGACAAAGACCCTGGTCACTAACATTCAAGAGCTGCAATATGCAGATGACTATGCGCTACTGGCTCATAGCCCAGCCGCCATGCAGCGTGCCCTGGACACCATGTCCTCTATCTACAGCTCACTAGGACTCATGATCAACACCCAAAAAAACTGAGGTCATGATACAGGAGAGGTGTCCATCCTCTGTCAATCCAGTGTTCAGAATCAACGGTACACCCCTCCAGACCGTCCAGCAGTTTTGTTACCTTGGCAGTATATTAACACCTGCCTGCCACATTGACCACGATATCGAGGCCCGCATCTGGCCTCAGCTGCCTTTGGTAGACTGCGCTCTCGTGTCTTTGAGAACCACCACTTAAGAATTGATGCTGTGGTGGCTCCATTTCTACTCCAGCCATCAGTTCTGCTACTCCAGCCAGCAGTTCTGCTGCTTCAGCAAGCAGTACCAGCACCACTGAAGCTGCTGTTGCTACAGCAGAGGCAGCAGCCAGTAGAAATCCCAGGCCCAGGGTAAGAGGAGCACAATCAAGACTGACTGATTTTGTGACAAGGCCTATGGACCCACTGAGGCAAAAGAGAGTGGATGATGTGTTGGCAAGCATGGTTGCACGGGATTTACAACCTTATACAATAGTGGAAGACATTGGATTCTGTGATTTTGTAAAGGAATTAAATCCAAATTATGTTTTGCCAAGCAGGAAACATATTTCCACGAGCATTGTTCCTGATTCATACAGGCGAACATTTGAAAAAGTCCAGAACAGCATGGATAAGGCAGAATCTGTGTGTCTAACCACAGATTGCTGGACACCCAGAGCCACAGACAGCTACATGTCTGTGACTTGCCACTTTATCAACGAGGACAACTGAGATGGTCTCCTTCCAGCTGGACTGTTTTGCGCTGGAAGAGAAACACACCTCTGAGTATCTGGCAAAGGAACTTCTGTGGATTGCTTCAGAGTGGAACATAGAGGACAAAGTTGCTGCCTGTATTACAGATGGTGCTGCCAATATTATAAAAGCCATGGGGTCCAAGGAGGCAGGGGGAACCGGATGGCCCCATGCAATTTGCTTCGCCCATCAGCTGAACCTCATTGTGCACAATGGTATTAAGAGCTTAGAAACTACAGTGGACAAAGTCAAAGCCATTGTGCAGTATTTTCACAAAAGCACCCTAGCAGCAACAGAACTGAAGAGGCAACAAAAGAACTCAGAGTGTCCAGAACTGCGTCTCAAGCAGGAATGTCCAACACGATGGAATTCCACTTTCACCATGTTGAAAAGGATGCTTGAGACTAGAGAACCAGGGATCATCACAATGGCCTTGCTGAATGTCGACCTGCCTCACCTATCACTAGAGGAGTGGGGGAACATGAAAACAGTCTGTGACATCCTGCAGCCCTTTGATGAAGTCACAGTAGAGCTTAGTGCTGAGCGGTATGTGTTTTTAAAATATTATTGTATTGTCATACTCTAATACTGTGATGTTTCACTTGCACACAAACAAGGTCAGTTAATCAAGTTTTAGGCTCCTGCTTGTCTGTCTTGACCTCGGTCATTAACATGGGATCTGGAAGACTTTACTGTAGATAGGACAGTAAAGATACACAAGCAAATTGACTGACTACTGACTAGTTGCTTATTGTACAACAACAATAACAACAACAGCAACTACTGCTACTGCTACCAATAATAACATTATTAATAGTGTTATTGTTATTATTATAAATTTATAAAAAATAAGAGGCCTAATCTTTCTTTCTCTTTCTTTTATTTATGTGACTATGTCAAAGGTGCTTCTGCTGATGAGAGGTCTGCACAGGCTAAGGGCAAACTACCATGGTGGGCCCCTGAGAGATCCGGTGAAGAAACTGGTGGACACAATGCTGATGAAAATGGAACACAGGTTCTGCAGAATTGAAGCAAATGATTTGTACCCCCAGGCAGCAGCATTGGACCCCAGATTTAAACAGAAGGCCTTCAGGTGGGAAAAGGACGCTGATAGGACCTATAGGCACCTCACTAATATGGCAGCTGCGGTGACATTCCCCAACCAGCAGGCTGAGGAAGAAGAGGGTCCACACGCACAAAGGGAGCTCTAACCAGGACAGCAGTGTCTGGAGAGAATTTGATGAGGACACAACTGGGCTTCAGGACACTAGGAATCCAACAGCTGAAGCTGTAATGGAGGTTTGTGCATTTAGGGAAATGGCTCGGATTACCAGGTCCTCAAACCCTCACATGTGGTGGGCTCATCAAAAGAGTTCCTATCCAAGGCTGACTCAAGTGATGAAGACTAGACTCTGCATTGTGGCCACATCTGTGCCATCAGAGAGGGTTTTCAGCAAGACAGGGCAGCTAATATCAGAGAGAAGGAATCGGCTCAGTACGGCCAAAGTCAGCCAGTTGGCGTTCCTTAATTTTAACCTGAAATAAAGGGATAAATGCGGCCATGCAAACTGTAAGTATGCAGCGTGCTTGTCTTAATGGCTTGACTTCAGTTTGTTTGCACTCAATGCACTGATGTTGATTATTTTCTCTTATGATTGTGTTTTTTTCCTGATCCTTTTAATTGTATTTCATTTTTGTTTGTTTTTTTATTTAGGCTATATTGTTTACTGGCACATTTATTGTCTTTATATTTCATTTGATATTTGTTTGCACAACTTTTTGTTTTTATTTAGGCTAAAGTCTTTATTTTTTAATGCACAATTTGTTTGCACTGAAGTATTTGTTTTTCATTTCGGGTGCATTCTTAAGTTTTTCAATGCACATTTATCTAAATATTTTCTTTATATTTTAATTCATATTTGTTTGCACTGAAGTTGAGTATTTTTTTTTTCTATTGCACAAAGCACACTTAATACAAATGTAAAAACCCTAAACGCCATAAATATCAAGTATATATTATATTAAATATTGTTTACTTTAATATTTTTTGTACGTTTAATACACATTTGCACTGTTTGTTGACATTTTGTACTTTTTATTATTGTTTTTAATGCACCTCAAAATAATAAAAACCATTAAAATCCTTACATATTTTGTTATTCCTACTATAATTTTATATTACAAGGAGTGCAGCGCGATAGCAGTGTTGGACCAGGGGTGGGGGGTGGGGAGTGCAGCGGTCACAGCGTCGGACTGCGGGGGGGTTGTAACATCGGACCGGGGAGCTGAGACACTCGCAACTTCGGATCCGGAGGGGAGTCATAATGCTTCAGATTTCAAGATACATCATAACGTGTTGTTGCGCTGTTGAGTCTGATGATCAGTCAGTCAGTTCGCTCATCACGTTCGTTCAAAGTCTGAACAGATCTCCCCCTGCATAAACCTGGTCAGCCGTGTTGAGTCAGTCCGTTTGCTCACGTTCACATTTGTTCAGTGTCTGAACGAACATAAACATGAGCAAACGGACTGACTAACCACCAATTGACCGAAATGACTGAAATGAACAGATCTTTTTACTGAACGAACCGGAATGATCCGGTTCACTGAAATGAACGGTTTTGCCCACCACTATCAAGCATGCATTTATGCATGCTTTCGTGCTGTTGGTATCCCAGAATTCTTTGTGTGCCGTTGCACAGCTGCGCATTTTGGGTGAGAGGCTGGACTCACTTGGAGACGCAGCGCGTCTTCAAAGAAAATAAAAGAAATCCAAAAACAGCAGACAGCCAGCTCAGACTGCATGAGCACATGATCTCTTAACTCACTAAAATCTGCACCTGCAAATCAAACATTATAGTCTTTAGAAAATAACTGATCCACTCTGCTACCACTATCAGAAACATTAGAAATAAGAAAGCTGACAAAACTACAGCAGAGTATCATTGACACATAGAGTTTTTTCTTTTTTCTTTTAAGATTTAGAGATTGAAGTTGTAAACTTGGGAGAATAAAGTCATAAAGGAAATAAAGTAATAAAGCTGCTTTTGTGGAGGGGGAAATGGCTGGAACTGGTCAACTGCAGGGTTATCTGTGGATGTATCAGTGGGTCATTTAGAGAGTTTTTGTGGTTTCTGAAGAAACAATCCAACAGATGATCAACATTTGTGATCCAGAGGGAGTTGAGCTCCGACGAGCACCACGTCTCTGACACCGACGGTAGCCTACACCTGCAGAGACACCAACACCTTATTATGGCATATGGATTCATATCATAAACTAAATCCCAATGTCATTCACGGCTATTTACAGCTGCATTGACAGATATATTATATCCTCAGCATATCCATTTCTGCCTCCACAAAAGCAGTGATTTCCTTCAAGTACACCAGTTTTTTTCCCCGTGGAAAAGACGTATTTCTCATATATTCTTTTTTTAAGTCTTTATACTTGTGACAATGTAATGCTGATGTGCCAAAGGATGAAGTATCTCCTTGTTTGTGAAACCCATACTGAAGGACAGTTCTTTTAAATGCTTCATGTCCCTAATTTTAACAACTCTCCTTTGAAATAACAGGTAACCTTGTGGTTTATTCTTATAAATTAATGACTTTATTCTCGTAAATTCACGACTTTAATCTCGAAGTCTTTAAAAAAAATTCTCAATACGGCCCTCAAACTCCTTCATACAAAACATGCAATCACTGGATGAATTTTGTGGGAATGATCTGTGCTTGTATGTATCCACTGTTTTGTGTCTGTGCATGGTCGCACAATTAAAAATAACTGCTGCGCTCCGCAGCTTTTCTTCAAGTCAGTAGTGACGCGGGCCTGAGGGCAGGGACATTTGACGACTCAACCAGGAAGTCCTCCGATGGGCAGTGGCTGTGTCCAAAATGGCATACTACTCGTACTACTCATAGGGGAAAGTGGGGTAATGTGAGACATCGGGTAATGTGAGACACCCCTTGTATCTAGGCAACGGAACACATTTGTGGTCATGTGACCATTATGTTTTCAAGCCCCTCCCATTTCCCATCGGCCCATTTTTTGCATGTAAAAGTAAATTTTCTTGCTGTCAACTTAATCCCCTGTTGTGCCAAAGCAAATTGATTCAAGTAGAAAAACTAATGTCATACATGTTGATGAACTACCAACATATAAAACCATGTGATGATGCTAGCTGAAGATTAGTCTCAATTGCTAGGAGAGGTTGTTTTTTCTAAAATGGTGGTGATGGGGTAAAGTGAGACAAATGCTGTGGGGTAAAGTGAGACGCCCCACCATGAGGCACAATTTAAGTTTAGTCTTTTAATATAATATTTTAATGTAATATTACATAACACATGCTTTATTTTTAATGTCATAAGCATTGTAGAAAGTCATCATGCCCAGAAAATACACCAGGAAGACAAGCTGGGTCCATCAGAGCAAATATTGAAGAAATATTGACAAGTCAAGCCTCCTCTGATTCATTAAGAAAAAAGAGTAAAATCAGTAGCCTGGGGTGCAGTAGCTGAGGCAAAGAGAATATTAACAGATGAGATGGAGGAGGAGCTTGCCGAACACTTAAAACAACTAGCTGAACAGTTCCATGGCCTTCCTCCAGTTAAGTGCCGTCAACTGGCATTTGAATATGCAGAGAAAAACAATATCCCTATCCCTGCCAATTGGACAAAAGCACATTCTGCAGGTAGGCTAGGGTATGAAAGAGATCACATGATTTTGTAGGTTACCTAAGGCCAACTGATCTTGCCACAAAGCTAATTCTTATAATAATGAATCCTCTACTCTAGGCGGAGATTGGTTTGGCAGATTCCTAGTAAGTCGCCATCTCTCTGTCCGAACTCCACAGGCAACATCCCTGGGAAGGGCTACAGCCTTCAATAAAACTACAGTCGGGGAGTTTTTTGACAATCTGGCTGCAGTGATGGACAGGTGACAAAATTAATTCTTAGCTGAAAATATTCTATGGAGGCTCTACGTGTAAGATTTGGTTTTAATTCTGATACGGTTCTTCCCTTGCATCTCATCTTTTACAGGCATACATTCCCGCCACACATGATCTACAATGTAGATGAAACAGGCGTCTTTACAGTACAAAAGCCACAGCAGGTACGCTACATATGATACATTAGAGAGCACCAGACTGATACTGAGTGGTTTGTTATAATGACTAGCTAGCTATTGACAGAATGATTAAATTAATGCTATTAGTAATGTTGTGAACCTGTGAACTGGAAAAAAAGGAATTGACTGAAAAGATATACAATGTACCTTTAGACCAGTAGTAGCCTACTGATTGCACATGCCATTGATTCTTAACTTTCTATTTAATTCAGGTTGTGACACAGAAAGGAAAAAAGCAAGTTGGTTCTGTCACATCGGCTGAGAGAGGAGAACTGGTGACTGTGGTGTGTGCAGTAAATGCTGGGAATGCCACACTTCCCATGTTTATCTTTCCCAGAGTTAAGTTTTAAGACTGTTTCATGATAGGAGCACCTCTAGGAGCCAAAGGTACCTCAACCAGAACGGGATGGTAAAATGAAGACACCTGGGCTGAGTTCCTCGATCACCTGATACACCACACTAACTGCACCCCTGACCGTCCCATACTGCTAATCCTGGATAATCTTAAAGCTCACATCTCACTTAAGGCAGTGGAAATAGCCACGAGCAATGGTATTGTTCTGCTCACCCTCCCACCACACACATCACATCGCATGCAGCCTCTTGACGTGACTGTGTTTGGCCCATTCAAGACCCAATACAGCCGAGCTTCTGATGGGTGGATGAGAACTAACCCTGGCAAAACAGTCTCCATCTACCAGATTGCAGGACTTGTGAATGAGGCCTTCATATCAGCAGTGACACCTCTGGATTTAGGTCAACTGGGATTTTCCCATATAACCGAGAGATTTTTCCTGATGACGCTTTTGCACCATCCATGGTGTCAGACTGGCCAAACCCTGAGCTGCAGCCTGCCCCTGCAGATGATCCAGATGGTCCACCCTCTGCAGATGATCCAACCCCTGCAGAGGATTTGGATGGTCCACCCACTGAAGATGAATCACCTGATGCAGATAATTCACTCGATGATGCAAATCGATCCATTGCTTTTGGTCCACATGATTGTGCCTCGCCTGGATATGTGTCTCCTCGGGAAATCCTACCACTTCCCAAATGTCCCCCCAGAACACAAACCAAACAAAAGCGTGTGAAGACAGCCATCCTAACAGATACTCCTGATCTTTTAGGAAATACATAGCTGCCCTGAAGAAAAGACGCCTTTGTCTTCTTGCATGGCGGCGCTCTATGGTTTTCAGCCTACACTAGACAGAACTACCTGATGGTTTCTGAAATTATCATTGTACATGATAATAATGTAGTCGGGAAATGATGCATTTGCCAAGGAATAACCTAACAAGGTCATAATAATTATGTTGTGTGTTGGTCATTTTGCAGCCCTATGCTGCTCATCACACGCCCAGCAGGTGGTGTATAACATTATCACCATGGATACACAGGTGTTTGTGTTATTTTTTTCATCCACTGCCGCTCGGTTTGTGTCGTGTAGTTGTTGATTATGAAAACACGATAATTTGGAAACATGAAGGGGGAGCTGCTGCTGCCCGGTGTTTACAGTACGTAGACGCAAACACCCACCAAGCGGACGCTTCGGTCTCCGAAAACGCCGAGACAAATTTACAAAATGCCACTATTTCAAACAACTGGGCTCATAATCGTGATGTAAACACTTACTTTCTCGCTAGAAAAAATATTATTACTGAATTAATTTATATAATTTGTCCGGAATGCAGTCGTTCTGTGTAGCTTGTGGTAGGACTATTTAAATTTTCCCGGCGCTGCATCCGGCCGGCACGAAATGCATTCTGGGGTATTTAGTATGCATCTGTATGTAAACGCTCGGGCAGGCAACATACTCAAATCATCTTTGAGTATTCAGTATGCAGTATGTACTGTTTGAGTAGGTAAGTAGACAGTAGGCAGTATGCCATTTCGGACACAGCCAGTGTGTCCCATTTCACAAAAACCATACCATCTCACTTAGGGTACTCAAGTCCACATAACGGCAGTGCGCCCTGATGCGGTCTCTGAAATGAGACCATAGACTGTATATAAGATGGACAACTTGGTTCCGCCTACTGCCTGTATACGGATTTGAAGCCAAAAAGCTCTTGGTATTTCCGGGATTTTTCTTCATTTCCTGAAACCAGCGCTGTGCAGTAGCGATGCGCGCATTCGGCCGCGCAGTCGCCGAGAGTCGCTGTGATGATGCTCAGCTCAAACAGCGTATCCCCGCGGGTGAGCTACGCAATCCCTGAACACCCATAGGCTGTATCAAGTGTCAATCATAGAAAACATGAACCCCCTAATAACTTTTAAAAACGGAGCTGCACAGGAAAAAGAGGACTTGAGCACAAACCAGTCCTACAATAACAACATGTCAACATCACAAGCAGGGGGGAGAAAAATTTATGTTCTGTGTAATAAATTTCTAAAGTTTGTCCACAGCCCCATAAGCTTCGCTGGCGGAGGTGGGATTTATGACCTGTACTGCAGCCCATCAACAGAGGGTGCTGTTCTCGAAGTGGCGTCACCCAGCGAGGAGGCAGACTCTGTCCATTCTATATACAATCTATGGCTGTGTCTCATTTCAGAGACCGCATCGGGATAAGCGCGCTTAACGGCGCTTAGCTGATGGCACTGCCGTTATGTGCCATTATGTGCCGTTAAGTACCCTTCCTGTGTCCCATTTCAGAGACCGCAACCGTCGAACGGTGCATTTGAAGCGTGTGTGAGGTCATTATGCGGCACGAACTGTGTCCCATTTGGCACAAAATACTAAGCGCGCTTTAAATTCGGTCTCAAAACCACACTATCTCCGCCCCTTTTTCAAGCGTGTATTTATGCACGCTTTCGTGCCATCGGTATCCCAGAATTCTTTGCGTGCCACTGCACAGCTTCGCATTTCGGGTGAGAGGCTGGACTCGCTTGGAGACGCAGCGCGACTTCAAAGAAAATACAAGAAATCCAAAAACAGCAGACAGTCAGCTCAGGCTGTATGAGAGCATGATCTCTTAACCCACTAAAATCTGTAAACCAAACATTATAGTCTTTAGAAAAGAACTGAACCGCTCTGCTACAACAATCAAAAACATTAGAAATAAGAAAGCTGACAAAACTACAGCAGAGGATCAGGACAACATTGAGTTTTTTTTTTTTTTTTTAAGATTTAGAGATTAAAGTTGTAAATTTAGGAGAATAAAGTCATAAAGGAAATATAGTCATAAAGCTGCTTTTGTGGAGGGGGAAATGACCGAAGCTGGTCATCTGCAGGGTTATCTGTGGATGTATCAGCGGGTCATTCAGAGAGTTTTTGTGGTTTATTAAGAAACAATCAAACTGATGATCAACATTTGTGATCCAAGAGGAAGTCGAGCTCAGACGAGCACCACGTCTCTGACACCGACGGTAACCTACACCTGCAGAGACACCAACACTTTATTATGGCATATGGATTCATATCATAAATTAAAGCTCAATGTCATTCACGGATGTTTACGGCTGCATTGACAGATATATCCGCAGTATATCCATTTTTGCCTCCACAAAAGCAGCGATTTCCTTCTAGTACACCTGGGGGGTATTCCAGAGAGCGGGTTATGTGAAAAACTCTGAGTAAGTTAACCCTAAGATGAGGGAAACTCTGAGTTATCCGTTTCAGAAAGAGAGGTAACTTAAACACTGGGTCAGTTACTGTGGTAACTTACTCTGTGAACATAACCTGTTCGCTGACAGGTTTACTATAAGAGACCCAGAGTTTCTACATGTCTCCTCCCACACAAAGAAAGCGGTTGAACATGGATTGTCCATTCCTTGAAAATCCAATCGACATCGAAGTGAGAATAATGCGCAACGGTTTATGTCGCGAGAGAATCTTCCGACCCAGATTAGACGTTTTATCATTTCCAGAAGAATTTCTTTTCAAACGCTACCGCTTTTCTTTGAACAGTATAATTTATCTAAATAACCTTCTCCGGCCGTATATCACCAATCTCACACACCGCGGATGAGCACTCACATCAGAGCAAACTTTATGCATAGCACTACGTTTTTTTTGCAAACGGCAGTTTTCTTTACAATATCAGGGATGCAGAGCACTATGGGAAGGCAACAGTGTGCAGAGCAGTGAGGAAGGTAACCCTTGCACTGAAACGCCTGTTACCTGTGATGGTGGTGTTCCCCGGACACAAACCTCTTCGAACCATCAAAGAGGAATTCTACAGGATTGCAGGTGACGTGATGTAGAAATCATATATTCTGTTATTTTAAATGATGATATAGGCCTACATTCTGCTGCGGCCTCAGAGTGGGATCAGTAGCTTAATTATCTGTCATTTTGCAGGCCTTCCTAATGTGATAGGCTGCATAGACGGGACACAAATCCCTATCACTGCGCCAACTCAAAATGAAGGGGACTATGTAAATAGAAAATCCTTTCATAGCATCAATGTCCAGGTATGTGACCTACCATCTTAAAAAAACTATACATGAAAACATTTACATTACAACTAACTCATGTCATTCTGCACTGTAAAGATCATATGTGATGCAGCATCCATTATTACAAATGTGGAGGCGAAGTGGCCTGGCTCGGTGCATGATTCCCGGATCTACCTGGAGTGTAGTCTGAGCAACAGATTTGCACGTGGTAAGGAAGCTAAAGCTTTGTACAGATGTTCTTTGTCTCCCTTTTTTAATGCACTCAAATGTGTCCTCTATATTTACAGGAGAGTTTGATGGCTACCTGCTGGGGGATCGAGGCTATCCATGCCAGCCCTCTCTGTTGACCCCTTACCCTGACCCTGAGCCAGGGCCCCAACAACGTTTTAATGTGGCCCACTGCAGGACTAGAGCCCGGGTTGAGATGACTGTAGGCATACTCAAATCCCGGTTCCAGTGCCTGCTTAAGCTCAGGGTCACCCCAGAGAGGGCATGTGACATCATTGTGGCATGTGTTGTTCTCCATAATATTGCCATTTTTAGAGGAGAGCAACACCCTGCCATACAAATCAATGACCCCGAGGTTGAGCATCCCATCCTGACTGATGAGGATGGAAGGGCGGTTAGGGACCTAATCGCCCAAAATCATTTTTGATTTAAAAAATAAAAACAAATGCATATGTGATTTGGTTCTTCTTTATTCCCTAAGAGTACAAAAGCAACAGTCAGGATTTGTAATGTAGTTCCAACCATTAACATATTTCACATATTCACCATGACAATGCACCCACCTCAACTGGCGTTCCAGTAATCGAATTTCCAGCTCTGTTTTAGCAATCTGCCGCTCCAGATAGACCATTTCTTTTTGGGTTTTTTTTATACTTGTCATAAGGTGCACCTTGTATAACTCCTTAACCGGGAGCTGGGAAACATGGACGACATTTAATTCCTTTAGTTCTACATACAGATTTAACATGTTATTGACCGAAAATCTCACTTTGACAAGCTGTGCCGCTGAGGTTGATGGACCCTCCTCCTGGTGATGCCCAGCCATGTTCTGTTGAAGGACAAGAATGAGTTAGTTTGTCCATTATTTATGCTCATCTATTCAGTGTACATGTCAAACTCCAAATTCCACTTTAGAATGTAAATGAATGGGCACTGCCAGTAGCTATATATTAAGACACACTTCAGGAAGCCCCTCTGGATCTCTCCCTGTGGCAGCAGACAGTGTTTCTTCATCCTCCTCCTCCTCCTCCTCCTCCTGTAATGCAGGAAAATATACTGTTTCAGAATACTTTGAACTACCATCTGAGGCATCTGAGTATGGAAGACTTACAGCTACAGGGTTTGTTTCTGTCGGAGGCTGAAGCAGGCAGATGACACCATCCACAACTGTTGGGTGGGTGGATATATATTTGTTAAAAAGTAGGCTATATATATTTATATATTACTTTTATTTTTTTAAAAGACATAAGTGTATACTTGCATTTGATGTAGGGACTTGGGGGGTGACAGGTTCAGATCATAGACTGTATATAAGATGGACACCGTGGTTCCGCCTTCCGCCTGTATACGGATTTGAAGCCAAAAAGCTCTCGGTAATTCCGGGTTTTTCTCCACTTCCTTGAAACCAGAGCTGTGCAGTAGCGTTGTGCGCATTCGGCCGCGCAGTCGCCGAGAGTCCCTGTGATGACGCTCGGGTCAAACAGCGTATTCCCCCGGAAGAGCTACGCAATCCCTGAACGCCCATAGGCTGTACCAGGTGTCAATCATAGAAAGCATGAACCCCCTAATAACTTTAAAAACGGAGCTGTACAGAAAAAAAAGGACTTGGGCACAAACCAGTCTTACTGTAACTATATGTCAACATCACAACCAGGGGGGAGAAAAAATTATGTTCTGTGTAATAAATTTCTAAAGTTTGTCCACAGTCCCATAAGCTTTGCTGGCGGAGGCGGGATTTATGACCTGTACTGCAGCCCACCATCAGAGGGTGCTGTTCTCGGAGTGGCTTCACCCAGCGAGGAGGCAGACTCTGTCCATCTTATATACAGTCTATGGTTCAGATGAGCTTCCCCAGGGGATGCCTTCAGCCACAGGGCGACCCCTGTTTTGGCTGAGGGCCAGCTCCTCAGCCTCCGTCAGAGGTGGTGGAGGTGGCCCTCCACCCGTTTTTCGGGCCTCTGCCTTCTTTCTGTTGGCTGAGCAGAAGTCAATGTTTATTTTAAAATAGTATTTTAATCAGTGTTGGTGTAGGCTACAGTGTCACATTTTAAATGACTTTAATAGGTCTAAAATATAAATGTGTTTGTATCAAGTGTTAATCCACGAAGTGTAGAATTAAGTGAGAGGACGTTGAAAAACAACATTTTGTTTGGGGTTTAAATTATTATTTGAAGTAGCCGCTGAATTAATATTGTAGTTTAAATTAATATTGACTCTGTCTAATAGCCTAAGTCCATTTTAAAAAATTAAATTAAAATCAAAGTGAGTTGCAATCACAGCCTTGCAAAATATGCCATACCTTTTTGAATTATGTTTTTATGCTTCATTTTGAGCTGCTTCCAAGTCCTTTTTTCTCCCGTTGGATTGCACCTAAATGAAAATCAGATTTCATTCCTACTTATATTCATAACTATAGACTATGCTTCGATCTTATATGTTACGTCAATGGAGTAGTACATTCAAACTTACGCATTGACTCGCGCAGCAATTTTCTCCCATGCCGTCTCTCTCTCCTTCGCTGCTGCAGCCGTGTTGGATTTGCGGCGAAAAATGTTCTCATGCTCGCCGTAGGCCAGCATAAGGACCTCCAACTCCACCGGGGTGAAATAAGTTGAGCGTTTTTTCTCAGTTGACATGGTGACTTGTGGTATCGGGGCTCCATTGATGATGGCTTTTTATAGTGGTTGTGCACGCGCGTAACTCCAGGTTATCATACTCAGAGTTGATTGAACTAATTCAGATCAGCTGTTCTGGAACCGGATACTCAGAGTCTCCCATCTCAGAGTAAGTCAACTCAGAGTTCAGGGATAGACTCAGAGTATGTTGAACCTGCTTTCTGGAATACCCCCCTGTTTTTTTTTCCCCGTGGAAAAGACGTATTTCTCATATATTCTTTTTTAAGTCTTTATACTTATGACAATGTGATGCTGATGTGCCAGAGAATGAAGTATCTCCTTGTTTGTGAAACCTATACTGAAGCACAGTTACTTTAAATGCTTCATGGCCCTAATTTTAACAAGTCTCCTCTGAAATAACAGGTTATGACTTTATTGCCATAAATTAATGCCTTTATTCTCATAAATTCACAACTTAAATCTCGAAGTCTTTAAAAAAAATTCTCAATACGGCCCTCATAGTCCTTCATACACAACAATCAGTGGATGAATTTTGTGGGAATGATCTGTGCTTATATGTATCTACTATTTTGTGTCTGTGCAAGGTCGCACAATTAAAAAATAAATGCTGCGCTCCGTGGCTTTTCTTCAAGGCAGTCGTGACGCGAGCCTGACGGACCATCTCACCCCTCTGGTTGGGTCGCCAAATGTCCCCGCCCTCAGGCCCGCGTCACAGCTGACTTGAATAAAACCCGCGGATCGCAGCAGGTGCAGGTGTTAACAAGCGCATGTGACAACTTCCAGACAATGGAAGTCTTGAGCATATGGCAAATGGCTTTTGCGATCATTGAAGAGGAGACGCTGCGCCGCCGAGTAAGGCGGTGACGGAGGCACCTTGTATATTTTTTGATGAGAATGCGCGCCGAAAGTGGAGAGGTTAACCTGTTATTTTATCTGGCATTCATCAGCCACACAATAGTTGTGCCATTGTCACTCCCTGTGTATCACGTGAATTCCCCCTTTAATTCACAACAGTGCATGTCATGGAAATCTTCATAGGTATCAAAAAATATTATTTCGTTTACTAACATCAGCTGAAAAGCCAACATTGGCTGTTAGTACATGAGGCATTAACCTGCACAATTCACAATCATTGCAAGCGACATCCATGCCATGACTGTTCTTTCTCCTGCTTTGTTCCTAACTCAGACCGGACCCCTGAACTGCAGGTTAAATACGGGGGTTCCGGTCCTCCAACGGTTTTTCGCCAGCGACGACACCAGGGAGGACTTCAGGCTGAGCAGAGAGTCCCTGGCAGTGCTGCTGGGCCTCCTCCATCAGGAGCGGAGGCATGGATGGGGCGCCACAATAGAGACTCTGGTTCTCCTTTTTTGGCTGGCCAGTGGGGCATCATACCGGGTGGTCTCAAGGGTGTTTGGGATGCCCCGCTCCACTGTCCACCGCATCGTCCACCGAGTTACGGAGGAGGTAGGGGCCATTCGCCACAGGGTCATCTACCTCCCAAGGTCCGCTGACGACCTGGCGGCCGTAACTCAGGGGTTTGCAGGGCTGGCTAGGCACCGTGCTTTTCTCAAAGCTGCCGGTGCAATCGACGGCTGCCATGTACGAATTAAGTCACCAAGCGGTCCTGATGGTCACTGTTACATTAACAGGATACTGTTTGCGTCCATCATTTTGCAAGCAGTCTGTGACCATCAGGGCCGCTTTATTGATACCTACTTGGGCTGGCCGGGGTCTGTGCATGACGCCAGAGTACTCCGGCACAGCCCACTGTACAGGCAGAATGTCTACCCTCCTCCAGGGCATTTCATTCTCGCAGACAGCAGGTACCCGTGCCTCCAGCACCCACTCCCCCTCATCACTCCCTACAGGCTGCCGGTGCGAGGTGTGGTGGCCCAGCGCTTTAACGGGCATCATGCCAGGGCACGCTCTGTAATTGAGCGTGCCTTTGGCATGATGAAGACCCGCTTCCGTGCCATCTTTTTAAAAGCGCTGGAGATCCGCCACACCTTCGTGCCACAGGTACATCATCACTGCACACAATATTTTTGTTATACTTGAGTATATATTAATTAATTAATTAAATAAATAAAAACACGAAAACTTATGATATATTATTTAACTTATATTGTTATATTTTTTTATTTATTAAAAGGTCTATATACTTTATGTTCATATAAATATTCCTCTTAAATTCAGGTCATCACTTGTGACGCTTGTGCCGTCCTGCATAATATCTGCCTGGGTGCCTGTGACACCATGGCACCGGAGGAAGATGTGCAGGACGGCATGCCGGGGGGATGAGGTGGAGGACAGGCTGGAGGCAGTCAGTGGTGCCTGCTGGCAGGACAGATTTTCTGCAGAGGTGTCGGCCCTGGAGGAGGTAGACCACGACCATGTCTACCTGTAATCGGCAAGTACAATTCATCTAAAGTTTCTCCTCTGTGTGGCACAGAATGTTTGTTGGTTACTGATCAGCTTTTTAGACCTCAGAAGATGCGACTTAAAAATTGTTGGACTCTGTTAGCCTACTTTTGTCTCTCTCTTTAAAACAGGCATGGCAGCCGTCGAACCAGCCCTGCAAACCCGGACGATGTGGAGGACAGTGGAGACATGCAGCCAAAACACCCAGACCACCCACATGATGTCCCACTGCCAGTAGACACCAGAGTCTCTATTGTAGTGTCCCATCCAGCCATCCAATCCAACTGCCAGAGACTCCTGCTCAGCCTGGAGAAGAGGAGGCACCATGACAGGGCAGGCAATAGCCCAAATGTCCTATATTTCTAAAGTTCTGTTTATACAGTGGTGCCTGTTTGAGTTAGCATTTTGCCAATTTTTAACTCCGCCAAGGAGGTTATGTTTTTGGTAGCGTTGGTTTGTTTGTTTGTTTCTTTGTCTGTTAGCAACTTTACGGAGAAAGTTACAGACGGATTGACCTGAAATTTTCACCAGAGGTGCGTCTCAGCCCCAGGAGGATCCCATTAAATTTTGGTGGTGATCCGGATCGCCTTCTGGATTGTTAGAGTAATGTGCATAAAAGTTTATAGAAATTATCAGTAGCTTTAAATGCCTTTACCTTTTGCTTCTTAACACATGAGCAGACACTCGTGTGTTTTTCTTACATCTCTGAGCTTGCCTTCTTCCAGTAAGCAGATAAGCAGATGGGTACTTGTCCCCGCTGTGAACCGTGCAAGCTGTACCTGTCTCCACTGTGAACAGTTAACCACCACAAAGGAGACTGTGAAATGTCAGCGGCCATCTTGACATCTACAGAAGAAGTCTGCACATGCTTACTCTAGTATAATTATGTGTTATGAAAGTGCTTACGCTGCTGCAGATTGTTTCCCCACCCTTTAGTGTATGCAGCGTTTTGTAACTAGGGACCACCCTAAGGATAATAAAAAGCGAGGAGACGGCAAGGTACTCTTCAGAGCAGTAGGAGATTGTAACTGAATGTATCTCTGTCCGTTCTCCTTGCGAGTAAGAAATCTAATACCATTGTCTTTCTCTTCTTTGTGTCTGGTCTCATTTTTTGCAGGTTGTAGACCCAACAGGATCCCAAAATTTTTTGAAGGATTCTTTATCATTGTGTTATCAAATTTTGGAATTTTTCCATTTAACTCTATAAAAATGTCCAGAGTCTTTAGTAAAAAAAATTACACAAAAGGATCTCAATGAGTTTTATGAGGTGTCAAAGGTTGATCCTGATCCAGACAAAATTCCGGATACTGTGATCCAGAACACACAAAAATAAGGGTGTTGTTGGAATTTTCAATGCTGAAAGATAACCAATGAAGATACAAGGAAGTGTAAGCTTACAAATATTGCATAATAAATCATGCATTTATGTATCTTATATGAGCTTTGTTGTTTAAGGAACATTATGAACAGTGAACATACCAGTTTAAACACATAAAAGTTAATAAAAGACATATAACAGTAAAAGTTTTGGTGTGAATCACAATATAAGGGGGGACAGCTGCTTGGCTGAGGTCTGCGCTCTCCGAGTGCTTTTCTAGTTTGTATGTTATTGACCTCAGTATTTTATTCCATCTTCATTTTCCTCACCCTTTAATAAAAAGATATAACTCAGAAATGAAAACTCTGAAATCTTTATTATGCGAGGATGTGTAGCGGTCGTACTTGGGTTGTGTAATTATTTCAGGAGGGAAACCGTACTTCTGTGGTTGGCACCTGCCGTTCATTCAGCATCTGGCAGAATATTCACACAGTCAGGTCTTACACAAGACATGCGGCCGCTCTTTCACTGCAAGCATAAAATTACAACATAAGTACCCTCTTAAATATGGAAATTAAAAGATAATTAAAACAAATTATCACGGAGATCACAACATGTGGACTTACCAGGCAAGCAGCGCAGGACAACTGTTGCTGCATACCTGGGTTCACTTCCCAAATCCCCAGGGGTGTTGCATTTGAGGGCTGCAGGGAATCTGAACATCAGTACTAATCATCCTTAATAAAAGAACCCAATGCGAGGCATGGCAAGTGAAATCACTAAACATTATTTGTAATTCCGTTACAGATGCACCGGATGCTGTCTGGCCACCCTGTTGCCAAAACAGCTTGAGGAGGGACATATGAATAGACTGGAGACGGTGTAAGCAACTTAGAATTCTTTAATAAATGCCATTATTAGTGTAAAAAAATACAAAATGTCCATTCAAATTAAAAATTCTTAAAATAAGTGTGAATATAATAGTAACAAACAAAAACAACTCAATTACGGTCAACCATTTTCCCGAGTAAGGCCAGCATCCGGTCCATCCTCCTCCTCCTCCTCCTCCTCCTCCTGCTGCTGCTGCTGCTGCTGCCTGGCAGGTGCAGTGCCACTTGGCCCTGGTTCATCCTCTCGAAGTGAGGCAATCAGTAGTGGGGGGTTTATTGGTGGCCTCTGCCCCAGCATCTCATCCATGAGGATGAACCAGGGCCAAGTGGCAGCTGTCACCGCTCCCCCTGCCCCAGCTCCTGTGGGAGGCTCTTTGCATTCCTGAGAAAAAGAAAAACTGTTTAATAACTTGCAGGGGGGGAACCAACACATTCTTCATGACCCAATGTTCAATGTTAAGCAGCATCATAAAAACCTTCACATACTTTATATTTTCTTTTTAGATTCTCCCACTTCCGCTTTGCTTGCAGGGGTGTCACTTGGCCCAAGATCAGGAGCTCTGTCAGTACAGCTCTTGCCACAAAGAGAAGTGAGACAAAAGGTTAATATATGTCACATTCACACACACAAGTGTTCATAATTCATACAAGAGTTCATAACAAGATTCATAATCAGTCACATGACCTATAATTTAACTTACTACGGGCAGATATAACTTCTTGAGCATATGGTGTTCCTTACCGCCATCCAGCAGCAGCTGAATTTTTGGCTCCGGTGAAGAGGTGCTCCCTCTCCCCCCGGAGCTGGATGATTTGTTCGGTCAGCTCTCTTGTCCCTGCAAAAACATAAGTGTGAACCTTTTAATGTGTGACTTATTCCAAGTGTGTATCTGAATGGATAACAATGCAGGCACACAGTGCCAAAATTTGTATTTTGAATCCACACATGCATGTCAGATCAATTGTCCAGGCTGATGGATGGCCATCGTGCACTTCATAAAGAGGTTTGACCTTTACTCCTTCTTTATCTGGGCTCACTGCTGATAAAGCAGTGGGCCCTCAAAACTGTTAGGAAAACCCTCAAAACTGTAAGGGTTTTTCTAAATATTAATAATAACTCTAATAACATCATTACTTTTACAGCACTTATCTAAAAAAGGTTGCAATGTGCTCTATATGTAGTGTAAATACAAACAAACAAAAAAACAAACATAGGCTACATGTCAGATTCTGGTATGACATAAACAGTGCTATAACACACACCACAGTGATTTAGACCTGAGTTGTTCATGTTTCTGCACTGTACTTGCAGCATCTAGTTTGCAGCATATTTGCCCCATACACATTTACGTCATCCCCTGGCAATACCTTACACCTGGGGAATTGAAGTGGATGTCAAGTACCAACACTACAATTTGAAACAGTCGGCATATGCATTGCCTGCATAGCTTCAACAGGGCAAAAGGGCTGATTTAACACACTCAGGCATCACCTGCAACCATATAATCATCTTTTACAAACATTTAGAAATGTTCACAATGTCCTGTAAAGGCTTTGCTTCACCTGTTGACATGAAATTAAATCTAGTATTTACATGTAAAGGCGGGGCCGCCGGCTTTGCCTGCCATGATGCAAACATCCTTGATGTGTGCAGGTGCGCTTTTATGCGCGTCCGATGTCTCACCCAAACGGTGCACCTGTGTAGCGGCACGCAAAGCATTCTGGGATACCGACGGCACGAAAACGTGCATAAATGCACGCTTGAAAAATGCTAAGCGCGCTTAGCATTTCTTAGAATTTCGTGCCAAATGGGATGCCGTGTGATGACATCATGCACGCTTCAAATGCGCCGTTATGTGCCGTTCGACGGTGCGGTCTCTGAAATGGGACACAGCCTCTGAATGAGACACAGCCTGTGTTCCAAACATCACCTCTCCTGCCACTACATTCAACTACTGTTTCACTTCCTGATCCATCACTTCCCTCTGCCATCTTCTGACCATTCACAATCCATAGGCTGTATTGGCTGAGTGAGATCGTGTTGGTTCGTTCCACTTTAGTGGGGCAACATAAACTGTGATTCATAAAACAGCTCTATTGATAGTAAGTACTTAAAAAAATATCTACTCATGCCATACAGTTGATTTTTAGTAATCAGTGTTTCGGTGTCGAACTATTTCCTTTCTGCAGCGTAGTGATACTTGCACACGCGCAATCAAATATGCAAAGGGGTGAAGCGATTTTTGTCACGTGGACCAATAGGAGCAGAGTCTCGTTGCCATAGTAGCAGAAATACATAAACATGGCGACAAGCGCATTTAGCAGTAGCCTGGCTTGGCCATCCTGTTGCGTGAATCACTTGCCGTTCCTTACCACAACAGTCTGGACTTCGGCCCATTGGGCGTGTGTATTAGCCATCAGAAAATAACCGGGCCAATCAGTGACTGTGTTTCCACTGTTCCTCGGACAACAGGGAACGGCAGCCCCTGATTGGTTCATGTGTAGATGGTGACGTCTAACATATGACGTATATATATATATATATACACTCACCGGCCACTTTATTAGGTACACCTGTCCAACTGCTCGTTAACACTTAATTTCTAATCAGCCAATCACATGGCAGCAACTTAGTGCATTTAGGCATGTAGACATGGTCAAGACAATCTCCTGCAGTTCAAACCGAGCATCATTATGGGGAAGAAAGGTGATTTGAGTGACTTTGAACGTGGCATGGTTGTTGGTGCCAGAAGGGCTGGTCTGAGTATTTCAGAAACTGCTGATCTACTGGGATTTTCACGCACAACCATCTCTAGGGTTTACAGAGAATGGTCCGAAAAAGAAAAAATATCCAGTGAGCGGCAGTTCTGTGGGCGGAAATGCCTTGTTGATGCCAGAGGTCAGACGAGAATGGCCAGACTGGTTCGAGCTGATAGAAAGGCAACAGTGACTCAAATAACCATCCGTTACAACCAAGGTAGGCAGAAGAGCATCTCTGAACACACAGTACGTCGAACTTTGAGGCAGATGGGCTACAGCAGCAGAAGACCACACCGGGTGCCACTCCTTTCAGCTAAGAACAGGAAACTGAGGCTACAATTTGCACAAGCTCATCGAAATTGGACAATAGAAGATTGGAAAAACGTTGCCTGGTCTGATGAGTCTCGATTTCTGCTGCGACATTCGGATGGTAGGGTCAGAATTTGGCGTCAACAACATGAAAGCATGGATCCATCCTGCCTTGTATCAACGGTTCAGGCTGGTGGTGGTGGTGTCATGGTGTGGGGAATATTTTCTTGGCACTCTTTGGGCCCCTTGGTACCAATTGAGCATCGTTGCAACGCCACAGCCTACCTGAGTATTGTTGCTGACCATGTCCATCCCTTTATGACCACAATGTACCCAACTTCTGATGGCTACTTTCAGCAGGATAATGCGCCATGTCATAAAGCTGGAATCATCTCAGACTGGTTTCTTGAACATGACAATGAGTTCACTGTACTCAAATGGCCTCCACAGTCACCAGATCTCAATCCAATAGAGCATCTTTGGGATGTGGTGGAACGGGAGATTCGCATCATGGATGTGCAGCCGACAAATCTGCGGCAACTGTGTGATGCCATCATGTCAATATGGACCAAGCTCTCTGAGGAATGCTTCCAGCACCTTGTTGAATCTATGCCACGAAGAATTGAGGCAGTTCTGAAGGCAAAAGGGGGTCCAACCCGTTACTAGCATGGTGTACCTAATAAAGTGGCCGGTGAGTGTATATTCAGAATGCTGTTAATTCTGCAATTGACTTTGCAAAGTCGGCAGAAATCGTTTAGATCCAACGTCTTCTGCGGATATTAATGTTGTCCGAGGAACAGTGGAAACACAGTCACTGATTGGCCCGGTTATTTTCTGATCGCTAATACGCGCTCCCAATGGGCCGAAGTCCAGACTGGGAAGGAACAGCAGGTGATTCACGCAACAGGATGGCCCAGCCAGGCTAATCTAGCAGCAAGACAATCGAAGAGGAAGAAAAGAAAAGGAAAAAAGAAAACAGCCTTCAAAAGTGCATAAAAAAGGAACGAAAGGATGCTATATGCATATATCATCTGTCCAGAGTGAAGATGTTCTCGACTTTACAAGGACACGTTGGGAAACTTACAGAACTTGTATTAGAAAGTGGCTTTCTCTACAGGGTGAGACAAAGGACCTTGCAGAAACTTATAAACATTGCATTGATATCAACTTTGACAGTGTTCCTTATGACGCTGGGTTTCACATGACATGCTATTAGCGATTTATTTGCAAAGGGCGTCACAAGAACGTGATGCAGCTGCGGGTCAGTCAAACCCTTCATCCAGCATCGCCGATGCATCCACATCCACGGCATCTGAAACTCCACGAAAGAAACTTAGCTCTCAAGGTCATAGGCTGTATTGGGACAAAGGAATAAAGTGCCTAGAAAATGAATTTCGTTCAACTACGCTGGTGCTACTTGTTTAATGCATTTTTGCATAGACAATACCATTCTGGACTTTGGGTTAAAATATCTACTCAGACTTTCTGTCACACTTTTGCCACCAGCCAGAAATGTACATATATGCGAGTAACCCAAAAAAACAATTATATGGTGCTGCTGTTTTTGCTTGTAGAAACTGTTATGTTGATTCTGGCAAGACAAAATCTTTCTCAAATGTCATAAATACATCTACCTAACATCTAAAAAAGTTATTGGTGCCTTAGTATACGCATAAGTGAATTCAGATTATGAAATGTAGCAAATTGTTACACCTCACCCGAAGGCGAGGCAACTATCCTCAACTTTTGACCCATCAAATGAACAAAACACCTTCAAAAGTTTAACACGTGATTTATTGTGACAAAATAACAAAATTGCAAACTAAACACAAAGCACCCACAACACAAATGAGAGGCAGCAGGGCAGCAGTTCCCCACCAAATGCCTTTCCAGACTGCAGGCAGCTCTCAGTCTTTAAAGGCCCAGCACCAGGTGAGTCTGATTAGCACTTAGTGATTTCACCTTGGCAGCTATGGAGAGACAAAAGGGGGAAAACCACAAACAAAACACACAGCCGTAACACCCCCACCCTTAAAACAATGAATTAATAATTTGTACTGCAAAAAAAAGGACAACTATCACACACCATTAATAAAAAAAATACAAACATTTATTCACCAAAACTGAATACAACCACTGCTGACAAAAAGGTGCAAAATGGGTCGTGAGGAACACAAAATCTTAAATTAGGGCCAAGGAAGATGCTGCAACCAAATTCAAGAGCATCCATCACAAAAGCAGCCAGTGAAGTGGGTGCCACTCCCACAAAGCAAAATGGCTACTACCATGAGGTTAACACCATAGACTGTATATACTATGGACACCCTGGTTCCGCCTTCCGCCTGTATACGGATTTGAAGCCAAAAAGCTCTCGGTAATTCCGGGTTTTTCTCCACTTCCTTGAAACCAGAGCTGCCCAGTAGCAATGCGCGCATTCGGCCGTGCAGTCGCCGAGAGTCGCTGTGATGACGCTCAGCTCAAACAGCGTATCCCCACGGGTGAGCTATGCAATCCCTGAACACCCATAGGCTGTATCAGGTGTCAATCATAGAAAACATGAACCCCCTAATAACTTTTAAAATCGGAGCTGCACAGGAAAAAGAGGACTTGAGCACAAACCAGTCTTACAATAACTACATGTTAACATCACAAGCAGGGGGGAGAAAAATTTACGTTCTGTGTAATTAATTTCTAAAGTTTGTCCACAGCCCCATAAGCTTTGCTGGCGGAGGCGGGGTTTATGACCTATACTGCAGCCTATCAACAGAGGGTGCTGTTCTCGGAGTGGCGTCACCCAGTGAGGAGGCAGATTCTGTCCATTCTATATACAGTCCATGGTTAACACACACACACACACACACACACACACACACACACACACACACACACACACACACACACACACACACACACAAAGAGCAAAACACTAAATTTGCCAATACCACACACAGTAACAGATGTCCAACACTGAGCAGTCACACACACACACACACACACACACAACGGATCAACAAAAGTAGTAGAACTACAGCACTGCTGTCATTCACAAACAGCACACAAAGATCCAACAAAGGTGACTGCCACTACCACAACACAAATGGACACAAGTCTTCAAAAGACACACGAATTACTGTGATAAGGTAAGCAACAAGCCAAACGAACGGAACATACAATTAGGAATACGAAGCAGTAACCAGAAGTGACCCACCAAATGTGGACTGCAAACCACTACACAAAATGGTCACATAGTAGTCACCACTACACAACTGTTGCCACCTTACACCTACGATGCAACTCACACGTGACCCACCAAATGTGGAGAGCAGTTACCACCAACAAATGGTCACACAACACAAGTTACTGGGCACACAAAATCCTAATTGTTATCACACAGAGTGACCAAGCAAAAATGGGTAGCCTTCTGAAACACACACAAAAACAGTACTGTAGTACAAAACAATTCTGAAGAGCAAAATGAGTCACCCCAACCCCTGCCTACTTGACAAGATGTCTGACTTACCTAACTAGTCTTCAGGGGCCCGCCGAGCTCGAGGCATAACCTAAGTGTGCCCCCTCCTCAGGATTACCACCAAAAAAAAAAAAGAAAGGCAAAAAAAAAGTTGCAAGCTCTTCTCTGCCCGGCGACTAAATGATCAGGATGCTCAGAAATTACAAAGAAAAGCAACTACTAATGATAGTGAAAGAAACAGAAGACTAACAAATCAAAACTATGGTCAGTAGTTCGAAATTAGGAAAACAACTTCAAAAAACCTCCTGGATGTTTCCATCCCGGGTGAGCCCCCATTTGTTACGCCCCACCCGAAGGCGGCCCTATGGGGCTAACAACTAGTGATGGGCGCTCTGAAACCGACGCTCCGGCGCACGTTTCAAAATCCGGAAATGAAATTGCCTTGAAACACTGTTCTGACGCTCCTTTCGATTTGGAAAAAACCACGTGACCTATGACGTCCGAAGCAGTAACTGTTTCATTCTCTGAATGAACCCTAGTAAACCCCTTGACTGTCTCGAAGCCACACCCTCTGGTTCGATCCAAGGAATGAATCATATGACTGGCCCTGTGCCAACCAAGTGCCAGTTTGCCGATCTCTCGATTCTGACAGGTTGAAACATTTTCAATTTTTGCGCCTTGACAGGTTTTTAAGTGTTTCAAACAATGAACAAAATGTGGGTTTGCAGTAGAGGCGTTTGCATAGTTGTTGAGTTGATTTATCATTACATTGCATTTTTGCGTGTTTTGATCATCATCATCGTGGACATGGAGCCAGCCAGGAAGAGGGGCCATTCTGAAATGTGGCAATACTTTGAACTCATTGCCCATGATAAGGTGGGTATGTTATTATAGGAGGAGTCATTTGTTTGATTATGTGCGCTAACTGCGCTAATCCTCTATAAGAGGTTTCACAGCACATGAACTATGCAGCCACTGAGGCAGTATAACACAAACTCTCTGACATTAAGCTTCACGTTACAAACATTAACACCACGTTGTTTAAGATAGATTGGTTAATAGTCGGATGGATGTTCAGCAATCAGTATTCATTTTCAGGGCTCTCAAGTCTCACGCATTCGGCGTGCGGCACACACATTCCCACCCGTTCACTTGCCACACATTGTGTTTCTCACACATTAATATTACCACGGTGACGTCCACCAAGTTGCAACCTTTTAACAATGGAACAGGTAGAAATCAAGTCAGTTCCCCTGTGAGTAAAGAGGCTGTGTGCCACCCGAAAGCTAATCAAATGAAGTATATCTACCGAACAGCCAATCAAAAAGTAGCATTGCTGTATCCGGGTAGATTTTGGAGACGGACACTCGCTGAAATGAAGCAGGTTTTGTAAGCACGAAAAATATCCGATCATTACAGTAAGTCAGTAACCTACACCTGCAGAGGCCTCAACACCTAATGGCAAATAGACTCATATGATAAACTAAAGCCCCATGCTATTGCTATTAACAGCTGCATTTACGGATTTAGCCTCTGTACAGCCATTTCCAGCTATTCCCCTCAAAGTCCATATTTTTTTCTGTGGAAAAGATGCATTTCTTATATATTCTTTGTTAAGTTATGATACTCATGACAATGTTTTGCTGATTATCCAAAGGATTAGTGTCCCCCCAAAAAAATAAAAGATAAAATAAAATAAAATAAAAATAAAAAAGAAAGAAAATCTCACTCCAAGCTTAGTTCAAATCTTGAGAGCCCTGCATTTTCAACTGGCTTGCTGTGTATGCAACCAGGCTTTATCATTTAAAGCTGTTTGTTCTAAGAGAAGAAAGCATATTAGCTGGGGACCACAACTCGTCATTACCTCCGCCAAGGAGGTTATGTTTTCGGTATCGTTGGTTTGTTTGTTTGTGAGTTTGTTTGTCTGTTATCAACTTTACAGAGAAAGTAACAGACGGATTGACCTAAAATTTTCACCAGAGGTGCGTCTCAGCCCCAGGAGGATCCCATTAAATTTTGGTGGTGATCCGGATAAAATTCTGGATACTGTGACCCAGAACACACAAAAATAAGGGTGTTGTCGGAATTTCCAATGCTAAAAGATAACAAATGGGCAGCACAGATGTTGAGATAGGCAGTAGTGTGGTGTAATGGTTAGCACTGTCGCCTCACAACCAGCAGGTTGTGTGCTCGAATCTCGGTCAGGGCATTAGTTTTTATCTAATGTTTTTCTCTTCAGGTTCGGTGCTTGTTGTGTACTTCTGAGCTGAAGTATCACAACAATACTTCTTCTATGAAGAGGCACTTCACTGCCAAACATTCCTACCAAGGAACTTCTGCAGCTGCTTCAGCTACTTCTGGTGTTACCCAGGAGAACGCAGGAGCAGGAGCAGGAGCAGGAAGAGGTAGACTATATTATTGATGAAACAGTAACATACTACAATAACATATTTTAATATATATGACTATATTCTATGACATAATGCTTCATCTTCCCAAAATTTCAAATAAATCCTCATTGTATGTACTGTAATTTATTTATTTCTTTGTTTCTGTCTAGTTGTTTCTGTCTTTGTTTCTGTCGGTTCTGTCCAACCGGCAGCAACAGTTGGATGATGCTCTGGTGGAGATGGTAGTGAAAGACTCTCAGCCGTTTTCGATTGTGGAGGACCGTGGTTTCAAGGACTTTGTGGCACTCATTGATCCCACATACATTCTGCCATCAAGGAGAGACCTTAAGAAGATGGTGGTGCGCCGTTATACGGAGGAGAAGGAAAAGGCCAAGGCCGTCATTGAGAGTGTGGAGGCTGTCAGCCTGACAAGCGATATGTGGACCTCCATAAACATGGATGCTTATCTGGCAGTGACGGCCCATTATGTGGATGCCTCTGACAGGCTGGCCACAGTGGTTTTGGGGGTGCTGCCATTCCCAGAAGCACACACTTCTGATAATATAGCCACTTCGACGAGGTGTCTCATGATTGAGTGGGGCATTGAGAAGAAAGTTTCAAGCTTTGTGACAGATGCAGGAGCAAATATGATTGCCAGTGTCAGAAAGTTGGGCCTGAGGTCTGTGCCTTGCTATGCTCATGCACTGAATTTAGTGGTGAAGAAGTCCATTGAGAACACTCCTGGACTGGAAGACCTTCGCACAAGGTCTCGTAAAGTGGTGACCTACTTTAAAACCAGCACTAGAGCCAAAGAGGTATTGCAACAGGTGCAGAAATCCACAGGACGCGAGACAATGAAGCTCATTCAGGAGGTGGACACTCGCTGGAATAGCACTTACGACATGTTCCAGCGGTTGTACGAGGAGAGGCAGACTGTGGGGTCAGCTCTTGCCGTGCTCACCACAAAAGTACGACCACTTGCCTCTGAAGATTATGAGACCATGGCTGCCTGCATAGCAATTCTAAACCCATTCAAGAAGGCAACAAATGAACTGTCCGAGGAAAAGAGAGTTTCAGGGTCAGTGGCGATCCCAATGACAAAAATGCTCCTTCATTCTATGATAGATCTTACAGGAAAAACAAGCCATGCCACTGCAAAAATACTGGGGCAGAACTTGATTCAACAGATGACATCAAGATTTGATGGCCAGGAGGATTCAACAGCTTGCAACCTGGCCACACTCCTGGATCCCAGATTTAAAATGATTGGGTTCCACAATCAAGGTCGTGCCCATGCAACGATGAGACGACTGGTATCAGAATGTGCATCTGTAATGAGAACCTCACTACAGCCATCTACAACAAATCAACCAGAACCAGCTCATCCTGCAATACATCCAGCAGATAATGAAACTCCAGCAGCATCCACAGGTTATATCATAAAGATTATATATACCAACTGTATATATACCAAGTGGGATTATAAATCATCTTAAAGTCAGTGATACACCTTCAATAGGTCACAGATGGACCGGGAGGCAGGCTTGCAGGTAAAAGAAAAGTGTTTATTTTGATCCAGACTGATTACTGTGATGTTTGTCTTTTTAAAGGGAGCCTTTGGGAGCTGCTGGACAGAGATGCAAATGAAGCCAGGAGATCGAGGAGCACAACGGCTGATGCAAATGTAGAGGTCCAGCGCTATATGACAGATCCACCAGTGGAAAGAACCAAAGACCCCCTGGTTTACTGGACAGAGCAAAAAAATGTCTACCCGCATCTTTATGTGCTTGCCAAAAAATTTTTATGCACACAGGCGACATCTGTGCCATGTGAGCGCATATTTTCAAAATGTGGAGATATTGTCAGTAAAAAAAGAACCTGTCTAAATCCAAAGACTGTGGAAAAAATAATTTTCTTGAATAAAAATCTTTGAAATGCATATACTCTACCTGTGCCATAGTTTTTGTTACTTTGTGTACGTAGAAATGTTTATACTTTAGTGTGTGAATATATGAGTCGTGGTTTCTTAGCATAACATTGTTTCACACTTTTGTTTATTTAAGACTTCAGGACAAAATAATGAAATGACATTCACAATATTTCTTAGCGTAACATTAAACAAGGTATGAGCCATTTGCTTGATTTTTTATTTACTCATGAGCTGCCATAATTACACAATATACAAAAACATCTTTGGTTGTATTGAGAACTAGATATCCAGTCATTGTTTCATGTATGTGTGTATACATACTATTGTTTTACTGTCTATAAGCCTCCATAGTATTTGACTGCAGTTCTAGCTTTTTCGCCACCAGGTGTCATTATCACTGAAGCTTTGAAGCTTCAAACCATTTTGAACCGATTGCTTCAAGTGGTTCAGTGGTTCATAAAAGCTTCATTTGCCCATCACTACTAACAACTATCCTCAACTTTTGACCCTTCAAATTAACAAAACACCTTCAAAAGTTTAACATGTGATTTATTGTGACAAAATAACAAAATTACAAACTAAACACAAAGCACCCACAACACAAATGAGAGGCAGCAAGGCAGCAGTTCCCCACCAAATGCCTCTCCAGACTGCAGGCAGCTCTCAGTCTTTAAAGGCCCAGCACCAGGTGAGTCTGATTAGCACTCAGTGATTTCACCTGGGCAGCTATGGAGAGACAAAAGGGGGAAAAACACACACAAAACAAACACACAGCCGTAACACAAATTTCTTGAAGAAAACATCTCAACTCAACTGTGTAATAAAAGCATTAAACTAAAAACAGCACACCATGGCAATAAATAGCTGAAAGTCAATCAAATTGCTACCACGCCCCCCAAAATTGGAATAATGGAAAAAATATAACAAGACAAAAATAAATGCACAAAAGGTCTGAATTAATTCAAAATATGGTATAAAACATTTATTCAAGTATCACAGTGTCAAAACATCTGACATTTATCAATCCCTCCAGAATATGAAAATATAGATCAAAACACAAACGCAGACAAATGTAGAACAAATATAAAAATAATAAAAATCTCAAATCTTGGTGTAACAATCCTTTAAACAACAACAACAAATTGTACATGGTGATATGCTGCGTATATTACCATCACTATCACTTTCATCAGAGTCATCATCCCATACAGCTCTTTCTTCTGTTTCCTTTGAAGCATTGTCACATGTGTGGCACCGACATAAATCTGTACAAGATAGTCTTGCAGACATACAAGAACATCGTTCAGTCTCACATTTGGTTGTCTTGCAACTACAGTGGACTATCTGCAAAACACTATCAGGGGCAGGATTTGTAGTCATCCATCTCACTGCCAACTCCCCATCCTCAATGTGCCACCCATTGTGCATCCATACATTCACAGGTTGTGACTCGACCAGTGCCTTTCATGGCGAGGGCAAAAGAAAAACATTTTCTGTTGCTTGTCAGAAAGAAGAATACCTGACTGGGTTTGCAAATCTGGGCAACAATTTTAACCAATCCACCTTTAACACACTGAGTAATTATATGTGCCACCTGTATGGCCAGTCATCTGCCAAAAATTTAAATGATGCCAGATACAAATCTTTCTGCATAGCCTCGTCAGCTTTGCCAGAACTGTCCATTCCCCCAACAAGTGACGCCCTGTACCAACACTGCATGAGAGAAAACTACCAAGCAGCGGTGATGAAACATTCTCTGACTGGTAAAATGTGTGCCCCTTCAGACATTGGCAATGGGTGGCACATTAGTGACATGGATGCCTACAGTTGCAAGACAACGAAATGTGAGACTGAACGCTGTACTTGTATGTGTGCAAGACTATCTTGTACAGATTTATGTCGGTGCCAAGCATGTGAGAATGCTTCAAAGGAAACAGAAGAAAGAGCTGTGTGGGATAGATAGATAGATAGATAGATAGATAGAGAGAGAGAGAGAGAGAGAGAGAGAGAGAGAGACTTTATTGATCCCAAACTAGGAAATTCTCTTGTTACAGCAGCAAAAATACTAAATACCATTAAATATAACAATAAGTAAGTACAATGCAGACTAAAAATACTAAGTATATACAATAAATGCAGAGTAAATATAATAAACATCCTTAGAGATAAGAGTGAGATATGAAGAACGTGGGCTATTAAAATGAGTAATAAATATGAAATACGAAATATTACAGATGGGGTGATAGATATACAGACAATCTAAGGTGCTCAGAAATGTGATGTGGTAGGAGTTTTAAAAAATGGACTATACAGCAGACAGATGTGAGTCCCTGTCTGACAGATGAGTTATTAAATAGTGCAGTAGCTTGTGGCAGGAACGATTTCCTATATCTGGCCCTTCGACAGCGGAGCTGCAACAGTCTGTTGGAGAAGGAGCGCCGCTGTCTGTCCAGAGTGAGGTGGAGAGGGTGGTCAGGGTTATCCATGATGGATAACAGTTTGTTCAGTGTCCTCCTCTCCACCACAGCCTCCACAGTGTCCTGTTTGCAGCCAATCACGGAGTCAGCCTTCCTGATCAGTTTGTTGAGTCTGTTGGTGTCACTGGCTCCGATGCTCCCCTAACAAACCACGGCAAAGAAAAGTACGCTGGCCACCACAGACTGGTAGAACATCTCTAACATTTTGCTGCACATGTTGAAGGATCTCAGCTTCCTCAGGAAGTAGTCTGCTCATCCCCTTCGTGTAGACAGCATCGGTGTTGGATTTCCAGTCCAGTCTGTTGTTGATATGGACGCACAGATACTTGTAGACCTCCACCTGCTCCACATCTTCTCCCGAGGTGCACAGCGGCTGTGAAGCCGTCCTATTCTTCCTGAAGTCGATGACCATCTCTCTGGTCTTGGTGACATTCAGCCTCAGGTGACTGCGTCCAGCCCACTCCACAAAGTTATCCACCACTGCTCTGTACTCCCCATCCCTTCCCCCTGCTTATACACCCAACAACAGCCGCGTCATCATAAAATTTCTGCAGGTGGCATGACTCGGAGTTGTACTGAAAGTCAGTGGTGTACAAGGTGAAAAGGAAAGGGGACAGCAGAGTTCCTTGTGGAGCTCCTGCATCACTGACCACCACGTCAGACAGAACGCTGCCCAGACGGACAAACTGTGGCCTGTCCGTCAGGTAGTCAGTGATCCAGGAGACAATGGAGGTGTCGACACCCATCATCCGCAGCTTCTCACCCAGCAGCAGTGGCTGGATGGTGTTGAAAGCACTGGAGAAATCAAAGAAGGTGATTCTCACAGTGCTGCCACCACCATTCAGATGCAGATGTGCTCGTTGCAGCAGGTAGATGACAGCATCGTCAACTCCCAAATGGGGCTGGTAGGCAAACTGTGGAGGGTCTAAGAGCTCCTTCACCTGCGGCCTCAGGTGGGCCAAGACCAACCTCTCCAGCACCTTCATCAGATGGGAAGTGAGGGCAACTGGTTGGTAGTCATTGAGGTCAGATGGAGTCGACTTCTTTGGGACAAGAACGAAACAGGACGTCTTCCACAGCACTGGGACTCTCTCTTGACTCAGGCTCAGGTTGTAGAGGTGTTGGATGACAGCAGACAGCTGGCTGGCGCAGGTCCTCAGGATCCTAGGGCTGATGCCATCAGGTCCTGCTGCCTTCCTCTGGTAGAGTCTCTCCAGCTGTCTCCTAACCTGGCCCGTAGTCACGGTCATGTGGGGGGGGGGGGGGGGGGGGTTGTCTCCAGTGGAGGGGGAGATTGAGGGGGAGGGGGAGGAGGGGTGCTGCACAGGATTGCTCACCATAGGGGGGAGGGGTTGATGTAGTGAGGGAGTGTGGGGCACTGGATGTATGAGGGAGACAGACAGCTGTGAGCTGAACCTATTAAAGAAAGTGTTCAGCTCGTTGGCTCTCTCCAGGCTGCCCGATGGTTGCCTTTGTCTCCCTTTACAACCTGTGATGTGCTTCATCCCAGTCCACACATCCCTCACGTTGTTTTGCTGGAGTTTGGCCTCCAGCTTCCTCCTGTAGGTGTCTTTACACCCTTTCAGTTTCTCCCTGAGTTCATGCTGCACTCTCCTCAGCTCCTCTGTGTCACCGGACTTAAAAGCCCTCTTCTTCTTATTAAGGAGGGCTTTCAGGTCACTGGTGATCCATGGCTTATTGTTGGGGAAGCAGCGTACAGTCCGGTTTGGGATGGTGGAGTTTTCACAGAACCTGATATATTCTGTGATGCAGTCTGTCATGCTGTTGATGTGGCTCACAGAGTACATCCCAGTCCGTTAATTCGATGAAGACTCTGATGAAAGTGATAGTGATGCGTAAAATACGCACCATGTCACCATGTACAATTTGTTTTTTTTAAAGGATTGCTACACCGAGATTCGAGATTATTATTTTTACATTTGTTTTTCATTTGTCTGTGTTTGTGTTTTGATCTTTATTTTCATATCCTTGAGGTATTGATAAATGTCAGATGTTTTTGACACTGTGATACTTGAATAAATGTTTTATACCATATTTTGATTCATTCACACCTTTTGTGTATTTATTT